GCCGCGGAGGGGCACGAGGCTGTCGTCAGGCTATTGCTTGGCACAGGCAAGGTCGAGATCGACGCAAAGGATGGAGATGGCCGGACGCCGCTGTCATGGGCTGCCGCGGAGGGGCACGAGGCTGTCGTCAGGCTATTGCTTGGCACAGGCAAGGTCGAGATCGACGCAAAGGATAGAGATGGCCGGACGCCGCTGTCGCGGGCTGCCGCGGAGGGGCACGAGGCTGTCGTCAGGCTATTGCTTGGCACAGGCAAGGTCGAGATCGACGCAAAGGATGGAGATGGCCGGACGCCGCTGTCGCGGGCTGCCGCGGAGGGGCACGAGGCTGTCGTCAAGTTGTTTAAGTCCTACTCCTCATCCTCATTTTAATCCTCTATTATTTCTCTCATAGCGTGACAGAGGAGGGGTCTGGGGGACGCCGCAAATATATAGTTGTCTACTCTATTCTAGTATCTTCTAGTACCTTCTAGTACCTTCATGCACTCAGTTAGAGAAACTAGGAGAGGGAAATCTGGGCCAGCTTGCTAAGTAGACTCGCTGAGACAGTCCATGTCAAGAGCCCCAAGAGAGTCAGCTGCTTGTCAGCCAGCCGCCACGCGTAATCAGCTCTGGTAACGATCTTCGCGTCTGGTCTGGTTTTCTGGAAGGATCTGACTAGGGCACCAATGACTTGAGAGTCTGGAAGAAACCCAGCACGCGTAGGAACACGCGTGTCAGTTGGACATTAAAGGAATCCTGGTATTGGCATCGAAATTTGTCAGGAGCCAACCTGCATACCTGGTAAGGCCTCTCTTTCCCTTACCTATTCTATCGTCCTGCATTGAATCAAACAACCCTTGTATATACGCATGTCTGTAAACTAGCCGTCCTAGTCTGGAATTATGCCTCGTATGTCTATTGAAGCTCCCGAATAAAAGCAAAACTTTGACTCAAACAGTTAGGCTTGATCGCTTGAGGCTGAGGTTACCCAACAATTACCTCTGTTCCTTATTGCCCCGGCCAGGGGCGGTGCCGAATCGCGCATTGCATGGTATCTAGTGCAACAATTTTGCCATTGGCCGGAGTACGACGCATTCGAACTGAAAAGAACTGAAAGGGAAATTGAAAGAACCAATGCTGAGGGGTCTGGTGTATTCATCAAGATCCGTTGACATCCAGGGCGATCCGCGGCGGAGGATCCGTCTGAGACCAGGGTCCTGATTGAAGGGCGGTGCACGTCACGTGCGAGTTTTGGAGGAATCAGAAATTGGCACCACCAATAGTGAGACCGCGTCAAGAAACCATATCTCTTCCGCACGGCACTGCAAACTGTGAGCTCCCGGCGTTCCGGTCGACTTATTCACTCGTTGTAGCTCCTTTATCGGGGCATCCACTCACTTTAAAATATCCTCGATCCTTTTTCGAATCCAATTGGAGCGCAATTCCCAGCAATTGGTCCCTACAATTGGCCTCTTTCATCATGCACGCGTCCAGATATATGCTAGCATCAACATGGCTGCTCCTCCAAACGGCCAATGCTATCCCAGCCGCTTCCAAGGTTGCCAGAGCTGCAGCGAACCCGACGGACCCATGGGTGACGGTGGAAGAGTCCGGCCAGCCGAAGACAGTCACTCCCGTCCTGACGACGATTAGTGGCACCCCAACCATTATCTCGGGAGCCCCCAATGATGTGACCGGCACCGTCTTTACGCGGACGAGCATGGGCGAGGTGTCCACCCGGACCGGCGACCCCCCGATCCCGACAGCGACGGCGACCGGTGGAGCTGGCTCGTTCCCCGTTTGCCACAACAAGGACGGCGACAAGGCGCCGTTTTGCTTGCCTACTATGGGTACTTCCCTCTACCCGGGGACGACATATTACAGTAAGCGGTTGCCTTATCCCGGTCTCCCATATCTTACCGCCTCATCCTGACTGATCCTCCCCCTTCTCCTCTAGTAACCTGGGACCCGACATTCTTCAACGGGACCAACACGACCGTCGAAGTCATCGCCAACTATTTCAACACCAGCACGGGCGACATAATGGACCAGGCCTACTCGTGCAAAACCACCGCGGCCTGGTCCTTCTGCGCCTGGACCGTCGACTCCAAGATCCTGACCGACAAGTCGACCAAGGCCGTCAACATCTCGCTGAGCATCGCCGCGCTGCAACCCGGCGCCGGCGCCATGACCCCGTTCACGGGCCCCACCGTACTCGTCACCAGGCCGCCGACCTACCTCCCGCCCAAGGCCACGGCCCCGACGGGGCCCGCGCTGTACATCGGCCTGCCGACGGTCCTGGGCTTCGTCGCCCTCGTCCTGATCGGCACCTGCCTGTGGAACCGCCACTCACGCCGCATCGGCCTCGGCAACATCATGAGCCGCTCGCGCCACGGCTACGGCGTCGGCAAGAGCCGCCGCCAGAGGATCCGCCTGCCGGGTAGGGGCCGCCGCGAGCGTAAGGAGCAGGCCATCCGCCTAATGGACCAGGACGGAGGCGCCTCCGCCGCCGGGGCCGCGGAGGAGGCGCGGCGGCACGAGTACCACGACACGCCGGATCCAGCGGCGGCAGCGGAGGGACATGCCGCCCGTGGAGGGGCCACCGGGTGGCGCCAGGAGGTGCCCGGCCGGGATGAAAGTTTCGACTTCGGTCTGCCGCGGAGGGATAGCGATGCCCTCGGTAGCCTGGCCGGGACGCCGACCGAGGATAGGCGTATGGACCTCGGACACCCTGACGGGGGCAATGCCTTCCGAGATGAGCTGAGTCGGCAGGATAGGGAGAGATGGTAGGTGACTGCTTTGCTGAAGGGGGGCCGCGACGGGGACGGGATGTATCCTCGTCTAGCTGGAGGCCAGGCTGCGGGGATGTTGATGATTTTGGACTGAAACGGGGAAGCATATGAGAAACAGCTGTACGATTCCCAGAAGTGGTGTGTTGAGAACGAGCAGGCCGGTAATCTACACCTAGCTCCTAGCTCGCAGTTTTCCCAGAGAGCGCAAATTTGTAATCCTTAATGATAACCATGATATTCCTCCTACCAAGGGGCTTCCAAGTTGCGTTGAGAGATTGACCTGGAAGTACGGGGCTTCATAATGACTATAGTATCCCCTTTTTGTCGCTGAATTTACAGTCTATCAAGCTTATCTCCCCAACATCCCTCTGTCAACACCATGACAGCTCGTCGATTATTCAGGACCCGGGATTGCCGAAGACAATAGTACCGGGTTCTCTTATGAGATGCAAGATTATGGACAGTGTTCAACCTGGAGTTCTAGCTCAGACCAGGGCAACAGATCTGCCTGGTGAGGGACAGCACCCGTGCGATGTCTTCACCTTAGACGTTGCAATCCAGATGCACTCGTACTTTGTGATATATCCATGCTACTGACTCAACTCGTCGGACCGCCAGCCACACGCCCCGGTGTCGTTCAGAGTGGCAGCCCATCTGATCTGAGGGAAATGTACGATATCCCTCGACAGGAAGGACAGCGAGATCAGACCTGCGTGGTTGGCCTTCATACCTAGGCTAGACACTCCCCGAAAAGACGAGAATCGGTATAGGTTTGTCATAAGGGTCTCCCCGTCAACGGAACAATCGGTCAGAGTCCGAGGCAAGATAACCGGGACTTGCCCCCCAACCTCCCGGGAGGCAATTGACGGTCCACACATCCTCGGAGCATCGAGAATGATGGCCTGGGCCCCATACTAGTTCCTCTCAGAGGCAGGACAGGCGTGGAGCCTGGTGGCTATCTTCCTGCCTCGAAGACAATTCCGGGTTGGAAAGACAGGGTGGACGAATGCCCCAAACACCCCCTCAATAGTTAACAGGATAAGGGTTGAGGTAGAAGTAGGGAACAGCCGTGGCGCTAGATGGCAGAACCTGCGCAGCTACCTTTTCTCTCGCTAAGAAACCCCCCAACACCAACACCCCCGGCGTCCAAAGGTGAAGAGAGGTGTGGTTGAGAATACGAACGAAGACATCTAGCTCGCCGGACGGACAGGGCTTGGACCAGGTACGTAGCCGTCTTCAACTCTCAACGAGGACTGGATCGAAAGGGTAGAATCGGTTGACCAAGAGAGAGGAGACGAGGAGCTTGAACTTCAGGCGACCGTCAATCCCGGATGTTCCAGCAAGCCAGATAAAGAAAGGGTAAAAGACAAGGAACAGTTCCGGACACCCGTTCTTGCTCGTCACAGTTCCATGTGGTGTTCAGGGCACGGAGACACATTGAGAGGCTTGGCTTAAAGTCATCGTATTTTGTCAAACCAGACACTACAAAGCCTGCCTTGCCAGGACACTTGATCCCCCAATTCCCATCCCTTCCAAAACAAACAAAAAGGAACACGAGTCTGTCGAGTTTGTAATGTATTTTCCTCTTCAGGGCGCCGTTGCGCCGATCTCCAACCCCTTGTCGAGGCAGTATGCCGACCCTTGATTCGATCCAATCCATGATTCCCAGGACCCTGGGTTTCGAAGGGTAACGATGATAACACCCCCTTCCGTTCCCTCGCATAGCCAGAAAAAAATACGTGTTGATACCCAAGAAATCGCCGTGTTCCCCTAACTCCTTCACGTCATAACTCCGTCGCTGATAACCCCCAAGAATGTGATGAAGAACGTCAAAAGTGGATGGCAGCGGGTGACACTACCAATAAGCAAGTGATAGGAGCCTTGGCTCAGTAACTGAAGTCGACATTACCCATTTGTGGATTGACTTTATCGTCTTGTGAAGAAGTGCTTGTCCCGCTAACGCCAGTATCCGAATTCGACGTGGTAGTAGTGCTGCTCGTCCGGGCCGGTTGGAGTTCGTGTGCTTGTTCCTGGGGCTGGACGCCGCTGTCGGAATATCCAAAATCTCGCATCTGCTGGAAGCTCCAGCTCGGCTCGAACCGCTTGCTGTTCCAAGCGTAGTCGACTCTCTCGTACATCTCGTCGATCTGCTCCAAACTGATCTTGCTTGTCTCGTAGATCATACACCAGACAAAGAAGACAGCAACGATGCAGAACGCCCCCCATACGAAGAAGATTTTGGCGCCCATATCGGCATAGCCTTGGCCGGTCTCGACCATGTACGGGGTTCCATAGGCGATGCCAAAGTTGAGGAGCCAGTTCGAGGCAGTCGAGATAGACATGGACTTCGCCCTGACCTTCAAAGGGTAGATCTCGGACGTGACGACCCACGCGACTGGGCCCCACGAGGCAGCGAAGAAGAAGATGTAGATGGCAACAAATGTGATGAGGACCTTGTTGGCTGTGGTTGGCATGGAATCTCCAACTGCGGTGGTAAATGAGGCAATAAGCAATTGGCAGATGGCCATTCCAATGGCTCCGATAATGAGCAGGTTTCGTCGACCCCAGGATTCGACAACGAGCAGACCAGGGATGGTAGACACGGTGTTGATGACCTGCATGATGACAGATATCTGGAAAGGATTGGAGACGTTTGCTCCGTTGAAGAAGGTTGTACCATAGTACATGATGAAATTCACACCGGTGAGTTGCTGCAGCATCTGCAGGCCGCAACCCGTCAGTGTCCGCCGTCCGAGGTGCGGGGAGCCGAAGAAGATGTCCTTATAGGTATCGGGACCTAAGGCTAGTTCATATTCGTGGTTGGCCTCGATCTCGGCGAGTTCTTCCACGAGGGCAGGATGGGTGATGTCAAGGCGGCGAAGTCGACTAAGTGACAGGGCAGCGGCCTCCTTTTGCCCGCGCTTGATGAGATATCGTGGTGTTTCCGGGAGGACCAGTAGACCCAGCGCAAGGACACAGGCCCATGTGAGCTGAAGGCCCATGGGGATCCGATACGCTGCGGACCCATCGATTTCGTAGGTTATGATATTAACGATGGAAGCCGACAGCAATCCCACGGTAATAGATAGTTGGTAGGCGCAGACTAGAGTTCCTCTTATCCATTTCGGCGCCATTTCCGATTGATAGAGCGGTACGAGGACCGAAACTGTTCCAACTCCGACACCAGCAAAGAACCTATTTGGTCCCGCGTCAATCCAAGACCGCACTTCGCCAAAGGAATACGTCGAGAGGGGATGGCAATACACACCTTCCAACCAGCAACAAGGGTATGTTATGGGCGCAAACCTGGAATATCACGCCGAAGCAGAATACTCCCACTGAGGCGATGAGAGAGCGCCGCCGACCGATGGTATCGCCCGAGGGAGCGGCGAGCAAGGCGCCTAATACGGTTCCGGCGCTGAGCATGGCGACGATGATCGAAACTTCGTCCGGGGAGATGGCGAACTCGTGTGTTTTCGGGTCGATGTAGCCGGTTGTGAACTGCCTCACGAACGACTTCATTGCGAGAATGCCGTTTATGGACCTACGACAACGGACGCGGGTCAGCCTTAGTCCTCCTCCCAGTATTCCAACGACCTCCCAAATTCCTTTTGCAAGAGATCGCGGTATTCTCACCCTGTATCGTAGCCGAACAGCATCCCGCCGGTGGCCACGAAGAGGCCGACCATGATGGCGGGAGCCGACGAGCCGGCGACATTATCGGGCTTGTGCCAGCCCATGGCAATCGCCATGGTGACGGTAAGGGACGGTCAGGCCAGGATCGTTGTGTTCGTTGGCCGATGATGTCGCGAGTTGACTCGACCAGATGTGCGGTCGACCATTTGACGACGAGCAAGCAGCAGTCTTTTGCCTGGGTGCGGGTAATATGAGATGGATTGGATTAGGGAAAAGAGTGGAGAACAGGGAGGGAAAAATGGCGAGAGAGCCCATCGCACTTTCTGGTCTTCGTCCGGGGGAGCGCGCGCTGATTGGCGGACTGTCCCAATGGTCCATTGTCACCCTCCAACTCGCTTCCCCTTAATCCACCATTCCTCTTCCGTCAGGTTGGCCTGCCCCCGGCCCCTCCCAAGCCCGCTGCCGAGCTTGCTAGCCATTCTCCACCTAGTCATCAAGTCTCATGCAGGGAAAGGATCCATATGTACTTGATTGGTACCGCACTATTATGGTGGTCCTGTTCAGCGAAGCTTTGTTGGCACTTCAGGTGATGCTAATGGCAGTCGCTTTTCAAGTAGCGCACCCCGCGTGGACTTTTAAAGGGCAGTTTTCCGTTGCTTGCTCCCATAACATGGAATACGGTGCATGCAAGACGTTAAACCAACCTCGAGCTTAACAGATACTACGAATCGGCACGAAGTTTGAGTACTCCTAGGCTCACCAAGCAAGGCACTGGGCGAGGCACTTTCGGCCTTCGCATGGGATGCTGAAGCGGGGATTGAAGGCGGAGGCGCCTTATAAATCAGTACATCTGAAGTACAAGAGTGCCTACACAGGCGGAAATAACTATTTGTATTGCCAAGGTACCTCTCATATCGGGAGTTGCAGCCAATTGGTCGATTGTGGACGCCGGACGCTTACTGTGTGTTGGTGCACACTGCATAGGAGACACTAGGTACTACACGATCGTGGTCGATCTCTGCCTAACTAGCCTAGCTGTGCTTCCCAAGTGTGGAGGATGAGGCATGATACTTCCTGGTGGGTGGTAACTTTGGGGGATGTGTGGGCGGTCTGATTGACCGAGCTGACTGTATGAATGATTGAACTGGCTGTATGAAACGGCGCCTCTAACCTCCCACCCTCCCTTCCCCTACGCCGTAGGAACCTCCATGGTAGGAAGGTTCAGGTGCCTGGCGGAAGCCAAAAGTCGCACCATTCCTAGCCACTTCATGCACTTGACTGGCTCAATGTTAGTTCAGGGAGGTAAGACTGTTCTCTCATGAAGCAGTCCAGTGTGCCAAACAGCGGTGATGCGATGCGCAATGGCTTGTTACTGGCTGCTCCAGGCAAGCAACGATTGCTAATAAGTACCCAACCAGGACCGCGTTTCTCCTCTGTTTGTGGCGTGTTGAACTGGACGCTTGCTTTCCCCCTGGCTATCTTTGTCATGGAACCAGTTTCTCGAGACCAAGGATGCAGGTCTCGAGGCTATTGCACCAAACCTTCTGCCCCAGACGGCTACGAATAGAGTTAAAGTTATCGTAGCTCCGCCCAGCTGAGAGAAAACCGATCCATGGTTCTATCAAATGCGGGCTGAGAAGCCCGGGCCATCCCTGCGGCCGGAGTCCTTTGAATCCTACCAGATCAGATGGGAGGAAGAGACAAAAAAAAGCAACCCCCCAATCACATCCCTCGCGTGATGCAGCTTTCAAATTAACAAGCACCACACCCCCCCATCCGTGCCCCTTCGTTCGAGCCACGCTCGGTGCCGTCTTCCCTCGCTTGTCGGGTGCCGAACCACATCGGTTGCCCGCGCACCGCTTAATCGTTTGGATTCCCCCCGCAAGACGCTCTCTTTAATGTCCTGCTGGGCTACGGCTGGAGTTTTGGCACTCCCTTTCCCCGCCAAAAAAAAAGTCAGCGAGGCCTCTACATGTTCGTGACATAAGAGTACCAGAGCGGTATTTGACGGCTCTCGCTGGATGTTGTTGCTGCTGTTCAGCTGGGCTTCATAATACGTAGTTGTGACGTTTGGTCTCAGTTGGCGCGCTCGCTGGTTTGCTCCCCAGACGGGAGAAGAGGGGCGGGCTCTGGTGGGGACACACCCACCATTTTGCTAGGCCTCCTCCCGGTTCTGCCCCAGACTGTCTTGCTTCTTTTCGAGCCAAGAAGCTGTCACAGAGTCTAATGGGAGGACATCGTGAAGCATGGGAGCAATGGCATGCAACTGGATCAGCTAGATGGTTATTAGCTTTGATTCTGCCTCTGCGTAGTCCGTACCCGCATCCTGTGTGTGTTATCTCGGCGTCTCCCTGTGCCGGTATTGGCAGCACAAAGCTAGTTGGACAAGGCTAAACGTAGGTGGTTTAGGTTGAGCAACTTGAGACTTCGCAATCTCGGGAGGTTCATGGATGTCAACCGGTGTACCGCAGTATCTATACAAAACTCAGGCAATTGCCCCTTCCTTCTTGTTTCTAACACAAAATCCAATTCACCCAGTACCGGAAGCTATCAGGAGTACATACAGCTCTAAATGCGAAGCTGCAGGCTGCAATGAGAGACCATCTCAACTCGAGTCATAGCCAGCTTCTCTGTCTTGTAAGCCAAAGTAAAAATAAAAAATAGTACAGTCTCCCTCCCGCACTCAGATCTCCAGTGTCGGCGTCTGTCCCTTTACCCGTCCGATGACTTGCTCCGGTGCGTATTTGGGGATGACCTCGTCGTCGTGCAGCATCTCAAACTCCTCAGTAGCATCCCGGCCCATGAAGTTAAGGATCGCCTGGGGACCGCCCGGGTGCTCGTCAAGCCAGTTGGTCAGGTCCATAACCACGCCTTTGACCACGACCCAGAGGTCCTCCTTGGTGTTGTGCTTGGCGACCTCCTCCATGGTGAATTCCTTCTCGGGGATGGAGAACTTCTTGGGCTCGCTTGGCTTGGCCGCGGGCTTGCCGCCTTCCGTGGGAGTCGGCCCGGCGGCGGCGGTCCTCTGGGTCGTCGGAACCTCTGAGCCGCTGCCTGATGATGACCACTCTACCGAGAACTTGCCAGGCTGCGACGGGTCAATGTGCAGGGCGATCTGGCCGAGGCGCTGGGCGGCACCAGTGCTTCCCTTCAGCGCCTGCTGGAAGAGGTAGTTGCTTGCCGAGTCGCCGGCGACACGACCGTAGACCACACAGCCGAGAAGGGATGAGCCACCGAGCCGATTGGCACCGTGGACGCCGCCAGCGAGTTCACCACAGGCAAAGAGGCCTTCAAAGGGCTTCTGCTCCATGTCAAGGACCTGGGCGCGGTCGTTGATCTCAACACCGCCCATGGTGAAGTGGAGCACAGGCTCCATCACCGAGACATGGAAGGTATCGTCGATGTCGAAGGGGCAGCTCGTGAAGTATTTCTTGCCCCACGGATCCTTCTGCTTGCCGTCGGCGATTGCGTTGTACGACTGGAAGGACTTTTGGAGGTGCTCCGGTGAGCAGCCAATCTCCTTGGCCAGCTCCTTGCCGCTCATCTTCTTCATCAGGCCACGGCCAGAGTAGTGGCGGGTGTGGAAATCGAGGGTATTGGAGGCCTTCGAGTTCAGGACCAGGCGAATCGGGAACTTGCCATTGTCCTTCTCCTTCCACATCATGCCCGAGACATAGTCCCGGTGGCCGAGCTCGTCGCAGAACCGGTCGCCGTCCGCATTGAGGAGGAGACCGCCCTCGCCACGGAGAGCCTCGGCGGCAAGGAACTTCCACTTGGAGCCAGGGTCCTTGGGGTCTACCAGGCCTGTGGGATGGACTTGGACCTTGTCCATGTCGATGCCGTTACCGCCAATGGCCATGACCATCTTCTGACCGTCGCCAGTGGCGTGGGCGCCGTTTGTGGTGGCGAGACCGAAGGTATCCGGCCGGTGCTTCTTCAACAGAGAGCTGTCGCTGAAGTCTGCGGCATAGCCACCAGTTGCCAGGACCACGGGCCCATCCAATGAGTGTGTCTCACCGCCGACCTCGTATGCCACACCGGTAACGGTGTGTCCATCCTTATTGAGGCTAGTGACACGAGCCTTCTTAATGATGTGGACTCTGTCGGGCTCTGATTCTGCCAGCTCCTCGAGCCTCTGCATCAGGGCGTAGGTGATGGCCATGCCGGGGAACTTTGCATCGTGGCCTCGGTGGGTTCGGGGCTGCGAGTGACCACTGACTCGAGTTAGAACAGAAGAAGCTTTAAGGGACGGGGACGGGTTGGATGGGATTTGCGACTCACCCTAACCGCGAGACCAGGGTCAGGTCGAGGTTAAAGACCTCCTGGAGCCACTCAACGGCGGCGGCGGACTTGTAGGTAAGCACCTTGATGAGGTCCGGCCTCGCCTTGTCACGGGCGGACTTGAGGGTGTCATCGTAGAATTGCTTGACGCTGTCCTGGATACCGAGGTCGACCTGGGTCCTTGTCAAGGCACCGTTGATTCCGGATGTGGCTTTTGTCGAGTTGCCTCCGAAGAAGCCCTGTTTGTCGAGGACAACGACGTTGCCGCCGGCCAGGTAGATTGTGTGGGCAGCGCTGAGTCCGGAAACTGTACAAGTCACTGGTTAGCGCATGTGAAGATATGACAGCATTGCGGGGTCTAAGCCAGCAGCGCAATTGGGGGAGACTTACGGCCACCACCGACGACGATAACTCTGGGTGCCATCTTGACTGATTACTGCCTTGGAGGTGAGGAGGCAATGACAAGAGAGCTTGGGAAAATGTATGGAGAGAGATTGATGTGTGGGAGAAAAATGAGAGAGAGAGGGAGAGTCAGGTCAGAAGGAATGTTGGAGTAGATGCTCGGCCTCTTTTAGCTGCCCTTTGCGGTTTGAATTACTGACACTCTGATTCGTTAGCCGAGGTCTAAAGGCCCAGTGACAGGGACTACAACAGTAGGGGTTTCCTCCGCAACGTGCCATGCCGTCATGATGGAACTCACCGAGGGTATTTTATTTGCTTTGATCCCAGAAACATGCGCGTATGAAGAATCAACGGTGCACTTGTTCTCCAATTTAAGCACGAGGCGGCCAGCTAACCCTTGATGTTACTTTTTGAGAACCGGCGACTTCTCCGAGGGCACCCCCCCGTACCTCGCAGGCAGATTGACCGAGGAGTCCGGTCGCTAGGTTGAAGTGCCGAGGCTTAATGCACACTATTTGCACACTAAAGGCAGCACAGTCTCAGTTGCACTATGGAGCTCGCACTGGAATCTTTAGGTCTGATTAACTCGAACACGCTTCATGACGAGACGCAGGAGAGAGGTGGTATCTAAGCATCCAACCAGCGCCACCCACCGTTCTTCACATGTGACGGACGCCGGCTTCTCCGCCGCCAAGATCACCTGCACCACTTTACCCCAGAGTCAGATTTGGCGAGTCAGATGATCCAACACCGGTCGTCTTGCTTTCTTCAGACGGTACCTATCCATACTGGCATGTGAAAGTCGTCGGCTAAGGCAGCCCACGGGAAATTCTACCCCAGTTTGTTGCCCAGACTGTTGTCCTTGGACTTACCATAAGTCCATATCATGAGTCCATAGCGGTTCACGCCTTGGGCCAATAGGCTCCAATCAATAGGACCATAGGTAATGCGGCGCCTTCAACGAATGTCACGTGCCGTATCAAATGACACTGCCATACGTCATGGTATCACCATCGCGGGCCGGTTAATCTTGGGCAGGTCCAAGTTTTGTTGAAACTCTTAGCAAACCCTGTTAGCTACCTGTATTTCGGTGCACGACACTGTTTCCATCAAACCTTTATTCGTCCCATAGTAGACCCAGAATGAGACTCGTGTCTTTTTTTGTCTTCGCCCTGAGCGCCGTGGTCTCTTCACAGTTAGTCGTCGTACCCCTCCATCGAGGTGGGAGAGGCTTCGCCGGCCCTCAGATGCCACCAGGCCTCAAGCTCGACCCAAATCAACGCCCAATCGTAGAGTCTTCGGGACACGGCCCGGACTCTCCCTCCGCGGGAGGTTCCAGTTCAGTCATGCTCTCGGACGTGATGGGCCGGGATCGGAGCATCAACATATTCGCCGGCATGACACGCGACATCGGGTCCGTGTCCCAGCGCCTCGAAGATTCGTCCAAGAACTCGGTTGTTCTGGCTCCCCTGAACTCGGCCATCGACAACCTTCCTAGGAAACCCTGGGAGGACCCGGAAGAGTACAGTGCGCTGGGCGCGAATGCCTATGAGGGAGAGGAGGGTTACGAGCGGGCGCAGAGGAACCTGCAACGGTTCGTCGAGGCGCACATAATCCCCCTTCACCCGTGGCCGGAGGGCAAGAAAGTCAAGCCTATTGGCAATGATAGGGAAGTCTGGTGGGAGGAGAGGGATGGCACTAAAGTGGTATGTCAAGTCGTCGTTATTCTTCCGTCGGAGCGGTTGCTAACACGCAGGGATAGATCCAGCCAGACAATATCGAGGTTGTCGATGTTGCGGGTTCTGTTGCGAATGGTCAACTGGTAGGGCCCCCTCACCCCTCCCCCTCCCCCTCCCCCTCCCCCTCCGCTTTATGGTTTGCAGCTCCGCTTCTTGAAAGATGCTGACCGTGTCACAGTGGATTCTGAAGGGTGTACGAAACTACTGATATTCGTCTGTCCGAGACGAAATGGTTCGTGATGAAGCAAAGCGGTGGTTAGCTGTACGTCTGTATTTTGCCTCAGGTTCATTGACACCATTGGCACACCGTTATGGCTTGCTTTCCGAGGGACATGGATAACACTGAATGGCGTTGGGTTTGGATCATGACGGGAATTAGTTATCGAGGCTGGACCAGACTCTAATGATTATGAATGACGGGGAATGGAAATATACCTACCTACTTGATAATTGTCTGCTACGTATACAGCTTCCACCGCCACCACAAGACTAGGTAGGTACCTACCTACTCACCAGGCAGGCCAGTTGCCTTGGATAATTACCAGCAAAGTGGTGGGCTTGGAATTTCCATTCATGGAGGATTAGAGTATCTAAAGGGCAATACCGCAGCATATACACCAAGACTGTCTGATAATTTATTGACCTTTGCTCTCGCTTCTGCCGCAGGGACAGCTGCATTGTGCTTAGAAGTCTAAAGGATTACATCTATTGCTGTATGCATCAGTAGGCTGCTTGAGAAGAAGTCAGGTTTGTGGTGAATTGCATCGACCAACGGCGCAAGGGGAATGAGTGAATAGGTACCTGGGAAAGGTACCTTATCGCGGAACTGGGTGGGAAAATGGGTTCTGCCGAAGTGGGTCCTCTCTTATCGGTGGTCGGCAAGTCCCGTCTCTGTCAGAGAAGAAGATCTGCTGCAGCTCCCAGAACTGGCATCACACACCAAAGTGCGCCTCTCCTACTCTCCTATTCCTCGACCCGCAAGCAGTCCCGGCCGCGTTTGTCTTTAAGGCATTTGAAAATCCTTACTTCAGCATACTCCTTCTTAGGTTTTTGAGGCATTCTATGGTGCAAATGCAGAGTTGACACGCGCGTCAACCTTGTAAGCTGTCCCTCCCCTTTCGATCCCTTCGTCTTTTTCGCCCAGTCTACCCGCCTTCCCCCGCAATCTCCCTGAGTTGCCGCTCTATGCTACAGCCTGGGTCGCGTATTTGGCTGCAGCAAAATACTGATTGGGATGCAATGAGCACAGGTCTATTGGAACTATGAATTCGCAAGGGCTTCACGGCGGCGCGGCCTTCGACCGCGACCGTGAGGTTGACGAGCAGCGTCATCGGGCAGCCCTCCAACAACAGGACGAGATAGCACACCGGGAGCGCGAGCAGACTGAGCGACAGCACCGAGAACCATACCAGCCCAGCGCTCCTCATCACAGCAGTGCCGGCTCAATACCCCTCCACCAGCCAGTTGCCGCGCGCATGAACTCGATCCACAGCCCCGGTGGCCTTCTCGCAAACCACGGAGGCTCAACCCAATCCATGCCCATGGGCCCTCATCCTGGCCCTGTCTCCAACTTCGGGGGCCCGATGCATAATGATCCTGGCCGGCCTTCACAGCAGCACCCCGGCCCTCCTACCGGGCCAGGACCTCAGCATCAGATGTTTGCGCCACTGGCCCACGCCCCCAGTGGACCCAACAACTCCCTCGGCGCGTCGAACGGCCCGGCCTCCATCTTTGGCGGACCCTTGCAGCAGGATAATGCTCGACCGGCGGCCCAAGACGGTGCTCGGGTGATGCAGCAGATTCCCTTTGGTTCGGGTATGGGCGGCGGCGGCGGCCACCCGATCCCACCGGCGGGGCCTGGGGGAGTACCTCAGGGCCAGCAGCCCATCTTGAATGTGAGTGTTTGAGGGCCTCGATCGATGCTTTGTTTGCCGTGTCTTCGGGTGGACGTGCTGACAGATGTAATGCCCAGGACGCGCTGAGCTACCTTGACCAAGTCAAGGTGCAGTTCCATGAGCAGCCAGACGTGTACAACAGATTTCTAGACATCATGAAAGACTTCAAGAGCCAAACGTAAGCTGCGCCTGGTAATATCGTAGTCATGGCTGAGTCGCTGACTTCGATAGCATTGATACCCCAGGAGTCATTAGTCGAGTTTCCGAGTTGTTCGCCGGCCACCCGAACCTGATCCAGGGCTTTAACACCTTCTTGCCGCCAGGCTATCGGATTGAATGCGGGCTTGAGAACAACCCGAACAGCATCCGCGTGACGACGCCCTCGGGCTCGACAATCCACTCGATCGGTGGACCAAGGCCTGTCCCGCCAGAGCCAAGCCAGCCAGCACCTGGTCCCACGCAGGCATATATCGGCCAGCGCCCCGGGGTCTGGCAAGTGCAGCAGCAACAGGTGCAGAATGCTGCCGAAAGCCCCGAAGCCAACTTCAGTGTTCCTGCTCCCACCGGCCCTGCCCCCTTTCCTGGCTCCAGTCAGAGTGCATCTTTCGAGGGCAACAGTCCGAACCAGCAGAGGGCGGTACCCGCAATCCAGGCCGGTTCTGCTGTGGGCCTCGCCCCTGTACCAAGGAATGCGCATACTCCAACTCCAGCGGGTGGTCAGGGTAATGTGAACGGCGGTCCTTCGCAACAGACCACCATGGAAAAGCGTGCCCCTGTCGAATTCAACCATGCTATTAGCTACGTGAATAAGATCAAGGTGAGTGCGGTCTGAAAACCAGCTATACGAAAAAAAATTCGATCCCTCCCCTCCGCTCTGAGCGAACTCTACCCCTGTTACTAACCTTGACTTCCTCACTCAGAACCGCTTTCAGGACAAGCCAGAAATCTACAAACAATTTCTCGAGATCCTCCAGACCTACCAGAGAGAGCAGAAACCCATACAGGACGTCTATTCTCAGGTGACAACCCTGTTCCACACCGCGCCAGATCTTCTCGAAGACTTCAAGCAGTTCCTCCCCGAATCTGCCGCCCAAGCGAGATCAGCCGGCGCTCGGATGGAGGAAGCAATCAACCTAGGCGCTGCCGCCGCCGCACCCTCTCTCCAGCCTGGACAGCCTACGCGGGATGGGCCAAAGATGCCCCCTGTAGGGAATTTTGCGCCGCCGGCGAGCGCTGGTAAGGAAAGCAGGAAGAGACCTCGACCTGAGAAAGCAGCCCCCGCCTCGACAGCTCCAGTCTCCGAAGTGCCGACGTCGGCCGTCCGAGGATCTGTCGCCGCTACCTCGAGTGGAAACAAGAGGGCCAAGCTGTCCCACAAGCCAGGTGTCCCTGATGGTCCACTCGTCGAGCCTACCCTGACGCCGATCATGCCCGAACCTCTTGGGCCGTTGCCGGTTGCAGCTTCGTATCCGGAGGACATGCACTTCTTCGATCGCGTCAAGAAGCAGATCGGAAACCGAACGACGACAAACGAGTTCTTGAAGCTCATCAACCTGTTCGTCACGGATCTAATCACCAAGGAGGCGCTCGTTCACAAGGCGAGTCAGTTCATCGGGTCTAGCCCCGATCTTATGAACTTCTTGACGTCCTTGCTCCAGTGCAATGGCGAGGATGAAGAGGTTGAGAATCTGCCAGGGGCACCCATTGGGCGTGTCTCCCTGAGCAACTGTCGTGGCTACGGGCCAAGCTATCGCCTTCTCCCCAAGCGCGTAAGTAAACATCTCTCTCTACCTTGTGGCTGGCATACTCTAACACCGTGTAGGAGCGTATGAAGCAGTGTAGTGGCCGCGACGAGCTGTGCAACTCGGTCCTTAACGATGAGTGGGCGTCACATCCGACCTGGGCATCCGAGGATTCGGGGTTTGTTGCCCACCGGAAGAATGGCTACGAAGAAGGCCTTCATCGTATCGAAGAAGAACGCCACGACTACGATTTCTATATCGAGGCGAATCAGAAGTGCATCCAGCTACTGGAGCCAATCGCGCAGCAGATGCTTACCCAGCCGGAGACGGAGCGAGGCACGTTCAAGATGCCATTCGCCTTGGGTGGCCAGAGCACCTCCATCTACAAACGTGTTCTTAAGAAGATATACGGTCCGGTGAAGGGTGGCCAGGTTGTCAACGAAATGTTCAGCAACCCGTTCTCCGTCGTCCCCATAGTCATGGCACGCTTGAAGCAGAAGGATGAGGAGTGGCGGTTCACCCAGGTATGCTTCACTCCCCCTAATCTAGAGGATGTGCTGATGACTAACTTTTTTGCTACAGCGTGAGTGGGAAAAGGTCTGGCAAAGCCAGACTGAGAACATGCACTTGAAGAGTCTCGATCACATGGGTATCCAAGTCAAGTCGAACGATAAGCGTACCCTCTCGGCGAAACATCTTGTCGATGTTATCAAGACGAGGCACGAGGAGCAGAGGCGCGCCCGAGCCGCCAAGGGCAAGACCCCACGATACCAGTTCCTCTATAGCTTCAAAGATCAGGATGTCCTCCTCGACCTCCTCCGCTTCATGAGCGTCTTCGCCACTGTGGGTGGCCAGCACAATGCAATGGAGCGGAGGCGCATCCTGGACTTTTTCGAAAACTTCATCCCTCAATTCTTTGACCTCCCAGAGGAGTTGGTCCAGGAGAAGCTTGCGGATATCGACCAGGATTCGGCCGAGGAAGAGGAAGACGAACCAACGCCGGCCGAGCTGACGAATGGGCGGCCTCGCCGCAATGGCAAGAAATCGGACCTCCTTCGTGGCGTGTTGGACCCCGGCCGCAACGGCAGCAGGTCGCGGACGCACAAAGAAGAGAGCGCCGCATCTGGCAGCAAGGAGACGACACCCGATGTCGGATCTGGCAACGACGAAGAAGCTGCCGATGCCGCAGAAGACGTCGCTGTCCCGGAAGTGTCCAACGACCGATGGTTGCCCACGGTCCCTCGGCCGACGATAGTCAAGGAAGCGAGGAATCGCAGGGATGACCATGATGGCGCCTTGCTCGACGTTGATGGCGAGCTCAAGGCAGACGCGCCATTCCCACGTTCCTGGTACAATTTCTATTGCAACCAGAACATCTTCGTCTTCTTCAGCGTCTTCCAGGCGCTATACAGCAGACTGGAGGGCGTCAAGAACAGCCCGGAGAGCGTCATTGAGCAGATCCGACGCGAAAAGGCCGAGAAGCCGGCCAAAGTCCTTGGCCTTGTCCGCGATGATATGCACTTCTTCGACGATGAAAATCCCGAGACCTTTTGGCCTCGCACCACGGAGCTGATCGAGGAATTCATCACCGGCGAGATAGATGAGGCCAGGTATCAAGACATTCTCCGGCATTACTATCTGAGGAAGGGCTGGACTCTCTACACCATCCAGGACCTTCTCAAGATCCTGTGCCGGGTTGGCCTCGCGTGCAACAACCCCGACACGAAAGGCGAAAAGACGAAGGAGCTCGTCAGGGAGTATCTGGCAAGCCGCCACCAAGAGGAGACGAGCTACCAGACCGAGATCAGCGCGCGCAAGTTTGCTGAAAAGTGCATCAAGGACGGCGAGATGTTTGTCATCTGTTGGGTAAGTGCAAAGCTCTGCTGGGCGTCTTGTCTGTTTTCTCCCCTCGCTAACAATCTACCTCGCCAGTATCCGTCCAAGAAGGAGACAACAGTCCGCTGGCTGCAGAAAGATGAGACCACCTTCTACACGGACGAGATGGAGCGTAAGGAGCAGTGGCAGTACTACATCTCGTCGTACATGCGCATCGAGCACACGGAAGGCGTCATTCGGTCACGACTCCAGAAAGTGCTGCTTGAGCGGAACCTCCCATCGGGTGCTAATGACTCTTCCGATGACGGTTATAAACCCAAGCCTCTGTTTGTCCACGAGGGCCTGATCCTGCGCATCTGCCTGCTTTCCTACAAGATCGTATACGAGAAGGACACTTCGGATTACTTCGTCTACAACACGGCCCACTTCGACTCGGCTGACGAGCGGAAATTCCACGAAGATAAGCAAGTCTTCATGAAGGAGGTCCGCGAGGAGAGGTTCAAGGAGAAGATGGTCATGAACAGCCCCTGGATGAAGAATATGAGCCAGGAGGAGGTCCAGAAGATGAATGAGGACTATCAGAAGTGGGCCAACCAGGGTGTCCCATTGCCTTCGGCACAGAGGCAGAGCGGAGATACGGCCATGACTTCCTAAACAGCCTCCGCGTGCGCCAACAGCTTCCAGCACAAGTCTACATCCAGCGTCGACTTATTTTTTTCCTTGAACTTATCACGACTTCAGCGCGATCTTTTGGGTTAGCTCATCATTGGACGTAACCATGTGCAACAAGAGGCTACACGGAACTTTGCAGGGTAGAGGTGGTGGCGGCGGCGGTGGTGGTGGTGGTGGTGGCTTGAGCCGTCAGGGCATGTTTTTTCCTTTCCAAGCCTTTGCTCAGGTATATTCGATGCAGGCGGTGAGGAGCCCAAGGGCAGGAGAAGATGCTAGGCGTTTTCCCCATTATGTACACTACTCCATGGGATGGAAGCGCTTTTCTTTCCCATTTTTCTTTTGAGACCGATGGATGGATCGATGCTGGCTTCATTTCTTTTTTCCTTTCCTTTTTCTCTCTCCTGTTTACTGATAACCCCGAGAGGCGTGGGAGGTCACTGGAGCACTTCATAAAAGATACCGCGTTATCCTAGTGCTAAAAAGCCACATTATTCATGGAATTTCCCATTAATTACCTATACTTTGGCAAGCTTTTGAGGATGCCCGTCGATGCAACGAAGTTGTAGACTTCTCGATAGTATTATGCATGAACGCTCCCATCCAGGCTGTCCCAGACACACACCATGTCGCTCCCCTGTTTTACTAGGTTCTTACCGAGCTTTCCCGCCCGTTCTATGTCCCACTCCACCAGGCTCACTGCAAGTTCTCGATGACGATGGCGGAAGCACCACCGCCGCCATTGCAGATGCCGGCGACGCCGATCTTGGCCTTCTTCTCGCGCAAGACGGTGGTCAGGGTGGTGACGATGCGGGCGCCGGAGCAGCCCAGCGGATGGCCGATGGCGACGGCGCCGCCGAAGACGTTGACCCTCTCCGGGTCGAGGCCGAGCAGCTTGATGTTGGCGAGGGCGACGACGGAGAAGGCCTCGTTGATCTCGTAGTAGTCGACGTCGCCAGCGGTCAGGCCGGCGTGCTTGATGGCCTTTGGGATGGCGAGGGCCGGGGCGGTGGTGAAGCGGGCGGGCTCGCGGGCGGCGTCGCCCCAGCCGACGATCCTGGCCAGGGGCTTGATGCCCAGCTCCTTGAGCTTGGCCTCGGAGACGAGGACGACGGCGGCGGCGCCGTCGTTGAGGGGCGCGGCGTTGGCGGCGGTGACGGTGCCGCCGTTGGGCACAAAGGCCGGGCGCACGGCCTTGAGCTTGTCGACGTTGAGGTTCTTGACCTCCTCGTCACGGTCGACCTTGACGGCCGGCTTGCCGCGCCCGCCGCTGACCTCGACGGGGGCGATCTCGGACGCGAAGACGCCCGCCTCGGTGGCCGCCTGCGCCTTCTGGTACGTCTTGATGGCGTACTCGTCCTGCATCTCGCGCGTGAGCCCGTGGTCCTGGCTGCACAGCTCGCCCTGCATGCCCATCAGCTCCTGCTTGCCGTACGCGTCGCGGAGCCCGTCCTTCTGCACGCCGTCGACGAGCGTCTGGTCGCCGTACTTGGCGCCCGTGCGGAGACTCGGCAGGTAGTGGGGGGTGTTGGACATGGATTCCGTGCCGCCGGCGACGACGATCGAGGCGTTGCCCGTCATGATGGTCTGCGCGCCGAGTATGATCGCCTTGAGGCCGGATGCGCAGACTTTGTTCACCGTCGTGCACACGACGGCTTCTGAGAGCCCCGCGTTGATGGCGCATTGGCGAGCCGGTGCCTGGCCGAGGCTGGATTAGGGGGACAAACACGGTCAGTGGGACTGCATGTAGAGAGCAAGGTATGGGTGGATGTACTTGGCCGAGAGCACGTTCCCGAAGAAGACCTCATCGACATCTTCAGGCTTGATCTGTGGGACTCGCTCGACAGCAGCTGCGAAGTTTGTCTGTCAGCGCTGGAGAGGGGGTTTTTGGGGATAACTCGAAATGAGAATGAGTGAAATCGTACCCTTGATGGCATGAGAGCCCAATTGGGTGGCACTGAGGCTCGAGAGAGAGCTGGGCAGGTTCAGAGGGTGAGTTCGTGTGTCCGTTTTGCAGTCGTGGGACCTCCCTCCGGATTCGGCGGTGAGGGGTATTGGGGTCAAAACTTACCCAAGGAATGACCCCACGGGAGTTCTTGCCACAGCGGCGATGTAGACTGGAGGAAGACCTGACATGCTGAAATTTGTGCGTATCGACGTGTTACCAAGTAAGAATTGAGGAGAAACCAGAGTCGAATCGAGGATGAGACCGTGGGAGAGTGCTCGTGGATATTCTAAGCGCCCAGCAAGGCCGCGTCTTCGCTCTTTCAGGGGTTTGTCTTGGTCCTGGACAAAATTCCTTTCACCGCTTTTCGCTGCATCAATAGCCAACCCTAACCCTTGCATGCATCAGAGGGGCAGCCCCGCCAGGAACTGGAGCTAGGCTTCTTGGCAGGCGCGCATCTCAGCCACCCACAGCCTTTAACCATCCTGGGCTGTAGCTATGGTAGCCTTGCAGACTGATGCTCTCTAAAATTTCGAAAGGCTGAAGCTCAGATCGACAACGACAACAACCACATCGTATCCGCACCACTTCCAGACCAGCACAACGAACGTGCTCAATTGCGCCATGGATGACCTTTACGATGAGTTCGGCAACTTCATTGGCGAAGAGGCCGAAGCCTCTGAGGAGGAGTCGGAGCGCGGCGTGGATGCTGGGAACTATGTCTACGATGAATACCCTGAGGAGGCTCCCGCAGCCACTGGCATGGAGCTGATGGAGGTTGATGGTAAGGCCCAGTCTCAGCCGGATACGTGCTCTTTCGCTCTTTCCTTTTCTTCTAACAAACTTGACAGATGAGGGCCCTTCCAACGCGGTCGTCCTCCACGAGGATAAGCAGTATTACCCGACAGCGGCTCAAGTATACGGAGAAGACGTCGAGACCATGGTCCAGGAGGAGGATGCGCAACCACTCACAGAGCCCATCGTTGCGCCGGTCGAGCAGAAGAAGTTTACGGTCGAGGAAGTTGATCTCCCTCCCGTTTTCTTCGACCGTAGCTTCATGACAGACCTCATGAACTACCCGGAACAAATACGGAACATCGCGCTGGCTGGCCACCTACATCACGGAAAGACGGCTTTTATGGACATGCTCGTTCTTGAGACTCACGATATCACGGATAGGCTAGAGAAGCGGACGGGGAAAACAAGAGACGAACAACTGAGGTATACGGATGTGCACATCCTGGAGCGGGAACGCGGCCTCTCGGTCAAGGCATCACCGATGAGTCTGGTTCTGCCGAGCACCAAGGGAAAGTCGCACCTATTCAACATACTCGATACCCCCGGTCATGTCAACTTCGTGGACGAGGTGGCCGCTTCCCTGAGGCTGGTGGATGGCGTCTGCTTGGTCGTTGATGTCGTCGAGGGTGTTCAAGTCAACGCTGAGCAGATCATCAAGCACGCGGTCCTCGAAGATATCCCCATCACGCTCATTGTGAACAAGGTGGACCGGTTAATACTGGAGCTCAAGCTACCTCCCAACGACGCCTACTTCAAGCTGAAGCACGTCATCGAGGAGGTGAACACCCACATCGAAAACACAATACCGGGGAAGAGTGGAGAGAGACGATTAAGTCCTGAGAAGGGCAACGTCCTTTTTGCGTGCACAGATATGGGTTGGTGTTTCACACTCCAATCATTTGCGAAGATGTACTCGGACAGCTACGGGGGTGTCAACACAGACGAGTTCGCTCGCAGGCTATGGGGCGATGTCTACTTCAACCCGGAGAAACGGACCTTCACACGGAAACCAATCGAAGCAAATGCGAAGAGGTCGTTCGTCAACTTCGTCCTGGAGCCTATCTACAAGCTATTCTCACACACCATCAGTGAGGATCCCAAGGAGTTGCAGGGCACGTTGGGAAAGCTGGGGATAACTCTCAAGCCATCTCAGTACAAGACAGATGCCAGGGTTCTCCTGAAGCTAGTGTGCGAGCAGTTCTTCGGGCCCTCCACAGGGTTCGTCGACATGGTGGTGCAGCATATTCCGTCGCCTGTCGAAGCGGCGGAAAAGAAGCTTCAACAGTATTACACCGGCCCGTTATACACGAAGGTTGCAGAGTCTATGAAGGCCTGCGACCAGAACGGACCATTGGTGGTGCACGTCACGAAACTCTTTAACACCACCGATGGAAAGAGTTTTAACTCGTTTGGCAGAGTGATGAGCGGCATTGCACGGCCCGGCGCCCAGGTTCGTGTCCTTGGCGAGGGTTACTCTCTCGACGATGAAGAGGACATGGCAATGGCCAAGATATCGGAGGTCTTCATCGCCGAGACCCGTTACAACATCCCCACAGACGGTGTCCCCGCCGGCAACTGGGTCCTGCTTGGAGGCGTGGATAACTCGATCGTGAAAACGGCAACGATCGTCGAGAAGCAGTTCGAGGACGACGAGGATGCTTACATCTTCAAGCCCGTGATACACTTTACCGAGTCGGTGTTGAAGGTCGCTGTTGAACCGATCAACCCCTCCGAGCTGCCAAAGATGCTTGACGGCATCAGGAAAATCAACAAGAGCTATCCCCTCATCACGACCAAGGTCGAAGAATCGGGAGAGCACATCATCCTGGGAACCGGCGAGCTCTACATGGACTGCGTGATGCATGACCTCCGGCGGCTGTATGCCGACATGGAAATCAAGGTCTCAGATCCGGTCACCCGGTTCTGTGAGACGGTTGTGGAGATGTCAGCAACAAAGTGTTACGCCGTCACACCGAACAAGAAGAACACCATCACAATGGTGGCAGAGCCGCTCGACGACGGCATTGCGAGGGACATTGAGACAGGGGCTGTGAAGATCCGGGATCCAGTTCGAAAAACCGCAAAGTTCTTCGAGGAGAAGTACGGGTGGGATCTTTTGGCAGCCAGAAGCATATGGGCATTCGGACCGGATGAGACGGGGCCAAACATCTTGCAGGATGATACCCTGCCCTCAGAAGTGAGTACCGCATCGCTGTCTGCGGGCGCACCGTTGTTGTGCTATCCCTCAATTGATGGCCCCAATCGGCCCTTCTTGCGCCCCGAGTGCTAACTACCTTTTCTCCCCAGGTCGACAAGAAACTCCTTAACACTGTCAAGGAGTCGATCCGCCAAGGCTTCAGTTGGGCAGCCCGGGAAGGCCCGCTCTGCGAAGAACGTAAGTACCTCGGTTTCCTGCACCCCATGATCCTGCCGCCCGCATGCTAGGCCCTGCATTAGCTTTGTGTTGTAACCTCCCCCTGCACAACCAACCAGACCTCCAGGAAGCGATGTTGCATGTAACAAAGAGTAAAACTTGCTTCTGCCGAGCACCCCTCGGCCATGTTCCGGAAGGAATTGATCTTCCACGATTATGAGCTGGGGAAGATATGCGCGCAGTGCCAAATTCCTGCAGCGCTGGTCGGAGTCGGCTAGTCCCATCTCAGCCCTACTCCACATGATCACACAGCTAGCTGTGTGCCACCTAATCCCCAATCTCTATGCCTGCATCTTTTGCCAGCCGGCGGGGCACACACATGTTACACACGGTTCACATGGTACACGGCTAACTTCTGTGGTAATGACTAGCCATCCGCAACACCAAATTCCGCATCATGGACGTGAGCCTAGACCCGGAAGCCATATTCCGCGGCGGCGGTCAGGTGATCCCCACGGCGCGGCGCGCCTGCTACAGCTCCTTCCTGATGGCGTCGCCCCGCCTAATGGAGCCCGTCTACTCGGTCTCCATGACGGGGCCCCAGGACTCGGTCACGTCGGTGTACAACATCCTGGCGCGGCGGCGCGGCCACGTGCTCTCGGACGGCCCCATCGCGGGGACGCCGCTGTACCGCGTCAGCGGCCTCATCCCCGTCATCGACAGCTTCGGCTTCGAGACGGACCTGCGCATCAACACGCCGGGCCAGGCCATGGTCAGCCTCGTCTTCGACAGGTGGAGCGTCGTCCCCGGCGACCCGCTCGACAAGGAGATCCCCATCCGGCCGCTGCAGATGGCGAGCGTCCAGGCGACGGCGCGGGACTTTGTCCTCAAGACGAGGCGCAGGAAGGGGCTGAGCGAGGACGTCAGCGTCGCAAAGTTCCTCGAGCCCGAGTTCTACCAGAGCCTGCTCGAGAGCGGGACTCTGGGCGAGGCGTGAAAAGGGGGTTGGCGGTGAGAGGGCCATTGGGGGAGAGGCCCCCGAGGTTGTTGGCTCCTCCTCCTTGGGGGGCACTCGCGCCATGTACTGTACGATCAAAAGCAAAAATGAATGGTACCACCGGCATAATACGGTCTGCATGAGGCGGGAAGACGACGGTGATATCAGGGGAGCTGTTGCCAATTTGGCAAGCACAAAGCAGTACGGATTCCCTGGTGGGGTTGGGGAACTGGTTAGTCCCTCGCAACGGCGAAGGTTGTGGTCTACGGTCTTCTGAAATGATGGCGCACAAGCGTCGTACTTTGTTGGTAGATATATCTCTTGGGTTTCCAGGCCTGCTGTCTGTCCAATATGTCCATGGCTCCGCTCCGCATGAAAGAATCCGGGGTTTGGAACGAGTTGAGTCTGCCCCCAGCTTCCGGTCTTATATCAGCTTCCACAGGGCATCTTGGACCAGATCATTGTTCTCTACTCAGTAACATGTAACAAATCGGAAGATGCTCTAAACCAGTCGTTTTCGAAGAACGCTTCCAGGTTGCCAGTGTCTTGATGTCCACCCACGTGACTCAACCTAGATATGTGCATATCAACTATTAACCCAGAGATAATTACATGGGTTATCCTAGCTAGTGACATAGCGATTTGCCGCGCGATGTACCCCTATGCAATCATTTTAGTGCCATGCATTTTGAGCAAAACCCGTTGGTGCCGAAGGACCATCGGTGAGAGTAGATGGTTAGGCAGTGTACGGATAGTGTGTCAAGGGAGCCTTGCGAATCCATGAGATATTAAGCCACCATGTACTCTGGAAATACGACAGACAACCATTGCACGCGGCACCCGGTCGTCCGTTTCGTGTCTTGTAAAGCAGGTGGTTGGAGATGCCACAGGTGCAGAAGATTGTGGATAATTCGAACAAGTTGTGGTGACTGGCCTCGTCATTCCGAGTTAGTCCTGCGTGGTACGATCTTTTTTCCTTGGAGTAGAGTCGCCAAAATCCCTCATTGACTATCTTTCTAGAAAGTACGCCAGTAGAAACCAGGCTTAAACAGTGGCCTGGTGTGGAGCTGAACTTCTGCAGTCGCGAAGCCCCACGAGTCGATGCCGCAATTGTGAGCGTCGAAACATGTGGAACCGCGGTGACCACGACTTTTTCCTAGCTCATACCATCTTTAGGTGGGTGGATAGCCCGTCCAGGATGTGGAATGCGCGAGTGAACTTCTGAATTGTCGTCACCTGCATACTGCAGCTGCAACCAAGGGACCAACTGGATGTGTGCCTCTCATCCTCCCCCTGCCAGTTGGATCCAAACATCCGAAGCACTGCCGGCTTAACGCTCATCCACCTCGATTCAAACTTGTTTCGAGATCTGCCTGCTCGTTGCCATGTTTCTGCAAAGTCATAGCTGGGGGTTCTCGGTATGTTTTAAAACTCATGCGATCCCATTGGGGTAGATAGGTACTAGCACAGACGGACGCGCATCGGTGACGGGGGTCCCCCGAAAGATTTTCGCAGGGACGAAAGGGCGGACCAATCTGCGTGTAGGGATGTGCTTGTGGCCCAAGGGATAAAGCTCGCTTGGCGACGTTAGGCGCATGTCAAGAGCATTTTGTCAAGGACGTTCTTGAGAGTGTCGTTCTCCAGAGCGGCGGCAACTCGCTCCTTGTCCGCTAGCTGCTTGTTAACCTGGTCGTCCTGGGCATGAGCTCCCTCCTTCATCCGGATGTCCACTCGGTAGTTGGGTGGAAGAGCCTGCTCCAGGCGAACTCTCACCGCAAGACCGATAACGGTAGCGAGGGAACAGTGGGTAATGGTCGGGGTGATTTCGACAAGGACTGTCGCCAAGGAGCTTGGGTCTGTTCGCCCTGGCCGCGTAATATGAATGTCGGGAAGATTCACGACAGACAGCTGTCCAAGTGTATGAGGATGCTCAGGATCAGATATTGTGGAAATAAGGTCTGTGAGACAGTCAGTTGTGCGATCTTCCCAGGGCATCACAACTAGCGAGTGGATCCGAAAACCACAACACCAGGAACACAGGTAGAGATGCATGAAAGTGGGATTGAAACCTGGCTCCAAGTGAGGGGCACGAGGTGCAAAAAGGGGCGGGGGAGGGGGGAAGGGGGCTGCATACCATATATTTCCTGCTCATCGATTGGCTCTTCGTTCAGTTCGTCATCGTCCTCGGAGTCCGAAGGCCACGATGAAACATTCCTGGCTGAGCCCCAGGGGCCAGCCTGCCTCGGGAAGAGGATGTCGTCGTACTTGGATTCGGGTCCGCGTCGAACTACTGTTTGCTTCTGCCTCCTGCTGGGTAGCTGGGAAACGTTTAGGATGGTGGGGTTTGCATTATCGAGGACGGATTTTTCCATTGTAAAGATAGATAAATCCAAGTGCTTAGCGTGGCGCCAGGCAGTGCAGAAAACTTGGGCGAAAGGATACTATGGCGAAGATCACACTCTTGACATACTGCAGTCAAACATATATCATGCAGGATTGATGGGAAAGTGAAGGAAAAGCGTCGAGTTGAGATATCGAACAGAGATATCAACTATCCATGTTGCCACCCAGGTAGCGTAGCGTGATGGACCCGCCCGCCGTGGGGCAGGACCTTTGGCGGGGCCGGTAGACGGTTTTACCATTTCCCGAAGCTCTTGGCCGCTGAGCAGGCACTGTATTCCCAGTGCGAAAGGTCTCATTACAGCACCACACTCGCACCCCGCCCAGTTTCTTCGACTAGCTCCGCCGGCAATGACAACAACTCTGCTCTAGCCATCTTCTCTTCAAGCTCCTCTGCATGCTCAAAGTCAACCAGATGCACGCCGCCTCCAGAAACCCGGTCGACGAGGAAGTTGTGCCGATTCACATCGCCATGAGTCAAACCCAGACGATGTAGCCTTCGAAGCAGCGCCTCGCAATTGGCCAAGTCGTCGACGGAGGCCGACACCCCATCCACCTTCTGTAGCAGGAACCCCACGACCCTATCGTCCTCAGTCAAATGGGCAAGGAAATTAGGTGCAATGGGAGACTCGCTGGGATATTGTTGCTGATGCCGCCCTATTATCGAGTATGCCCAGGTCTCGCGCTCAATCCGAGCTATGTCCCATTCGAAGCATGCGATCTTGGCGATAGCTGGCACGCCGTCGTATTGGACCTCATGCACACCCGAGCGGAGACGCCTCGTTCTCTCTAAGCTCAGCACATCGACTCGCCGTTCATGCCAGGTCGCCCGGATCCCTGGCAGCGGGTCTGTAGAAATGGTTGACGTGAGGTAGCCATCCTCGTCCCGCGAGATAATCATAGTAGTCCACGGCAAGTCAGGAAGGTTCGGCAGCATAGGAATGAGGAGATACGGCCGACACATGGTGTCGTCGTCGAATACGCCGGAGAAGATTTTAAGGTAGTGGACCCTTTGGCCCGCTCGGAGACGATAGAATGCACTCTCATCATCTATGTGTTGAGAGAGAATCTCAATGTCTGATTTCGGAACAATTGTCATGGTGGGTTTGGTACCTCGGTTGCTTTCTACTAGTCACGATTCTATGATGTGGCAGAGGTGCTCGAAAAAATATGCACTTCCCCAGCACTGAACTCAAACTCCAAGGGTGTGTACCCTGCCGTACATTCTAGCATGTTTTTGACGCTTCATGGTTGCTCACTAAGAGCTTCAAGCGCAGCCATGTGATCACGTGATAGGAGAAGGCAGAACAAACACCCAAAGCCTTAGATAGGTAGGTAGCTCTTAAAACGGACTATAGTTTATTACGCTTGGCTTTACTAGAGCTTTTGCTTACTTGAAAAACATCATTTCAACGGCGACAATTAATGGGGGGCGGGCACGAGTCCTCGCTATCCAGCACATCTAATGTAAGTTCAGGGATCTTCAGCCCACGTCGACGCAAGTATGAGAGCCGCAGGAGTGGAATTGCCAAAATAGGGGTTCGCCTCAAGCTGATATTGGAAATTCATGCAAACCATACCTACGCTGTGGGGACCGCAATGATATTTTTCCTTCCAGAATGGTGGTGATCGCATTGATGGGTTATTTCCATTACAGCCGCTTAATATCAACAGCCACGCCTGGTCTTCCGGAATTCAATGATCCCTGCAAGGAACGTCTGGGGAAGCATTGCCTAGTGGCGTGGGGCGGAATGTGAATGGCGACATGTGATGATGTCTGGATGAGAGCAAGGGTGGGTTTTTGCCAGGCACTGAGGCACTGTACCTACTTACCCGAGATGCACGGGTGACAGCCTCTTCCCGCCTTTTAGCTGCATCAACCAATCTTGGGGAATACAGCTCCGACAAGACCCAAACAGCTGGAGCATCTACCCATGGTAGGGACTATCTTACTCATTAGGTAGCCACTTCCATATGTAAAGTTCCAGTGTTCCTGTCAACCATAACTGTTTATCGAGCAACCTACTTTACCTACCACAGTACGCTTCCAAAATAGCAGCGACTGCCCTCGTGCTGCCTTTCGAAGCTCCCACAGCGGGCAAATTCCTGCTATGCCGCAAGCCTGCAACCGTGGAAGTGCGGGGGCGCGGGAGATTTGTTTCCTTGCCTTCCTCGGCACAGTTAGGGGGCCTGCAATCGCCAACAAATCTCCCTGCAAAGTTAGTGCATGAAGAAGCATGTGATCCTACAAGAGGCTGAAGGACGCTGAGCGACAGAGTACGTCGACATTACGGAAATTCACCATGTAACCATTATAACCCGGGCCGCGTCTTGATTCCGGTGCCAAAGGAAACCTAGTAGCAGAACCGGGAAATGAGTCTGTCATGTCCTTGAAGGCACATCAGTGACATCACAATACCTCCCGTCTCTAATGGCATCTGCCCAGTGACAGTGGGGAGCGAGGGTGTGGGAGTTAAGAGAAGGCATTTTGGGTAGGTGCTTGGTTGATTGCCGGCACAAAAGATCTTTCCTGGGGATCAGAAAATGCCAAAGGGTTCAGGGTAGGAGACTTGTGAAGCCAGGGTAACAACAGGAATCAATGAAGACAAAACCAGCGCTAGAAAAATCGGCCCGTTCATGAGTGATATCTCGCTTGCCTTGAGAGAAGAGAAGAGTGCAACTGAAAGAGACAAGCATACCACAATATTGGGCATGAGCAGATATAGCCCTTCCAGGTTCCCCTGTCACTGACCGTTGGCACCCCTTGTTCATCGATGTTTCCTTTGGTGGATCGAGTACCGAAGTACCTTATTGCTGGAAAAATAGGCAAGTACACGGGCAGTTAAGCAGTTACGCAATAAATACGGGGGCTGTGGGTGAGATCAGAGATCATATTTCTTCTGGTGGCGTTAGTCCTTAAACGAACGAGACCCTAGCCTTTTGTCCGTGTTGCCTTGGCATCAGGCCGGCGTCTTGTGCATCTGCACCATACTGGGTACCTGACAAGGTAGGTATCTACCACTATCCGTTTGACAGATAGAGGTCGATGTTGACAGCAGTCGATTGTATTCACACTCTCTACTGCGTATGACTGGAAGAATTGATGATCTTTGGGTGCAAGATATCCGTACGCGCTTCCAAGCCCAGGTACGGAGAATTAACACTAATAAGTTTGGTGGCTCCCCATGCTGCTGGGTCATCGGGATGGCGCCACCCGCCGTTCTGGCCGGTGAAAGTGCACCACAGCTGACCGGGACATTGGGTTACGGTTGACAACGGAGGCCCGCAGCCGCGCTTGTCGTTTGGAAGCGCTACAAGAACTGTCGTACCATCTTCCACGCCTAGCACATTCCGCTACCATAGTGCAGTGACCCACAGATATTCTGTGTGGAGCACCTGATATACAACTATACATAGGTACAGTACCTACACCGACAGTGCTTAGTGTCTCGCGATGAGGTAGGAAGGTACCTAGCCAAGATTGAGATTCCTAATCGGCCCCATTTGTTTCACCCTATATGAGGCGCTTTATGCCCTCTGATAATTGCAAATTGCATGCAACTGCCGTACACACCAGCCAACCGGATATTGAGTGGATGCTTCGAACATCCTTGCTCGCATGTGCGCATGCTCTGCCTTGGAACGTTTGGAGCGCTTCGCCTCAACCCGGTCATATCTTGCCAATGTACCCCCGTCCTAAAGTCCCCTGTCTGTAGTCGGATCCTCTCTGTTCTAGGTCTCTTGGCTCGGTATCGAGGCTGGTCCGTCTTGTGGGCAAGGCTCAAACCCCCTTACACTGCGTGCCCCGGCCCTCGCCGCTCTGAGTAACCGAGTTGCTAGTCAATTCTATCGTTTGATAACCCCTCCTCCACCTTCCATGTTTAAACCCACTCTTGTTTAAACCCACTCTCTCTGCGCGTTGAATTCTGACTGGCCAGCCCTGGCCCGCAACCGAATATCATCGTCGCCGCCCGTCCATTGCCGCCGACGTTGTTCTTACCGTTCTCGCAGTCGCCGCCGACAGCGCCTGCTGACACGACGCCAGCGCGAGCGGCTACTGCTTTTGGATGTAGAAGGGCGATCCGGTTTCCTCTTCTAGGCCGAGCGAGGCTTTAAGCCTCCGTCCAAGCCGCGTTCCAGATGTCCAACGATCCGGCAGCGCGTCGGCTGCTTCCCCAGAGCTCCCAGAACTCGCAGAGCTCGCAGATGGGCAGCTTCTCCTTTGCGCCGCCGGGGTATCAGCAGCCGCGAGAGACACAGAAGAGTGCGCTCCTTGACTTGTCCTAAGCCGCCCCCGTATGAGTGCGCCGTTCCTAACGTCCTTGCCCTAGCCTATGTCTTCGTCGATGAGCACAACCGCCACAAGCGGTTGAAGGGTATGAGCTCGATCCACCGCAACTTTTGAGATGCGACTGTTCATGGCTGATCAAAGAAATCAGTTATGAGGGCTTGTGAAGGCTGTCGCCGAAGGAAAATCAAATGCGATGCGGCAACCACCAACACTTGGCCATGTTCCGCCTGTATCCGCTTGAAGCTTCACTGCGTCCGCCCGAATGGGTTCGACGGCTCCTCTACCGACACTCAGGCCTATGAGCTGCCGCGCCCTCAGTTCGATGCTGCCCAAGTCTCGGATGGCTTGTCGCAGCCCACCTTGCAAGAGCAGCCACTGCTCTCCAGCGCGCCGAAGCCGGGGGGCTCCATGTATGCAGCACAGTCGGGCTACTCCGACCCTTCGGCTCTCTATCAGTCCGTCCACTATCAGGAGCCTGCGGCTTTGGCCCAGAATCTTCACTACACCACCGTACCGCCACCTGTGGCCGGCGTCGACCCGTCTTTTTCACAACACAATTCTTTTCCGACCCCCCCGCTCGAGCAACGGTCTCCTCCCCAGTCGCCTCCAGATGCGTATAACCAAGACCCATGTGGCCAGCAAGACCTGGCAGACCTCCTGGGCTCCCTCAAGGTCAATGAGGCCGGTACAGGTCAGAGACGTGAATCCAAACTCGTGTGCCATATCTCTAACCCTCTTTCAGCACCTTACCTAAACAAGATGAGGCTCCGGGCGCAAGAGGACGAGCCAGCTCTCGAGGATGCAGACGAATACAAGAGCATATTGCCGCCCCTGGTTTCCGGTCCTGGGTTGAAAGTTCGTATTCCGCCCGAATTGATGCCCGACGAGCAGACGACTCTCCATTATTTCGACCTCTACTTCTCCAACGCCCATCCGTACATTCCGGTCCTTGACAAGGCGCACTTCTATCACCAGTGGCATAGCAACAGAGACTCCATCTCCCCGTTAGTGCTCGAGGCCATGTTTGCCATCGCCGGTCGTCTAGCCGACGAGCCTGCCCAGGGGCAGCAATGGCTAGCACTCGCAACAAGTAGGGCTCGGCTCACGTCCTCCAGGCGCCTTCTCGTTCACTAACGCGGTCTAGGACACGCCGACTCCTTCATGGACGTTCCAAGGCTGAGCACCTTGCAAGCTCTCCTGATAATTCTGAAAGCGAGGGAATCTGCGCCAAAACGCGGCTACTATTACCGTTCTTGGATGAGCATCGTCCAATGCGTCCAGATGGGCAAGGATCTGGGGTTGGACGAGCATTTCAGCGATCACCAGGCCGGCAGGCCCTGCGACTCAAATCCCGCCGAATGCTTATTGAAGAACAGGATCTGGCAGATAACTTTCGTGTGCGAGGTGATGATCGGTTCCCCCCAAGGTGAGTTGATTCAGCACCTACCAGTCGACGGTTTTCAGGATTGTTGCTCATCTTCTATACGTAGGCCGGACGGATCTACAGGTCGAGATCGACTCGGTCGATTTCGACGTGCCGAAGGCCCTCCCCAATGGAGATGATTCCGAGTACCACGTATCGCGAAGCTTCACATATCTCGCCCGAATCGTTCGCGGCATCGGCCGGATGAATCGAGTATACGCCCGCATCAGGAAGACGGGCGCATGGGGTATCGATCCCGAGTTCGTCAAGATGAACCCCGAATTCCACTCGTGGCTGAGCGACCTTCCGCCGGACTTGGGGATCAGCTACCCCCCCGACGGCTCTACACCTTGGCTGGCCTCGGCTTTCGTCGGGAATCTCCATTCATACTATTATCTGAGCATCATCCTCTTCCACCGGCCACAGTTGGCATTTCTCGACCCCACGGCAGCGGATGGGCAGTGGAAGCACAACATGATGATATGTTACGACGCTGCTAAAACACTCTGTAAGATCCAGGAGGCAGTTTTGCAGGGCTTTGGTCTCAGCGGCCTCCAGTGCATGCTGCGAGGTATCAACTTCACCATCTACGCAGTGCTGGCCTGCGTTGTCCTGCATCTGGTGCGCCCGGTCTTACCCCCACTCCCCACAGTTGCCTCTGTCTGATTAACCGTCATCCCAGGTTGCCCTGACTTCCCCGGATCCCGACCTGAACTCGGACGCCCGAGGGTACTTCACGCGGCATATGAGGATATTGGAAAGGTGTATGGGCGCGTGGCCCATGCCTGATATGCAAAAGCAGGTCGATGCCGTACGCGAGGCCTTTTCCGCCGACACAAGGAAACCTTTCGTCTTGAAGCCCAGCTTCCCCTACTCCAGCCCACAATCCGTTGCGCGTCCAAGACCCCAGCAGCTCGACGCAGGCTTCAGGCCGACGATGGCCCATTCTGGTCCCCTGGATCGACATTTTGACCAGCATTCAGTGCCGCAACACACCCAGGTTACCTATGCCGGGCACCCTGTCTCACCACCAATATCAACGGGTCCAGTGGATATCAAGGGAGACGCACACGCAGTCCAGACCATGATGGCTGCCAGTCAAGGCTCCCAGGCTCCCACAATGCAGCAGACCATGCCTTTGGCTGAAGCACCGGTCTGGAATCCGTCACGCATTTTCGAGTAAGCCCGCCCCAATGCTAATCCGGTGACTCGGCGGCGCGTGCTGACAGTGGGAATAGCCAATGGAACACGTCATTTGGTACGCCTCAAGTCCAGCCTTCGGCTACCTCAGTTGCCCCCCAGGTCAGCTCTCTAAGTGTTCCCTCTTCAGGTGCTTCGGAAGTTCCGACCATTCAAGATATCCAGGCCGTGCAGGCCCAGATGCCCCAGGCGTCTCAGATCCAAACACAACATTACTCGGCTGCTCCGGTACAATCCTTTGTGACACCGGCCATGTGGCAGGAATCGGTGGCCAGCGTCTACGAGGGCGGGCTGAAGAGATCGTGGGACTACGATCCGGGCCTGTCGATGAACAAGCGCCGCTAACGACACTAATGACTTTGACGAAGTATGACGGTTCTTGTCGACCTTTGGCCCCCTAATGTTGGGGGCCGCTCGTCAGCGCGAGACTCGGCAATCGATATTTAACGGGCGGCTTTTATTGCCTTTTGAGGCACAGGCAACCCCTTAACTCCCCTTTCCTTTTCCATTTCTACAATGTTTCTGCCATCTCGGGGAGCATGAGATACATATAACGGGTAGCTTCCTACCGGGAAGAGATATACACTCAACGCTTTCATGACCTATGTTCGGGGGTAGAAACTGGAAATGACCTGCCGGAACATGCGGTTCACCATCTACGCCGTGCTGGCTTGTGTTGTCCTGCATCTGCCCATATTATTGTTCGGCGGTGCCATCATCGGTATGTCTGGCAACTCTTCCAGGGGAATGGGTTTACGCGGAAGACACAGGGGCCGTTGGGTCACCCATTATGGCACGGGCTATGGTTCGGGGGGGTTAGATCGATTGCGTGGGATCAAAAAGGCCTTTGGGATGGGGTTGCGCTGGGGGATTGAATAACTCGGAAGGGCTTATACCACTGTATTATTAGCATTGTCTTCGTCACGGATGACCTGGTGCTCCTTGCTTGCTTTCTCTTTTGTCACGAAAACTCCCAGGCTTCGTTGTCTCGATATCTGTGGCGGCACAGGGTGTCGTCACAAAACAAACCCAGGAAGAGGGATGGATACATGACCGACATTTAGGGGTATATATACATTCAAACAGCGCCTCCAGGAAAGAGGACATTGAACACTTTCTTGAAGCGTACCACCACGACTTCCAATTCTGTCTAGGTATATACATATACATATGCACTCCATCAGGCCGCGTGCTGTCCTACGCTCAACCAGATAATGTACAGTGGTTACATCCCCTCTCTCCATGGCCGCTGGCACTGCTAGCCTGAACTTGGACAAGTGTACCCTCCCCATCTCGTACATTCCATACTAATACAGTTACTTGCCCTGCTCCATGACACGCGGCGCCACATCACCACACCAGCGCACAGCCAACAATCTCTCTCTCACACACACACACACACACGTTCCTCCCTTCACCTCCGCGCCGCCGCCTCAGCGGCCCTCCTCTCGATCCCGGCCGCGACCTCGGTCCACACCCACCCGTTCCGGACGCGCGCCTCCCCGCCGGGCACGACGGCGAAGGCGGCCACGGCGCGCAGGCGCCACCACGGCCTGGCGGCGTCCTCGGCGGCGGCGGCGGCGGCGTCGCGGGCGTAGTTGACGGTGCCCAGGCGGGCGCGGGCGGGGCGCAGGTCGGCGGCCGAGACGGTCGTCAGGCGCGGCTTGCCGATCGGGGTCATGGTGGTCAGGTCGAGGCGGGCCGAGGAGGGGGCGGAGGAGCGGGCCCAGCGGGAGAGGAGGTCGCGGGAGTGGCGGGCGAAGGGGGGCGTGTGGATGTGGATGGAGGTCACGAAGGGGGTGGTTAGGTAGGCTACTGTGACGAGGGGGATGAGGCCGCAGAGGAAGACTGTTTGGGAGGGAGGGGGGAGGAGAGGAGGGAGTGGTTAGTTTTGGGTGTGCTGGTTTTCAGGGGGAGGGCAGGGGTGTGAGGGCACTCAGGGCCTGGTCATGGGGTGGTGTGCACCGTCGCTGAGGAGGCTGGGACTTACTTCCGGTGGCCTTCCAAATGGGCTCACCAGCTGCGAGATACGCCGGCGTGGCCAAGAAGCCAAAGAAGGCAAAGGTGAAGATGGTAGTCAGCTTCAGACATGCCAGGAACGTGGTCCGGCCCGTGCCGGCGTGGTAAATGAGTAAGCGCTCGGGGTACACTGGATTTTTCAGTCAGTTATCAAACCCCTCTTGTAGATCCGAGGTTACGTGTACACATACATGGCTTTTTCCCTGCTTGTGATGTTTCTGACGGCGTCGACGTGGATGCACCCCTGGCTGGCACCGTCCGTGACAGTCGCAGCTCATGGAGGAGAGGCTTGCCTCCGACACGAGTCTGGGTCACGCATCTGTTTGCGGTGGAGAGCAACCGCACTGCTCTCGCCCCTGGCGAATGGCATTTTAGAGGCGCTCTTGCGAGCAACAACATTAAAGACATACTCTCGTCTCTCAAGTTGCCGACGTTATAGTTGAGTACTTTGCTTGAGTTGGTGATTCTCACAACTTCAGGTAAAGCTAAAATGTTCACAGTTGTCGCAAATTGGTCCGAGCTTCTTCAACAAACATGGAAGCTGGAAGCTATGTGTGTATGAGATTTTGCTATGTGAGCTAGTGTATGATCAAATAGATCAATTACTGGAAAATTAGCTTCAGTTTTTTTGTGAAGGCGTCATGTTCACTCTAGAGGCTGAACAGCGTCTGCATGTTATCACATTAGCTGTCCGTTGGGCTGACGAGCAAGCTGACAGCAATCATTACGCCCACCTCATAGATGACAATCGCACAATGCCCTAAGCTACAGTATTCTTTGCGACAATTCCCCTGGAAAACTCCCCGAAGGTGATATGCTGCTCGATATCGACCTCCTCGCCCAGGTTAGGCTGGGTGAACACGGCCAGCGTGTTCCGCGCGATCTTCCCGTCGCTCATACTTGCGCGCGCGCCTCTCACGAAATGAGGGACGGCCTTGAACTTCCCTCCCGTGATCCTCTCCAGGGCCTCTCCCGTCTGGAACGCAACGCAATCCCTGGGAATCTTCACTTGGACCGTTTGACCGGTCCTAGACTTGATGTACAGGCCTGAGGCGGGGTCGGGGGATGTTGGGAGCTCTTCTAACGGGGCCAGCACCGGTTCGGCAGACGCTTCAAAGGCGGGTGCAACGGGGATCGATCTCTTTTCATCGACAAACATGGCCGATGTCAGACCTGTGAGGCAGCCGTGGTCCAGATGTGTCGCGCACCAGTCATCTTCGTCGCCGTTTGCTATCTCGCTGGCCCCCACCGGGGCTGGGTCCTTGGGCTCTTCGGGGAAGTAGTGCAGTAGGCGGGCCTTCGTGGTGGTCGACGTGCTCACCATACGCTCCAGATACGCTCTTGGATACCCGGTGATTCCCTCCTCGGCATACCTATCGCAGGCCCGGGCGACCAGAACGGCGACATCGATGATGAGCCGGCATAGCTGCTCGAAGGTCTCCCTGAAACCTGGAAGTGTCGCCTCGTCCGGCCAGACGTTGGGCGAGAGATACTCAGGAAAGTTGGCCTCGTTAAACTCCTCGGTTGGCACGGCGCAGGAAAGCGACGGGTCAACATAGAAGGCGCAGTTGGCATAGAAGGAGCCTTTCAGGTTGTCCACTTGGCCGTTTTTGAGCGTCTCCTTGCCGAGCGACCACCCAGTCAAGTACTTTGCTTTCTCATTTTCGAGTTTATCTGAGTAGGGGTTAGCAGACGAGCGTGTGTCATGATCCATCACTCGGCATCGAGCTCTGATATTTACCAAGACTCGACTTCGGCAAGTTGCCGAGATATGAAGAATAAGACAGAAGCCGCAGCCTCAGGTCAACAAATTCTGGAGGAACGTCCTTGACAACAAGTATTCCAAGCGAGTCAGGCCCGAACGCTTCTTGCAGTGTCTCGAAGGACACGGTTCCTGCATGAGATGGTCAGCTTCGGTTTATAAGACCTTCACTTACACCCAGCCCCAAACCTCCTGAGCTCAAGGGTGACGACCTTTCTTCAAATCGTTCACAGACACTGTCACTGCGTGCGCGAGTGGGGCCATTTTGACAATACTTGGATATTCCCAGGTAGGTAGTTTGTGGGAGTAGGTGTTTTCAGCAGAAATGGTATACTCAAGAGCCAATCACTCAAAACAGTCACCTGGACCTGTTCCTACTCACTCCTCCACGTGATACATGCCCTGGTGCATTGAAGCCGTTGACAATGGACTGTGTGGTTGGAGAACAGGTCATACTGGTCTTATTGGAGGTGCTGATTATATAAGCCTTATCGATAAGAGGTCGTACGTAGTCTACAGCATCCCGCACCCAAATCTGAAGGTCAGACAGCCATTTGGAACAGCAACTTAATGTCAACGATTGGACCTGGCCACGAAGAATGGTGAAGCCACTTACGTTCAAGGGCGACAAGAAAGCGAAGAAGCGGAAGCGTACGGATGCGGGCGAAGTGTCGGGCGAAGTTGACGAGAGCAAGCTGAAGGTAGCGAAGGTAGAAGAAGACAGCGAGAACGATGACAGCTGGGTCTCTGCCGATGCCGTGACGGACGTGGCGGGGCCGATCATGTTCGTCCTACCGACCACGCCGCCGACTGCTCTCTCCTGCGACGCCAATGGCAAGGTGTTCACACTGCCGATCGAGAACCTGGTCGATGGGAACCCGTCGAGTGCAGAACCACACGATGTCCGTCAAGTTTGGGTCGCAAACAAAGTCGCGGGGACGGAGAATTACCGCTTGAAGGGCCATCATGGAAAGTAGGTACCACCATGGTCGCCGGGTTGTGTCTGTCAGGGTTGTTAACCGAAATCTTGTCAGGTATCTGAGTTGTGACAAGTATGGCATCTTCTCTGCGACCTCGGAGGCCGTCTCCCCGCTCGAATCGTTTGTCCTCATCGCGACGGCGGATACTCCTGGGACGTTCCAGGTGCAGACGCTGCGCGACACCTTCCTCACCGTCAAGGCCCCGACATCGTCCAAGGCCAACGCTGCGCCCGAGGTTCGGGGCGATGCAACCGATATCGCCTTTGACACGACGCTGCGTATCCGCATGCAGGCACGATTTAAGCCGCGGATCAAGGCCTCCAAAGAGGAGAGGGCAAGGGAGAAAATCAGCAGGCGGGAGCTGGAAGAAGCTGTGGGTAGGAGACTCGAAGAGGATGAAGTGAAGCTCTTGAAGAGAGCCAGGAGAGAAGGCGACTATCACGAGCAGTTGCTGAATATGAAGGTCAAGGGCAAGCATGACAAATACAGTTGAGGGATCAGGCCGACATACCCTCGCCCAAGTCAGACCATTTGTTGAGAGCGGGCCTTAAGAGGCAGGCCCTGTCTGCGATTCTCCTCATATTGAGGTGTAAGCCTCGATTTATTGCACCGTGAGTATGTCCCTACTTAATGACACGGTTGATAACAATCTAACGCGTTTGATAGCTTTGTGGCGAATCTACCTGGGGTCGTACGAAGTCTATAGCGCCAAAAATTGTGAGAGAGGAGAGTGGGCTATGGCTCAAAGGTCGCAGCAGGCCAGTGTCCCAGTCCCTTTCCGGTCAACTGGGAGGCAAATGGGCGGTTTCCTTAGTGTGGATCAAAGGGATGATATAGCACTTTGGGTCACCTGAGATTAATAGTGCTGATATCGACTGATAAACCGAAACTTCAAGAATAGCCCTCTTTTATGCCCCTGGCCTCCAAGCCTTGACACATCCATCCTCGCCAGCTGTGAAAACCACGTCCTGGCCCTCGAGGAAACAAAAACTCCTGACAATCTCCTCTCCATGCGCTCCTGGAAGACCAACGGAAGATGCTTGGTCGACGCCCCAAGTTTCCGCCTTTGCCAGGTGGATCAGTTGGAACATCTGTTGGCTGTATGCAGATGGGCACGTTAGGATAGGGACGGCCGGAAACATTGGAAGGCCTGGACTTACCTTTGAGATCCGACTCCGATGATGGCCTCGACTCCATTGGGTTTGGGAAAGATGTGCGCCACGTACTGGCACCCGAGGGCTTCTCTGGCATCACCCATATTGAGTGATGACAGGCTTCCTTGGTCGCCTTCTGCTATGTTATATAAGGCAAATTTCTCGTCGTGTGACAAGGCGAAGATTTCGGTATTATTGAGGAATCCTGCCCGGTGGACCGACCCATGGTTGAAGGCAGTCACGACAACTTCATCCTCGTCTGTTATTCTTGTGTCACATATGTTTACCAGTCCGTCTGTGGAACCAGAGAGCAGAATGTTTGGATCCCCTGGATGGAAGTTCAACTAACGCCTACTTTAGTCGTTGCAAACACGAATATTTGAGGGAAAGGGTTTATACTTCGGTCACGTCGTCGCTGTGGATTTCAGCATATTTTATCCGAGGGCTCGAACCCTGTCGAATGTCCCTGAGTAGATATGATATGAGCACCGCCATGTGTCTTCAGTGTCTCCACGAGATGAACTTACCATATGAGAACTGAGGCCTGATGGTCTGCTAACTCGGTCCCCGCAGATACCGAAAATGTCGAGGGGGAGCAAGCAAGCGACAGGAGACTTGTTTCGTTACCTTAGCTCCCATCAGCAAACTCTACAGAGGAAGACGAGGTTTTGTGTCCCCTTGCTCGCCATTCACAATACTAACCGCCTAGTTCAAGGACCTGGGCATCCCCTGGCTCCAGCCTTAGATCCCATAAGCAAACCGTCCCGTTCTCTCCTGTCGTAGCCACAATGGACTCTGCAACGCTATAGGCTTTCGCAGTTGCAATGTTTCCATGACTTGTCCGTAGCCTCTTCAGTGGTCCTTGACCCAACCGAAGGGGGTTGAAGAGTGAAAGACTCTGATCAGAAGAGATCGCGGCTAGCCCAGCGCCGAGGGAGATAATGTCAAGGACATAGACGAGGTCAGCCCCGGCTTGCTGGTAACCATCACTACAGCCCAGAAGATACATGCTTGGCTATGACAAGTAATGTCCCCTAGCTTTCATGTTATTTTGTGAGCCAGGGCTGTCATCGAGGCAGAGACAAGTTCCGAATAGGAGAGCCCTCTTACCTTTCAGGTAGTGTGATATGGCACGACTTCCTAGGTTCGACAGCGACGGGGATTCAGACGACAAAACTTCCGGAATTTACCACATGCCCTATGCCCGCATCTGCGTTCCACGTTTTTCTTTGTGTGTACGAATGCATGCGTTTTGCAAGTAATTGTTTCCTGTCCGCTCAAAGGGCTTAAGAATTGGTCGTCGGAGAGGCAAGAAACAAACTGCACCCTTTAAGCGACCAAAAGATACCAAAAGAAGGACACCGGGTGGAGCTCCTGTTAATTGGCTTCCAGTGCCGCACAGCAGCCTGCCCAGTTGCCTTCAATCTAGTCGCCAAAACAGACACCTCCTTTCTATTAGCCACGCTCGATTGATTTTGCGGAGGGAATGCCCATCTTCGCTTGGCCTGCAAATATTACTCCTTGACTGTTTTGCATGATAGAAGCCTGCACCATGGCAGCCAAACGCCCACGCCCCCGACGGCAGCCGCTAGCGCAGAGCTCCCGAGGTGCACCTGTAAGTCAGAATTGTGCCGGCATTCAAAGACCACCAGCAGGAGACCATGCAACTTCGCAAGGTTGCATATGCAGCTGACTCACGTATGCAGCTCAGGAAGCTTGCAGCTGTATACTACCTACCTGGTTAGAGAGGGTTTTGTTCTCACTCTCAACTACAATTATATTGATCAACTTCCCCTTTCCTCAAATGTTGTGCTAATACTAAACTCCTTCCTCCTTCAGAGTCACAAGTTCAGCATCTCGTACACACCATCTACTTGATATAGCTATGGAAAATTCTTCGGCTCAGACCGCCAATTGTGAGATTCACGGTGCTGACTCTCCTTGGTACGAGCAGCCATATGGTACATACTACCGTATCACAGACGGTTCGACCATCAAATACCCTGTCTATCAGTATCCACTTTCCCACGATCCTGACATCAAAGGCGAGATGCTTGCCATTAATACCATCCCACAGGGTAACTAGTCAATCGGTCATCTTGAGTTTTGGATGAAAATGGCAAACTCAATCTTGTGTCGACTAAGGAGCTTGCCATCCCAGGCATCGATGTATCCTTCCTCTTTCACCCTTGCAAAGTCGACTGGCTGGACTTGCTCGACATGGGTACCTAGGTACTCCTGACCCTAGCCAACGCTGGTTAGAGGTGCAGTATACTTTCCAGAAGCAGGCTGGCATCTTCTCTAGCCCCCGTCTCCTAGATCATACAGGCTGTACATCTGTTGGCAGCCTGGGACTGTGATCCCCGTGATGGATACTGGATAGATGTAATTTAGGTCACGTGCGTTGGTTAGGTGACAGGGAGGAGTGGTTAGGTGATGACGGGGAAACCTCGGAGGAATGTCTTGAGTCATCAAAGACCACTTGCGGTTGGGCACTCATGGACGTTCATGATTGGCAGCTGGCGCATTCACCTTCGCAGTTGGCCGGGGCGGCCAACCGTGGCGCTGATTTCCAACCTTATTTGAGACCCCTACAAGCAGGGGCCAGGGCCAACATCCAGTAGATCGATTTGGACAGCTGGTATCATCCAACACCAATAAATCCGATCATGGCCGAAGTTCCCATTCTAACATCCGTCATCAGCGACATTTAGTAGTCCTGTGACATGACGAATCATTACGATTGCCTCTCTCTACGATAGCCTACCATGGGGCGCCTTTTCGTTTGCTTTATCCGTGAGCGTTCCCATAGGCACTGTGATTGTTTGGGGCCAAGCTGACACTCTATCAGTCCTGGTGCAGGCCCTCGTTTTTGCCTTCGCCGGAGCTCAGCATGGCGCCAACTTGGATAAGGATGGCCGGGTCGATAGACCAAACGCCGCCGGTGCGGCCTACACCGAAGTCGCGACTCCCCAGGGACGTGGTGCGCCTATCCGGGAACCAGGTAAGGGAGTCGATCGTGGCAGACGGAGAAACAAGGAGAACTCACTGACCGATGTACCGCAGGGTCGGACCTCGTCGACGATGCCATGGCTGAATTGAGAAAGATACACCATCCCTCCCATCATCGAAAACGGAAACCGCGCGGCATCATCGGCACAGTCCTGTACTATGCCTTGAAAGCGGCCCCTAGTTTTCGCATAAGTGCGCCGCCGGCCGAATCCTCGACAACGACGATCAGCGGACCTCTCCTCCAAGCGGTCAGGTTTCTCGAGGAGTCGTCGCAAAAGAACAACTCCGACGCACTCTACCTATTGGCCGAGATGAACTTCTACGGCAACTACTCGCACCCAAGGAATTTCGAGGCTTCCTTTGATTACTACCACAAGCTGGCGCAGCTCAATGGGAACAGCTCGGCGTCGCACATGGTTGGTTTCATGTACTCGACTGGGGTCGGAGGTGCGGTGGAACGCGACCAAGCCAGATCGCTGCTCTATCATACCTTCGCTGCAAACAGCGGGCACACAAAGTCGGAAATGACTGTTGCGTACCGCTACCACGCGGGTATAGGAACGCCAAAGAACTGCGAGACCGCTGTCAAGTACTACAAGAGAGTCGCAGACAAGGCCGTTGCGTGGTACCGGTCAGGCCCGCCGGGAGGGATGAGCTGGTTTCAGGAAGCCTACCGCATCGCCGACGAGACAGGAGGGGTCTTTGGCGAAGGTGCAAGCGTATCTAGCGCCGGTGTCAACGCCGTCAAGGGACACCCAAATTCCGGTGCTCACGCATCGATCGACGACATCATCGAGTACTGGGACCTGATGTCGCAGAAAGGTGATTTCAAGGCCTCTTTCAACCTCGGCCGCATCTACTATGAAGGCCAGAGGGGGTTGAATCAGGACTTTAAGCTTGCGAGGGAGTACTTCTACGCCGTTACCCAGCGGTTTTGGAGGAAGGGCCGCGTTGTGGAAAATCCCAAGCCAGGGCTGGATAAGACCGCCGCCAAGGCTGCCGGTTACATTGGGCGTATGCACTTGAGAGGAGACGGAGTTGAGCAGAACTTCGACAGAGCCAAGATATGGTTTGACCAGGGCATACTCTTTGGCGATGCTCAATCACAATACGGCTTAGGGCTGATACTGCTCCACGGGCTTGGTGTACCGCAGAACGTGGCCAGAGCGGCAGAGCTCTTCAAATCCGCAGCCGATCAGGACTTTGCTCCGGCGCAGGTGCAGATTGGCGCTCTCTATCTGGATCAGGGTCATGCCGACGATATTGGGAACGCCAACCACTTCTTCGAAATGGCCGCAAGATACGGCAACTTCGAAGCGTATTACTACCTCGCGGAGATGAACCTCGCCGGTATTGGACGGGAGAAGTCGTGTAGTTCAGCAGCAAGTTTCTACAAGAGCGTGGCCGAGAGGGCAGAGCCAGTGGTTTCTGCCTGGGCCGAGGCCAACGCTGCCTATGAAGACGGAGACTTGGAATTGGCTTTCCTCGAGTACCTGGGTGCCGCCGAGCAGGGGTACGAGAAGGCCCAGAACAACGTCGCCTTCATGTTGGATCCGGAACAGTCGCGCCTGCCTCTCCCTGAGTTGCTAGGTCGGAAAAAAGAGAAGTCATATCTTTTGGAAAACCCTTCGCTGGCTCTCATCTACTGGACGAGGTCGTCGAGACAAGGGAACATCGACTCTCTGGTGAAAATGGGGGATTACTATCTCCAGGGGATTGGGACCGACTCGGACGTCGAGAAGGCTGTCCAGTGCTATACCGGTGCGTCCGAGTACCACCAGAGCGCACAGGCGTTGTACAATCTGGGCTGGATGCACGAGAACGGGGTGGGCCTGAACCAGGACTTCCATTTAGCTAAGCGCTACTATGATTCCGCACTGGAGACGAACGAAGAGGCCTATCTTCCCGTCACGCTCAGCTTGCTCAAGCTGAGGGCGAGGAGCGCGTGGAACACCTTCACCCACGGCCGCATCAACTCCATCAGGGACGAGCCAGGTAAGGAGACCCCCAGCCCCACTGGGGCCTTGGTTTGAGTGGGAAGTAGTGTGCTGACTGATAGACAACCAGCCCCTAAAAAGGACTGGTCCCTGAGCGAGTGGATCGCCAACTTCGTCCAGGACGACCTCTTCTTGTACGATGACGCGGCATACGACGACCTTTACGACGGCGCAATGCCCGGTGGCGACTCGGACGTGGCAGGGGATGTGGATGATGGGATTATCGAGAGCATCATCATTGTGGGGCTGGCGGCGGCTCTTGTGTTTTTGGTTATGTATCGACAGCAAAGACAGCAGGCGGCGAGGAGAGCAGAGGAGCATGCTGCAAGACGGCAGCAGCAGCGGCATCAGCAGAGGCATCAACACCAGCAGCAACACCAGCAGCAGCAGCAGCAGCATGAGGAGCAGGGCGGCCAAGTGGCCGAGCCACAGGGCTTCCCACAAGCTGGCAACCCTGATTTTGGCCAGTGGGCTGCTGGGGGCGTGGGGCATTGATTGATGATGGATCAGATAGAGGATGGGCATATGTATGTGTGTGAATAGGATCCACCATGGCGTTAAAGGGTCAATCACCACAAAAGGTACCTCCAAAAAGTACCTCGGAGGAGGTCATATCAGGATTACGAGGTCTAGTCCTTCCTCTTCGTAGTGAAATAAATACTTCTCATGACGTTGTCTATACCCGCTGGGCGTGAACAAAATCTATGTCTCTTGACAACAGGTTTAGATGGACCCTGTGTTGTACATGATCAGGGTTGTACAGTCTGTCGATTAGAGAGAATGCCGTTTGACTTCTCTATGCGTAGACATCGGCCTTCACTAATCCGACTACCAACATCCTGGCTTAGGCATCTGTGGTACTTACCTACAGCGTTACGTCATACGCGCCTGGCCAATCAGCTGTTAGTTTCTTTTGGTATGAAATAGCTACCACAATGTCGATTTATGACACCACCCAAAGCACATAGATGGAGCCGCCCAAATACACACCAGGAAAGCCCACGGTAACTTGATATGGGATCTCATAGGTCATGGCTATCACATCAATACCGGCAGCAAAACGCCGCCGCATCACGGCCGCCAATGACACCCTCAGGAAGCCCTTCCGCTCGCCCCTGATCAGCCGACCAGGGCCGACGACACCCTCCTCGGGGTCCCCCCTCAGCGCGGTAGCCAACCCCGCGCGCCATCCGGCGCCTTACTCGCCCTCCACGGGGACGCCGTCGAGGCGGCGGGCCGCCGTCAGGCCCTTGCGGGTCGGGGTGGCCAGGCGCGGTGGCGGGAACGCCAGCAAGGACAACGACGACGACGACGACGACGGGGACGAGGACGGGATCCTGGCCGCGATGCGCATCCGCGGGAGGGAGGCGGACGCGCTCCTCCGCGCGGCCGAGGCGGAGCTGGAGACGGCACGGCAGGCCGGGCGGATCGAGGCGCGGGCGCGGGCCAGGAGGCCTGGCGAGGGGGAGGGGGGAGGGGCCGAGATGGGGGAGCTGGTGGAGAGGTGGAGGGAGGCGGGGAGGCGGGCGGCCGACGAGCTGCTGGGCCTGATTGCCGACCGCGTCGCTGGGATGGGGGGCGCGAAGGTGTGGAGGGAGTCGAGGAGGAGGCAGGCGGAGTTCTTCCGGGGGATGGATGGGGAGGAGGAGGAGAGGAAGAAGGCGGATGCCAGGAGGCGGGCTGCTGCGGTGGGGGAGGAGGAGGGCGGAAGGGGTGGTGGGTATGAGGAGGGGGGTGGGTTGGGAGAGGACGGTGATGTTGACCCCAGGGAGTACCGGGAAGGTCAGGAAGCTGCTGAGGAAGACGAGGAAAAGGAGGAGGACGCTGAGGATGAAAAGGTATGATGATGGTCTCTGTTCGAATGCCGTGGCCACCGCTAACCGAGTGCAGAAGTTTACGATGCACATGATGCTCAGGAGTCTCAACATCGACCCGGATATTCTGGGATACGATCCTGTTGAAGACAGATGGCGGGAGTGATGCGACTTCTAAGCACCTTGCCTCCCTCCCTACGCCTTCAAGGAATTCATACAGCTGTGCTTATACCCAATACTACGAAGGTGAGCGTCTCACGATGAGAGAAGGCAGGCAGCTGAGCTAAGCTGTCCGTCATAGGAACTTACGGCATAGCCCTGATACAACAGTAACAGAACAGCTACTTATGGGGCCGGGATTGCTTCGGAGAGGCTGATAAGCCGCGACAATGGACCTGGTCGGAAGTGTCCCGTATTAACGTTCTCAAATTGTGTCGAGATGAGGGCAAGCAGGCTAGATCTGGCTGGGTTATGCCGTGGCAGAACCAACCCCGGTCATAAGGGGATCGTTCATAGCACCAGAAGAGCATTCACGATACAAACCGATCGCACATTCTACTGAACTCTTTATGAGGATCGATCGATTCGGATGAGAGTCGAGTTAGGAGTTGTTGTCGGTTATGTGGGAGGCCTCAACTTTTAGAAGAATAAAACTTAATCCGCCATCAACCGGCCGTGTGTTTCTGACCATGTCTGGACTGGCCAGGCCCAGACTCGCGTGGAGAGACTATCTACTGTGTATGAGCGGCCGACAGAAAGGGGTAGATGTTGTGGGCCCTGGTCGATGCCCGCGTTTCAACACCAAAAATATACAGAAACTCGGAGAGAGAGCTGTGGGTTTGCCACGAAGAGCCGTTTCCTGTTTTTGTACGTATGTATGACAGGTATCCCCTCCAACAAGGCCAGGTTTCTCTCGCCTGAAAGGTGTTTCATTGGCTGGCAATTGAAGGTCGTCCCCTCTGAATCTCGGAGCAGGGACAGCTGAAACGAGACTGGAACAAGGTACCGGACACATACAGATGATACGGATGGATACGCTGAGTGGGGGACCACGAAGTACTCGACTGCGCTGCGCCACTGCTATCATGTCACAGTGATTGCGTGGAACATCTACCATAGAAGGGCAGCCATAGAATAAGCACCTGGCCGTACATGGGCGGCAGCGGGGGTATTCATAACAAGGTATAATACCCACTGCGTATTGTTCACCCAGCCTTGGCATTCCGCATCCTCGCTTCTTTAAGGCCACTGTCTTACTCTTCCCGCCTTCAATTTCCCTCGATAACAAACAACCAGGAGCGTGTCGTCTACCTGTGAATCTTCGTCCCCTTCGGACACTCGAAGATCAAGATGAAGCTGCAAGCGGCTGTCGAATCCGCCGTCGGCGCTTTGGTGCGTCGGGAGCATGACGAGGATGGCGACTTCATTCCGTTTTGGTACTCCAAGGTATGCCCTCTATTCCAGCTATTGTTTTCCAAAGACCGCCGACACGGTCTGACTGGCATTACAGACGGGCGTCATCGTCAAGTGGTCCCTCTTCCTAGGCCTCATCGTCATCGTCACCCTATACCTCCTCGTAGGCTACATGCACGCCAAGAGACGCATCCGGAAGGGCCTCCCACCGCTGGGTTATCACAGGGTGAGTACTAGCTCCCTTCCACCCAACCTCCTCCTTCTGCACATGCGCATCGTACTGATCCTGACCGAACCCCCAGTTCCTGGTTTCCCGCACGGAGCTCGCCCGAGTCGACCCCCGATACGCATTCCCCCAGCGGCCCTCGTACGGCACCTACTACCCGCCGAGCCAATACTACGGCATGCACGCCATGCCGCCGCCAGTCTACGATCCCGAGGCACCCCGGCCGCCCGTGTACGAGGGCGCCAAGGTCGATCCCAGCCAGGCGGGGCCGGGATTCACGCCCGAACCGACAAGACGGCCTACCGAGCCGGCCCCTGATTATTCGCCTCCCGCGGGACCGCCCCCAGGCGCATCGAGGCAGTAGGATGCTGGGAGGAGCGAGGATGGGGGGGACTACTAAGGAATATATTGATTGGCTTTGACGATGCGGGAAGCTTTGTACGGGATTTCAGCAGGCGTAGGGTAAGGTTGGGCTGGGTCTTTTGCTTTTGTAGATTTGCTAAATATGCTTCATTGTGCTGGAAAGAAACGCTCAATTTAACGCCCAAGTCGTGAATGGAATACAGGTACAGTACATGCTAGCTGGTGACGCCGTTTGCGCCGCATGAGAATGGGTATCTCCAACAAAACCGCCCCAAGCAACCCGGTTGCTTCAATATATCGGAAGTTGTGCCTAGTCTAGTTCCATCGCCTCTGGGTCTTCCTGCGCCATTGGGAAACCCGGAGAACTGGGAAAGACGTTGGCAAACCCATTTGCGAATGAGGGTTTAGGTGGAGTGGCTGGTGACTGGCTCTCGGGGGGTCTCTCCTCCCTCGCTTCCTTTTGTTGCTTCTCTCGGATCCGGGCACGAGACTCAAGGATGGCCTTCCGCACGTTGTCCTGCTCCTCCGGGACGGTGATGGAGCTCGGGACGTTGTAGAGAACCAGTTCCCGGCCTTTCAGGTCTTCCGCGGGGTTGGAGAGCAGCTGCGGGGGGATGCGATTGACGCGCAGATGCTTCTCAACGTCCGGGAGGAAGAGCAGCTTTCCGTCGTCTGTCTCACCGTCGGATGATGAGAACTCGTCTTCTAGATTGTAAATGTAGACCTTGTGTTTCGAATCATCCAGCTGCATCGAGTCATCTTCGCCTGGACGCCTTCGCGGGTGGGAGGTGGAGGGTGAGGAGGACGGCGCCGTGTTTGGCTGCGCAACGGGATTCTCGACTGGGACGTACAACTTGGATCCGTTTTGTTCTGCAGAAGGGCCATTGTCAGGAGAGGTATGGAAAGACGAATTGATAGGAGACTTGCCTAGATTTAGCAGACTCAATCGCTTTGACAGGCGCTCGTTATTCTCGGGTTGATTCTCAGCCTTCCTTTTGCGCCGGGGCTGCGGCGGGTTGGCTGGTTGGTGGCCAATGCCGATTGTGTCCCTATCTATCGCCGGATTTCTGGGTGCATTGCGCAGCAACATCATTGCTCTCTGGCGTGTTCTCTCCTCCTTTTTTTTCCCCCTTTCGCTTCTTCCCCGCAAGGCAGGCTGCTGTCCGGGTTGACCCAATCAGAAAGTCGTCGATTGTGTGTTTTGTTTCGTCTGAGTCAGTTGGAGCAACAAATCGGAGGCATATGTAGGTAAGGAAAGCGACGGATGAAAGTGTTGCTGTGGCGGTTGCGCTGCCGGCCTAGGCCAGCTCCGAGCTGCCCATTGAGTCATTCGTCGCGAAGCTTCTACCACAAAACCGATCCGCTTCCGCGCCCGTCTCTGAGCCTCGAGAACTTTCGATTCGCCACAACCGCTATCGGAAACGCCTCTGCATTCCCCAAGCCTCGAAAAGACGCCGCACTTGACCAAAGAGGACGATACCGCTTCCATTCTCACTCAGCATCTCCCAACATGGCCGAAGCACGGTGGAGCGGCCAGTTGGTCCGCAAGACCTTTCTCGATTATTTCAAAGAGAGGGGCCACACCATCGGTATGCCCTCACCCCCACGTCTGCGCTTTCCTTCGATTCCAGATCTAGCAAGCTCAATATCGCCGTCTCTGCCTCTCTGGGCTGCGCGACCATGTTTTCGAGAACAATGGAACTGATTACGGCCTCTCTTTGTAGTCCCCTCCTCCTCTGTCGTCCCCCATAACGACCCCACCTTGCTGTAGGCAGGAAGATTCCTATACTATGTATTCCTTACGGCTAACCTAGACGAAAGCTTCACCAATGCGGGCATGAACCAGTTCAAGCCCATTTTCCTGGGGACAATCGGCAAGACGGATCCTATGGCTAGTCTGAAGCGCGCGGTAGATACACAGAAGGTGGATTTCCCTCGTCTGCTCTATCTGGAGTCCTCATTGCTGATGTTGTCGCTCGCAGTGTATCCGTGCCGGTGGCAAACATAATGTTCGTTGACCCTCTCCCCACCCTGCCCTATTCTGGAGGGACTGCGACTTATACAACTAATCTAGGATCTCGACGATGTCGGTAAAGACAGTTACCACCATGTAAGCAGCGGTTCTACACCCGGGAGGAGCTGCATGGCTGATATGAGGACAGACTTTCTTCGAAATGTTGGGCAACTGGTCCTTTGGAGACTATTTCAAGAAGGAGGCTATCGAGATGTCCTGGGAACTCCTTACGAAAGTATACGGGATCGACCCTCAGCGGCTGTACGTGACGTACTTCGAGGGCAATCCCGACATGGGCTTGGAGCCGGATTTGGAGGCAAAGGAGTTGTGGAGGTCTGTCGGAGTCCCTGAAGACCACATCCTGCCCGGCGACATGAAAGACAACTTCTGGGAGATGGGCGATCAAGGCCCCTGCGGCCCCTGCAGCGAGGTTCACTACGACAGGGTCGGCGGCCGGAACGCTGCCCACCTCGTCAACCAGGACGACCCCTTGGTCGTGGAGGTCTGGAATAATGTCTTCATCCAGTTCGACCGACAGAAGGACAAGAGCTTGAAGTCGCTGCCCGCGAAGCACGTGGACACGGGAATGGGTTTCGAGCGGCTCGTGTCTGCACTGCAAGACAAGACTTCCAACTATGCCACCGATATCTTCACTCCCCTGTTCGAAACGATTCAGGGGTTGACTGGAAAGAGGCCGTACACGGACAAGTACGGGAAGGACGACGTTGATGGCATCGACACTGCGTACCGCGTGGTCGCAGATCACATCAGGCTCCTGTCATTTGCGATTGCCGACGGTGCTGCTCCCAACAACATTGGAAGAGGATACGTGGTCCGCCGAGTTCTCCGGAGAGGCGTTCGATATGCCCGCAAATACCTCGACGCCGAAATCGGCTCTTTCTTCTCCAAGATTCTCCCGGCGCTCGTGCAGCAAATGGGTGATCAGTTCCCGGAGCTGAAAAAGAAAGAGCAGGATATCAAGGAGATCCTCGATGAGGAGGAGGTGGCCTTTGCCCAGACCTTGGATCGGGGAGAGAGGCAGTTTGAGAAGTATGCCGCATCCACCATCAAGCGCGGCGAGAAGAAGCTGTCGGGTGCGGATGTGTGGAGACTTTACGATACCTTCGGCTTCCCTGAAGACCTCACTAGGTTGATGGCTGAAGAACAGGGGCTTTCCATTGATGATGCCGAAGTCGAAGTCGCAAGAGAGAAGGCAAGGGAGGCGAGCAAATCGGTCAAGGATGCTGTGCAGACATTCCCGAAGCTCAATGTCCATCAAATCTCAGAACTGGAGAACGAAGTAAAGATCCCCAGGCCAGACTCGGACCCGAAGTACGTCAAGGGAGACACTACCGGCAAAGTGCAGTTGATCTTTACTGGCAAGGAGTTCTTAAAGACAAGTAAAGACCTTCCCCCGAAAACACCGATCGGCATCCTACTCGACAAGACCAATTTCTACGCAGAATCGGGTGGTCAGGTCGCCGATACTGGCCGGATAATTATCGACGGTATTGCCGAGTTCAAAGTGCTGGATGTCCAGGAGTTTGGTGGCTACATTGTACACAACGGCTATCTCGAATACGGAGAGCTGACCTCTGGCGACGAGGTGATTTGCGAGTACGATGAGCTTCGTCGCCAGCCCATTAGGAGCAACCACACGGGTACACACATCCTCAACCACTCCCTTCGCGAAGTCCTCGGCGATGAAGTGCATCAGAAGGGTTCGTTGGTCGATCAGGACAAGCTGCGGTTCGATTTCAGCCACAAGACTGGCGTCACACTCGCCGAGCTCAAGAAGATCGAGGATATGTCCAACGCCTACATTCGACAGAACTGCAAGACGTATGGCAAGGATGTCGACCTGGACCTCGCCCGCCAGATCGAGGGCGTCCGCGCCGTATTCGGCGAGACGTACCCCAACCCTGTGCGCGTCGTCAGCATTGGCATCGAGGTCGATATGCTGCTCGAGAACCCCAAGAACCCCGAATGGCGCAAGGTGTCGGTTGAGTTCTGCGGTGGCACGCACGTCGAGCAGACGGGACTCATCAAGGATCTCGTCATCACCGAGGAGAACGGTATCGCCAAGGGCATCCGACGCATCGTCGCCCTCACGGGCGAGGCCGCGCACCAGGTCCAACAGGAGGCGAAGCGGTTCGCGGAGCGGATCGACCTCCTGGAGGCGATGCCCTTCGGCCCGGAGAAGGCGGCCGATATCAAGGCGACGCAGGTGGACCTGGACCGGCTGTCGATCTCCACCCTGACCAAGGAGGAGCTCAAGACCAGGTTTGCCAAGATCCAGAAGGGGGTCCTCGACGAGCAGAAGAAGCGCCAGAAGGCCGAGAGCAAGGCCGCCATGGACACTGTCCAGGGACACTTCAAGAAGGAGGAGAACAAGGACGCGAAGTGGTTCGTCGGCCACCTGCCCATCTCGGCAAACCCCAAGGCCGTCGCGGAGATCATCACCCACTTCAAGTCCAAGGACAAGGACAAGACCGTCTATGTCTTCTCCGGCGACAAGGACGAGGCCGTCTTCCATGGCGTCTACGTAGGCACTGTAAGTTTTTATTGAAACCCGCTTTTCTCTTCCCTTTTCTAGCAATAGTGTTGCTGACCTGGATCCCAAAACAACAGCACCTGTCCTCCAAGGGCATCACCGCCGAGGAGTGGACCACCGCCGTCAGCAAGGTCATCGGCGGCAAGACGGGCGGCAAGGAGCCCTCTCGGCAGGGCGCCGGTGCTGAGCCCGCCAAGCTCGACGAGGCCGTTTCGGAGGCCGAGAAGTGGCTGCTCCAGAAGATGGAGGAGCTGAAGATCTGAGCTCCCTCCTAGTTGGCAGTATTCCTTTTCCCTCTGTCGTTGTCCTTCTCGGTCTTGATATTCAATATATCAAGATGGGATGTGGTGTTAGATTGCTTCGCTTAAGGAAGGGGATGAGGGAGGCCTGGACGTATTAGGCTAGTAAACTCGGGTCCTACATCATTTATATGCTTCGGGATATCGGGATTCGGGGCCAAAAATAGGTAGGTATCCTCTAGGGAGGGTATGACTGGTGGTGGGCATTTTGAGCATGGACAGTGAAGTAAGGCTTATTTGTCCGTGTTTGCGTGCAAAACACACAAAAATGTTCGCTTTGTTCATCACTACCGGCTATGTCGAACATGGGGCCATGGCGGTGTTTCTCTATCATACAGTGAACATGACGCTGGCGTTCTTGTACCAGCTCAGAAGCGGGTTCTCTCCGCTCCTGGTCTCCGTCTCCTCCATGTATGCCCACCGGCGCATGAAGTCCTCGTGCGACAGGACCTTGGTCAGCTTCCCCGTGATGGCTTGGTAGATGGCCTCGGTGATGCGGAAGTCGGTGGGGAACATGATGTCGAAGTACCCCTGGTGAACCTGCAAGTCCGAACAGTAAGCCAATCTGAAAAGGGGGAGGGGGTAGGCAGAAACAAGAGTGCACTGCACTTACCAAGGGGGTTGTGACGGGCACCGGCCGGCGCTCATACCGCGTCTGCACGACGGGGGCGTTCATGCCCGCGATAGCATCGGGCAGGGAGTGGAAGTCGCTGGTGACGAGGCGGTGGGCGGGGAAGTAGCGCTCCAGGACGTCGAAGAACTGCATCAGGCGGGTCGGGAGGTACTCGGGCTGGCTGAGGTTCGGGGCGAAGGGGCGGTTGGCCTGGAGCCAGCGGCCGAGGCGCGTCGCCGGGTAGGGGAGGGAGTACCGGCCCCCCGTAGCGGCGTGGCGGACGCGGAGGAGGCGGGCCGCCACGGGGTCGAGGACGGGCTCGTAGAAGTCGTAGAAGTCGCCGCCCTCGTCGATCAGCACGGTCCCCTGGAGCGGCTCCTCGGTGGACAAGTCGTAGCGCACAATGTCGTGGGCGAAGTTGTCGAAGACCTCAAAGGCCAGGAAGAAGCAGGGCGAGGGGACGGGCTGATCCCAGTCGAAGATGGACTTGTTGATGATCTCTACCTTGTTCGCGTGACCGCGGGATGCGGCGTTGGAGAGTAGTTGGCTGTTTTGGATATTTGCGAGCTGGGAGCTGATCTCGATGATTTTATATTTGGTGCGGTCATATACGGCTGGGTCTATCGCCCGGATGTAGTCTAGGATATTGAGCATCAGTGTACCCCTCCCTGCGCCCATCTCGTAGATGATCAGATCATGGTAGGGGTACGTCGTCAGCTTGTAATTGGCGACAAGGTACCGGGCAATTGCCTCGCCATAGTACGGGCGGAAGAGCTCGGTAGGGGTGTACCAGAGCTGCCGCGTGTCCGATGGTTCGACAGCATCGAGGCTGTCTTCGAATTCAACGTAGCGTTTCGACAGTTGAGAGTGGAACTCGAGCTCGTCGCGCAAGGAGGGAAAGTTGAACGGCTCTCCGGGGCTAAATATGACCACTTGTTTGGAGAAATAGCCGTAATTTGGGTTGTAGAGACTGTCTTCAAGCATGTTAGCATAGCTCTTGGCTTGGGCAGGTCACGGCCCAGCCTGCGACAAACCTTCGATGAAGTCTCTCATCAGCATCTTAACCCTCTTTGGCCTCTCTTTCCGGTTCCTCAAGTCCATTGCAGTCACCATTGGATACTGTTTGTACTCCTCTGACATGTCCGCAGTGAAGATAGCGGTGCGCTGCTGCCAGTTGCTCTCATTACTGGGCGTGACCTTGCCGCCTCTGCGGCTCGAGAACGAGCGCTGTTGGAGGCGTCGGACATGTTGGATCGTGGTCGCGAGCTGGGCGAAGTTCCTTCGAGGCTGGCAGGCTCGATGTCGGAACAGTTGCTTAAACAACTGCGTCACAATTGGGGAATCCATGGCAAGACTGTGTTGGAACATTGAAGCCAACGAATTTCTCAACTATACGAGTGCAGGTAGCTCCACCCTGCATGCGCGCTTGAGCTCCAAGCCGCCAAGCGCCGTGGCTGTGGCTTGGACGAGCCCCTGCAGCCGGGGTTCTGAGCTTTGGGTGGCTCGCAAGTTGCTCCTCTTATTGGTAGAATCGCTTCGAGCATGTGCGCCAGCTCCTAGCCATCAACGACACCTGTAAAGCTTGACCCATCACTGCTAATACTCAACAAACTATGTCGCAGGCAACGGAGTCAAATCTCCCCTTTACGTCGCCGCAGCCAAAAGTTGGCGATCCGCCACTAGGCTGGGATGACTTCAAGAAGCCAAAATTGGGTCGATTTCCAGGATCAGGCGACGACATCAGCCTGCAAGCGCATCTCGGCGGGGGGTTAGATGGCCTTGTTATCAAAGCTCGAATCAAGGGCCAGAAGGACCCCCTCGCCGTCAAGATCGTAGGTTGGCCCTCCCGAAGGAATTAAGGATTGGTGTCACCTCTCCCCCTTCACTGATGCGCAATAATCTGCCCAGTTTCACTTCAACCGCCCACCACCGCCTATCTATTACACGCCTGTCCCAGACTTGTGAATCACATGAATAGGTTGATCGACAAATTGGTCTACCTTGTTGCGGACCTCCTCCTTGCATCCCTTGAGAAACATGTAGCAGATGAAGAGGCGATTCTTGCGGCGCAGCGTTACCACGTTTAGCTTTAGGTCTGCCGTCAGGTTGGCGTCTGCAGGTCTGGCTCTGGCCTCTGTCTGTGCAATGTGTGCGAGCAGGGCGTCCGTGAACTCTTTCACTAGGTCATGGGCCAAGGCAATGGCTACGGAGGAGTTCCGAGACGAAGCGGTGTAATTCGTGTCGAAGAGACATCGTAATATGCCATTTGCGTTTAGTGCTGCATAGCTTTCGGACGCAATGCTTAGCTCCATATTATGTAGGGATTAGTAATGGATGGCTCGAGTGGAATGGGCGACGTCGAAAAGTGGTTGATTCATGATGAAGAATACAGAATGCAGCAGGTGGAAGAGAGCTATTTGTAGGCTAGTTGGCCTGTGCGGTTGACTGGCTGGCACATGCGCCAGGCCCCCAATGATTTTCAGCCCTGAATAGTACCTGGAACGGCATCTGACAGAATTTGAATCCGCATAAACAAAAAGGAAACACAAAGGAATGAACAAAACTTGACAGACGGGATCGAATATTCTGGATTACTAAGCTCCTGTGATGTCCTTGAGAGACCATCCCAAGGCATATGGCACGGCCGCCCTTACGGCGGCATTTGTTGCCGGTGTGCTGATGACACTAGGTTTCAAAGACCTGTATCCAGACCTGGAGAGAAGATACGAGCAGCGGAGGAGGAGAAGGCCCCGCAGGAGCTCTGCCGCAAACTCGCGCAGAGGCAGCCTCTACTTCACGCCTGTGCAATTGGAGGACCATGAATCAGACTCGGGAGCCAGCCTTGAAATTGCCCCCGGCATCGCCAGTGGCATCGAGGGATGCATCGGGAACACACCTCTAGTGAATATACGGAGTCTTTCCGAGGCGACCGGCCGCACAATACTGGCCAAGGCAGAATTTCTCAACGGCGCCGGCGGTAGCCCCAAGGACAGGGTCGCCCTGAACATGATCCAGACGGCCGAGGAGGAAGGTCTTCTAACGCCCTGGCAAGGAGACACGATATACGAGGGCACGGTCGGCAGCACGGGCATATCTCTCGCCACCCTGGCGCGAGCAATGGGATATAAGGCATACATCTGCATGCCCAACGACCAGAGCATCGAGAAGTCGAACCTCCTGCACCACCTTGGCGCGACGGTGGAGCGAGTCCCGGTAGCACCCATCACGTCGCCCGAGCACTTCGTCAACCTGGCGCGGACCCGGGCAAAGGAGCACACGGCTTCGTCGGCGGACTCGAGCAAGGGCTTCTTCGCCAACCAGTTCGAGTCGGCGGCGAACTACCAGGCCCACCTGCGGACGACGGGCCCGGAGATCCTGTACCAGGCGGGCGGGCGCGTCGACGCCTTCGTGGCGGGCGCCGGGACGGGCGGGACCATCGTCGGGGTGGCCAAGTACCTGAAGGAGGAGAGGGGCCTGGCCGACACGAGGATCGTCCTCGCCGACCCGCAGGGCAGCGGGCTCTACAACAAGGTCAGGCACGGCGTCATGTACTCGTCCACGGAGCGGGAGGGGACCCGGCGGAGGCAGCAGGTCGACACCATCGTCGAGGGGATCGGGATCAACCGGATCACGGCCAACTTCGAGGCCGGGCGGGAGCTGATCGACGACGCCGTCAGGGTGACGGACGAGCAGGCCTGCAGGATGGCGAGGTGGCTGGTGGAGAAGGACGGCATCTTTGTCGGCAGCAGCAGCGCCGTCAACTGCGTGGCCGCCGTGGTGACGGCGCTCGGCCTGCCCGAGGGCAGCCAGGTGGTGACGGTGTTGTGCGACTCTGGCAACAGGCATCTGAGCAAGTTCTGGAAGCAGGTTGCCGAGATGGGTTTGGAGGAGGAGGAGGAGCAGACGCCTGCGGATTTACTCGCAGCCTTGGGCATCCAGCAATCCCAACCGTGATCGCCTGTACCATGTAAAACCAACACATCCACATTTGCGACGTCACTGCAAGACAGTGGGGAGAGTGATGGGGTGTACCAAAGGTCTCATTCCGGGTCCTATGATACACGGTCTAGGCCCTACGATGCTCCTTGTATGCGAGCCGGCCAACGCAAGTTTATCAACTTGAGTAAAAAATATCAGAATGCAACTCATCGCGATCCCTGTATGCCCAGAAAACTCCTAAACCAGTTTGCCTTGCCGCATTGAACTCCGAGCTGTTCCACTTACAGCGTGGGTGGCGCCAAAATGCGCGCTGCTGTCTCTCACGGCGTGCCATAGACCAAATACCAAACCTCGCAAAAGTAATGAGATTTTCCAGGGGCAATGTGCCGCTGGATTGGTGGCTTGGCACCTAGGAGAACTGCGCGGTTGGAGGTGGATTTTCAGCATGCAGCACTCGATACCACCCGAGCGGGGGTCATAACTCACCTTCCAGCGATTGCCGCAGACGGTGCACTCGCAGAACGTAGTCATAGGTTCATCAGCGGACCGAGTCTGGGCCTGGCTGTAGGAAACTTTCTTCTGGCCGCACTTGCCGCACTTCAGGGCATCGCTGATGGACTTCTCCGCCATCGGGACCTGGGCCTTCTTCATGTTCTCCTTCTTGAGAGCCTCGTCCTTGGCGCGCTGCTCTTCCGATGCCAATTCCTTAGTAGACATGATGACGAAGTGTTCGGGTGCGATGTCCCCGGACATGACCTTACGGCCCAGCTGGCGATTAGTCTTGTTCTTGAGACTGATGAACAGGCTGCGCATCTTGCTGCGATAGTCCTGCCCATCGCCCTTGTACGCCCGGTAGGCCGCATTCTCCACCTCAATCGACCGCAGCAGAACGTCCTCGATCGAGTCCGTAGCACGATATGCAAGACCATTGTAGATCATACCAATACAATTGTCACGAATCGTGCTGCCAGTGCGGTTGATGTCGACCTTGTCCTCCTTGAAGTGGCGCTTCTCGGTGTCACCCTCGTATGGCTTGTTGGAGGAGGTGGACGGCGGGGCGGGAGACGCGGTGCTGGCCGGGGTCGAGGACGGGGAGGCCAACTTCGCCCGCTGGGCAGCCTTCTTCGCCTTCTGGGCATCGACGCCCTTGCGCCACTTGGTGACAATCTCACTTGCGAGCCTGGCGATATCCTTGTCGGCATTGGACCGCAGCTTACCGACGAAGACGCCAGCCTTGGTAGCCTAGGGGAACAGCATTAGGAGGCGGAAGCCGAACCTGAGCAGAAGAATAAAAAAAAAGAGGGCGTTCGCATATAAATGGCAGGCATGAGGGGCAGGAACTACTCACGCGCAACATCTCCTCCGTCGGGGCCGCATCCTTCTTCAGGTTGTCCATGATGGCAATGATGGCAGAGGTCGGCTCATTGCTGGAAACCGCCTTGCCGAGCGCCTTGATCCTCCGAGAAAGCTCCCGTTCATCCATGGTCGATATTGTGATATGGTCTGGTTCGTGAAGGTGGAGATCGGGGAGAAATATCGCGGGGGGGCGTAGATGCCGCGAATGCGACTGATGCAACTGACGGCCCAAGGATGAGGGAGTGGTCGGCTTTTTATGGTTGTCAAGTAAATGGAACCACACGGCGGAAGGAAGGGGAGGGTTGGGGCTAGAGCAGGAGGTTCAGATGAATTCAACGGGAGCTCCCAATGTTAACCTTGGAAAGCACTCCTTTTGCAAGGCTACGTCCGGATACTATTCGTAGGTACCTTAGTACTTGAGGCTGAATGGGGGTACGGTTAGTAAGCAGGTAGTTTGCCAGACTCCGGCACGTGCATTTTATTCGAGAGATTCTTGTGTGCCTACCTATCCTGTCCTTTTACTGACTTCTTCACTTCTGCTACCATGTCAATTTCTGGCTTAAGAAGGCTTGTTTGGTAACTCATGCCTGCACTCGCTCTGTTTGCCCTTGACCACCGGCCATGGCTTGGCCCCCATGAGTGCAGACTGAGGGAAACAATGAATGGAAAGACGCTGCAAGTTGACTGATCATGGCAGTTTGCAAAGGTACTGTGACGCTTTTCAGTCCATCTGCCTCAGAATTCCCAATTGCGGCAGCCTGGCAATAGGAGCATAGCCAACAAGCGGTATAGCAACAAGCAAACCTACCTGCAAGGCCCTGTTAGACACATTGACGAGGCCTAGAGTTGCTTGGGGGATATTGCTAACAGGGTTATGGCTGGATGAATGATCCTTCCAAAATAGTCCTTGTGAGCCTGGCTCTGGAAGTCTCTGCTCCTAACAATGAGCGAATGCAATGAAGAGAGATGTGAGTGCTCTTACCAAGATGTACCTTGCTTAGTTGCTATGTTGGACAGGTCTCCTTGAATTGGGGTGGGAAAAGGTAGCTAAGTAGTTATCCGTGAATGAATTTGTCCAAGGACACATAGGCAAGCATGTCAAGGGCAGCTACAGCCAGGTCGAAAGAAGACGAAGAAGCAAACCAGAAATCGGCATATATCCAGTTATGATCCTCAATCCATTCTAGAATGCAAAGATGGCAGATGGAAAAGGTAACGAAAGCAGGATTGACCCAGTACTGGCAACCCAGAGCTTGCCTTATGAGGTTCGTGGCCTTGCTTATTGATTTCTCTATTTTGGGTGTTGGTTGTGGAATCGCACTCGTCTAACAGGGCTTTTCGAAACATGCCACACCTGGAGCAGACGTCCGGATCTATTGTGCACATGTGGGATCTTGTGTGCCTGGTTGATAGGGTGTTGAGAGAAGGCAAGGGCGTTGAGAGTTGCCTCTTGAACTGCCAGCAAGATCTAGGAGCATTGCTGAGGGGATATAAGTATGTCCAGTCTTCAGTTGCCTAGCTTCATGACTACCTAGCCATGACTCGGCTCTGTGATGTGACTTGGGTTTGACTCTAATACGGGGGCTTGACACTGCCCCGTTGAAGCCGTATATCCCTAATTACAAGGTATGACCAATGAGCACTGGGTCCCTCGTGGTCACAGGGCGGGATATTATGAGTGCCTGCCTTCTTTACCAACGCTGTTTGGCTAAGGGGCAGGAGTTGAAGTTATAAGAAGCGTGGGATTGTGCTGCAAATCAATATTGGTATCAACTACATTCTTAAATTGATAGTCACCTACCTGCCTTGCCTGACTGGAAAGCATACTTCAGAAGTCAGAAGTTGTGCGAAGCTGGAAGCCGAGGCAGAGTTCCAGGGGTGTACCCCACTATCCCATTCAGGCCAGTCTAGACCCCAGGGGTTCTTCAGGGGTAGACACTAAAAGCATGCCCCAACTGCAGCGCGTTGATTGGCTGCCAAGACCTATCTCTCAGCCTTGCGACACATCTCACTAACTCAAACTTGGGCAGCTTCACTCCAACAAGACGGCAATTCGAGCACCCTTCGGTCAAACCTGATGTTTACCCACCTGTAACACATACAGCTTCCTGTCACTACCTTTCCGTGTTTTGTCCGAAACTATGACCTGATACAGCGCAAAAAACCAATCCAACGCCATGGGTCCCTTCTCTTTAAAGAACGTCTATAGCCTCGACACCCTCGACACGCGGTTTACCACCCCATCCTCCGTCCCATACAAGTTTACAGCAGACGCTCGAGATGGGAAAGCGAAGAGAGAGGCTTCCAATAAACCCGACAAAAAGACCCAAGGATCAAAATGGGGAACGCCAGAATTTGTCCTCTACTACCTGGTCTTCTTGGTGACGGTGCCTCGAATGTTCTGGATAGCATACGATGTTTCAAGATGTACGTGCCAGTTATCTTGTTGCGCCTGTTGAAGCCTAGGTTCTAATTCAGATTAAATATAGCATCTGATCCAAGATACCCCAAGTATAAGCACTTCCTCTCCCCAGGCTGGATCCCGGGCCGACAGATCGTGAGCTTTCCCACCTTTTCTCCTCCTATCTGAAAACTCAAACATCCTAATCCGCAAGCGTAGGATGTGTCAGATAACCAGTATCACACGTTCCGGTCCAACCTCCCCTATATGGCAACACTCCTTGTCGCCCATCCCCTACTTCGCCGGGCCTGGAATGCAGCATTTCCGCTCCCCAGTGTAAATGGCTCGAGCAGGCCAACTCCCCAGACCGCAGAGGCCCGACTGAACCAGCGAGCGTCGTTCGACTACATCTTTGCCCTTTTCTTCCTCACTGTACTCCATGGTTTCTCGGCACTTAAGGTGCTTGCCATCCTCTATATCAATTACGGCATCGCAACGAGACTCCCGAGGCGACACGTGCCCTGGGTAACTTGGGTTTTCAATATCGCTACTCTGTTTGCGAACGAATTGACCGACGGCTATAAGTTCCGAGACATTGCGAAGCTCGTTTCTGGACCGCCGGGGCCAGATCTAGTCTCTGACCCAGGCGCTTTAGTCCGCCTTGGGACCTGGTTGGACAGCTATGGAGGGATCATGTCTCGGTGGGAGATTCTCTTCAACATTACCATACTGCGGCTCATTAGCTTCAACCTGGATTACTACTGGAGTCAAGATCGAGGGAGCAGTAGTCCGATCGAGGTAATATTTCTCTTTGCCCAGTAACGACGCCTGGTGTGATGCATTGCTAACACAACACCCCCAAGAAGAAGCAGCTTGACCCTGCGAACCTCTCAGAGCGTGACCGTATTACAATCCCCGCCGCAGCCTCGGACTTCACCTTCAGGAACTACCTGGCCTATGCCGTCTATGCTCCTTTGTATCTCACGGGGCCCATCTTGACCTTCAACGATTACATCTCGCAGCTTCGATATAAGCCAGCAAGTATCGAGAAGCCCCGCACCATTCGGTACGCTATCCGCTTCCTCCTCGTCCTCCTGGCCATGGAGGTGATCCTGCATTACGACTACGTCAGCGCGATCAGCAAGGCAAACCCCGTCTGGTCGAGCTACACTCCTTCCCAGCTCTCACTCCTCTCCTACTTCAACCTGCACATGATCTGGCTCAAACTGCTTATCCCCTGGCGGATGTTCCGCCTGTGGGCGCTCGTCGACGGTATTGACCCACCGGAGAACATGCTCCGCTGCGTCAGCAATAACTACTCGGCTGTGCTCTTCTGGCGCGCCTGGCACCGCAGCTACAACCGCTGGCTCATCCGGTACATCTACGTGCCGCTGGGGGGGTCTGACTTCCGGTCCTGGCGCACCGCCGTGCGTTCCGTGGCCACCTACCTGCTCGTCTTCACCTTTGTCTCCCTCTGGCACGACATCAAGCTGCGCCTGCTCATCTGGGGCTGGCTGATCGTCCTCTTCATGGTCCCCGAGTTCACGGCGAGGTACCTGTTCCCGGCCCGGAAGTGGGAGAGCCGGCCGACGGCGTACCGCATGATATGCTGTGCGGGAGCCGTGGGGAACGTGATCATGATGATGGCTGCCAACCTCGTCGGGTTCGCCGTTGGCCTGGATGGTTTGGAGAGCATAGTGAGGGGAATATTCCATGATTTCTCTGGTACGTCCCATTCTCTCCTTTCCCGGACTTCTTTTCTTCTCTCAGTCATTTTTCTTGAGTTGGATTCTGGTAGGTTACAATTGCTGATTACCTTCCACTAGGCATCATCTTCCTCGTCGCGGCTTGCTCGGCGCTGTTTGTGGGTATTCAGGTCATGTTTGAGATCCGGGAAACGGAGTTGAGGAAGGGGATATCCTTGAAGTGCTAGGCGGAGCACCACCCATCTTTGTACCATGAGACATGGTCGCGCATAGATATTCCGGGTTGGCGGGTTTTCATATTGTAGTTTTGACAGGCGGTTTATATGTGCCCATAGATCATTACACTTGTTATATAATGATGATATTTATTTCCGTATTGAATCATAGAGGCGCCAAAGACTACAGCCCCTATACACGCTGCTCGCAATTGGTTGACGTTGTCTTCAAAGATGCTGGAAATATCCGTTGGATTGAATGATAGCTACTTAGATATTGCACCAACTCCTGCCAAGTATCGCGCAGAGAAACATTTTGGGGTATATAACTAGTTAAGCGCCTCATTTTTGATCAGATTCACGGGGTATATCCATTCCTAACACACAAACACCGCGGGAGAGATATTCCAAGAGTAGATATCCTGAAGCCCATATTACTGACTGCCCCTCACCACTTGACGCAAAACACCAAAAAAGCACCAAAACACGGGACTCCTTATTTCCCCGACATCTCCAAATCGCGATCCGCCGGGTCGACTCTGGCGCCGTGTTGCCGCGCAAGCTTCCCGTCCATGTGCAGCTTCTCCTCCGTCACCCAGCGGCGGAGCCAGATCAGGCCCCACACGACGCCGAAGACGACGAGGCAGCCGACGGCGATGCCGAAGACATAGGCGACGACAAAGCCCTTGCCCGACTCGTTCGGGTCGAGGAAAGAGTACACGTAGAAGCCCTTGGTGGCGTGGGTGAGGTAGGCGAGGGCGAGGTAGAGGGCGAGGATGACGACGAGCCAGAGCATGTGGATGGGCGGGGGCGGGGCGGTGCGCGGCACGAGGATCTCGAACAGGGCGAAGAGGCTGTTGAGGGCGTGGCGGGACAGGTTGCTCCAGGCGGTGAACTGCTCCGGGAACCAGGTGCCCGAGTACAGGCGGGCCCAGTAGACGACGGTGACGACGACGGGGTACACGACGGCGGTCGTGTAGAAGAGCGAGTGCAGGGCCTGAAGGGGCCGCGGGAAGCGGTCGAGCAGAGGTCGGCCGGTGAGCGCGTAGCTGAGCGTGTGGGCGGCCGAGACGAGGAAGTAGAAGGCAAGGCCCCAGTAGGTCAGCACGGTGAAGTAGGAGAACTCGTTCCGAGACTGAAAGCAGCCGCCTAGGAGGGGGTGCGAGCAGTACCACCCCAGGACGAAGACCGAGGTGACGAGCGCGTACAGGGCCTGGAAGCGTGGGATTAGAAACTTTTATTGTTTTTCTACTTTGCCCTTCAAGGGCCGTTTTATAGTATGGAATGGCTGCCATTTGGACTTACAAAAAGAGCCCTAAAGAAAAACAGGACATAGGGAGGGAGCAGCCAAGATGTCTCGAACCGATGGGACGGGTCCCAAAGGTCCTTACCAAATGCAAATGGTCGAGGCATTTCAGACAACCTCCCGGAAGGGCAAGGTTGAAGACAAGATGTGTAGTAGAAGACCAAGAGAAGGAGAAGCACAGATATTAATGTTTTACCCAGAAGATTTGGTTGGGTCCGGGCACTTCAGCCTCACTCCAGCCCTGTCGGCCGCCCTGTCCCGCGTCTGGACCTGTTGCATGGAACATGGCTGTCTTCAGTTTGCTGGGGTTCCACTCCTTCAAAACTACGATACATTACATGGGAATGATCCCAGATCAAGATGGAGAGACTACACAGTAGTCCTAACTATTCTATCTTGTGTAATCATGTACTGGTCGTCGGTTGGGCTACACACCATAATTAATATGGCCAGCTATCGAAGTGGTTCCGACCAAGGAGAATCCATGCAGGGCAACACACACCGACGCACTGGACAACGTAATTAGCAGGCTCTATATCTGCGCCATTGGGGGACTAGGCTATGTACATGCCTGGCATCAGCTGTTGCACCCATTATTTACCTAAGGGGAAAAACCGAAACCTCTGATTCGACATTCAGACAAGAAGGACGGGAAAGATTGAAGCTGAGCCAGTCCAGAATGTATGCCCTCCCCACTTTCCCCCTAGGACAAAAGCCAAGCCAAGAGACTGTTTGGTTGTTGGACCAAGCCAAAAAAAAAACCAATAAAAAAAACGATAGATAAAAAGGGGGATCCCGAACAGACCCCTTGGGCCCCTTACCTCAACGGACCCTCGTATAATTACGACGTAGCTACGCAGTAGATACCTTGACCTTAGCGACGGCGGCTAAGGCACGTTTATCTACAAGGGCTTGGCAGGTACCTCGCTCGACTCCTTTGGGAATATTTGCTTGTTCCTACTGGCAAATAAATACCTGGTTAGATATCATATCTATATATCCCCATCTCTACAGACCTAGGAGGCCATCCTGCATAGATTGGCTGAGTGACTCGAGAACTTGAAGAATGCACGTTTATAAGGGCACTTTGTACGGATGTAATGGCTCGGCATAGCGGCATAGCGTGGGGTTCCGATATTAACTTTGTGCAGTAGTAGGTACCTAGGACCCAAATGTTCCAAGGTTTTGAAGAATCCCGGGACCCCGCTGTGCCCACGAACCAGGTCAAGGGGACCCATAGGCTTGCTTCCCAATTTCCACCCCATTCTGCATCACGACGTGGGCCACACGGCCACACAGCCCAGGGCCCAGGCTGCCCAGCATACCAATTCACCACCCACCCCCGGTCGCCCCGGGGGCCTGTGGCCTTTGGAAGGTCCAGATCGGCTGGAGGGTGCAGATGCATCCTTTCAATAGCCTTGGTAAGTTGTACTTGTACATACATCAGTCTCCTCCATTCAACCTCTCGATCTCTCCCTTGCCAAGGCGGGCTTCTCCTCTCTTTGTCTCTCCCCAAAGGGCTGATTCTGCAACCACTTCTCTTCGTGCTGCCCTCCATTCCTTCTAGTAATACTCCTTTCTTCCACCCCTCGCCTGCCCCGAGGTCTTCCCTGTCTAGTCTCGTTATTGGTACAGTCAAATCTGACTTGGTGACCATTTCACTTGCAACTCGTTTCTCGCCAAAGGCTCGCTTGAACGGTCTGCCGCGATGTCTCGACCTGAAGGCGACCTTTGCTGAGCCTCGCCCAACAATCCTCCCGGAAACCTTGTGTCGACTCACTTACTTGGTTGCTGAGACCTGCTCACTCGATTCACTGCCCTCAGAGTTCTAGCCCTGCGCCGAGCCTGTCAGCTGTACGGCAAGTTGCAGAACGCATAGAAGAAGCGGAGGTCCCCTCGCATTGTGCGACCCGTTCCCTGCCAGTTACCGCAATACGCTGCAACAGATGGTGCTCTGACATTCCGAGCCGAGGGAAGGAATCGCTGCTTTGCGCCATGATCTCCAACCCTACCCACCATTCCCCGTCGCTACACTTTGCCCGACCACATCCTGTCGCCATGGCCCCAGATACAATCCCCGAGGCCGAGTCCATACCCGACGCGGAACCGGAGCCCGAGATACCGCAACGCCGACGACCCACGCCCCGCCACCCTATCCCGTCCATGCAAGATGCCTTTGACGAGTCGCTGGCGGAGCATACCAGCGGTTTGGAGGTACTGAAGCCCAAGTTGCGGGTCGGCGATGCGAAAACCAGGCGTGACAGACTCCTTAACGAGGGCAAAGATGAAGGACCTCCTGCGGCCTATTGGCGATATCGGCCGGGACAGAAGAATCACGAGCTGCGGAGGTTGTTGGCACAGATATCGTTTGGCGTACACCTACTGCTGAATGGCTCGGCGACTGCTATAGAGTCTGTTGTCCAAATCCTTCAGGGCCACATCGATGAGGTTGATGAGTTCCTGGAAATGACGTTGGAAGACATGGCCTTGGCCACCAAGGATCTTCAGGAACGCCTCGACCACCTTAGGTTGCCAATGAACAACATGGCGGTTTTTGAAAAGATGTTGGAGGACCGCCAGTTCCGTTTGCGCATACTCGACGGAAACGAGGCTATCGAACACATCGTCTCGCGAACAACGACTGCTCTCGCCCAAACGGTGGAGGATGTAGACGAGGGCTTGAAGTCAACCCGAGAATTTGCAGACTATCTGACTGAACAGCACTATGGAGGCTGGCGTGACGAGCAACCTGGCATAGTCACCATTTTCGAAGCGATGAAAGGGAACACTGAAGGCTGGCTCAACGCGTTTGCTGACCTGCATGCCAAGGACAACGCTCTCCATGTCCTTACACTGCAGCTGAGTGGCGTGGTCTCTGAGATGGAGCTCACGGCCGGTGAAGTTAGTCGTCGGACGAGGGTAAGCATGACCCAACGAGCAACCTCCGTCCTGGTGGTTCTAACCTGTTCTCTAGTTCAGCATCAAGCCTTACACTGCGCCGGTGCATACGCCTCGCTCGTCTCAAAGCTCGACTTTAAGCACGCCGACGGCATCGCCACCCCGGACAAGAATACCCAGATCTCCACCGAGACTATCCTTACGGCTAAGCTCACTCCTCCAGCCCGAGGAAAGTGGATCGTCTTACTTTGACATTCCAACCAAGACCGATGATACCCTTGCCCCCTTTCAGAGCCAGTCCACGAAACATCCGGACATAGAGGAGGAACCAGAACTGCCCGAGATAGCGATTGAGTCGGAAGACCACCGACGACAAGCCCCGGACGACATCGCACCCCGGCGAGAGAGCGCGGATAATAGTGGTGAGGACGACAAGCGACTGTATTTGCTCCAACCGCGAACCTACACACCACAGCCGCCCGCGCCATTGCCGTCACCACGCTTACGAGACGAAATGCATCAGCCAATCGCGGAACGGGAGAGACCGGAGCGACAGTCACAGCCGCAGAAGAGGACATCGCTTAGACAGAGGATTTCTTTGAAGACGACTCCACCCGAGTCTATTCAAGTCCCGCCACCGAACGCTCCAGAGCTGCAAGAGCCGGATTACGTGTCTCCACAAATATACCAGGGGCCAGACTCGGCTTACGGATCCGACATTGAGAGAACGGCGGCCAACCCTCCGGCACTTGCAGACCCATCCGCTGCCGATCCCCCGCAGCCAGTCTTCCGCCGGCCCGATCTCATTCCATCTCCGCAGTCAGACCAGCAGTATTTCCGCCCTGTGCGGGCGAGCCCGCACTCACCCTTGCAGCAAAGACCCCATACATCCCATACGACACGCAATAATGCGTCATACCAGCAGCATCAACGCAATGCTCCGTCAGCTATGGGCATGAGCATGCTCAGCAACGTCACCAACGTGTCCAATGACACCGGGACCGGGCGGAAGCTGAAGAAGAAACGCAGCGCATTCGGCTGGTTCAAGAAGGCCTTTGCGCTCGACGAAGAAGAGCGGGTAGCATTTGAGCAGAAGAGGCAGCAAGCCTCACCAAACCTCTATTACGACAACAGAAGTCCCCAGTTTTTAGACGGGAGAAGGGTTAGGCGGTAACTGGGCTGAGGATCTTGTTCCGTATGTTGTCTGCTGGCCAATCCAGGTCCCTCGGGATCTTCAGTTTCTGGTAGCGGGTAACCGCAGATCCCAAAGGTAACCAAGGTTCCAGGCGAGCGGGACGGCCCGGCGCATTCTATTTTTCGACTCGTGCATCTTTGCCTCGACGCGACTTGATACCCACGCAGAGCTTACAGTTTCTTGACTGTGTTTTACTATTATGTCTTTTTCTCTCTTTTACCCCTCCCTTCTTTTTGCTTTCTATAAAACCAAAAAAAACCCAATTCCTAAAAAAAGAAGGAAAGATAACTGTGCCGGGACAGATGATGGATTGCATGGCGTTGGCGGTTTCGATTTCAAGACGCATGCAGCTCAAGACGTAGCTGAGAGATAGCTACGCCAGTCTTAACATGAACATGTTAATAACCTAGTACCCTAGAGTTTCAGAAATTCAATCCTAAGACAGACATACGTGATGGTGACGATCATTGTCATGATGTAAGGTAAATCAGGGCGGGTTGTTAACTTATTAATCCGATGCACGGACCAGACTAAAATTCCATCCAACTGCCCTGACTACTAAAGCCGAAAAATTTAGCTGTCTGAACAACCACAGCAACCCGACCAGTATGGCGCAGGTCAAGGATATCACTCTGGACCTTGAGCGCCACCAGCAGGCTCTTGAAGAGACGATTTCCAGGCTTCGCAAATCCCTTCAATACTGGCAGACGTGGTACTTTGAGTATGCCGCGCTGAAGGAAGAAGTGGCCGGTTCCGAAGACCAACCACCAAGTCGCAAGGACCTTGCTCGAATCCGGCGTGACTTCGACGCCGAACTCCTCGATAAGAAGGAAGTCAATGAATTGTTCGGCAAGCATGATCTCAAGGAGCCGGAGCAGATCATTAGCGCCCTGTCGCGGCGCATGGACTACGTGGAGCGGAATGTCGAAACTATAGGGAAGCAACTCGAGGCAGCGCAGAACAGGTTGGCGGCTTCGATTGTGGTAGCGAATCCCGATGGAGGAACCGACGAGGAGAGTGGCCTTCCCATTACCGATATCATCGAGGAGCTTGACAAGGACGGGAATGTTGTGAATTTCCGCCTGCAAACCGGAGGGGACACCGGACCCAAAGTCCTCGAGGCTTTGAGGAAAGCCGGGTTGGATGGCCTGGGTGACACGCCAGAGGCATCCACTGCCGTCCCCACGAGCTCGGAACCGTCAGACCCCACGGAAGAGGATACCACCCTGCAATCAAGCCGAGAAGATGCTCATGGAACGCCCTCCAAAAACAATCCTTCTCTTGCGGAAAGACCAGCCAGTTCGAGGAAGAGTGTATCGTTTGTGGAAGATACTAAACCTGGTCACGATTCTGAGGAGCAACAGCCTGTCTCGAGAGCGGCTCGTCGACTCGAGCAGATCATGCAGCGTGCTAAGGATCTGGAAACCCTGGAAGCGGACTCTGTCGTTATCCCAGAGGATGAATCACAAGAGGATGCTGAACTACGCCGGGAGATGCTCGAATATGGCCTGTCGGAAATCGGACCTGTTGTAGCAGAGCTTCAACTGGACGAGGACTATTCCGGTAATAGTGATGACGATGACGAGTACGATTATACCGATGAGGACGATGATACAGAGGATGAACTCGGCAGGTCCAGGCATAGTGTCATCACCGATGATTACCGCCAACGGATGCAAGAGTTGGAAAAGCGCCTGGGCGTGCAGTCCGCGTTCTCAGCAGATCCGATGCCGAAGAACCCGATCCCAGAGGAAGGTATCGGACGGATATCCATAGTTGGCCAGGCAGGCTCTAGAACCTTGTCGCGTGATGATGCCCAAGCTGGAGACTCTCCGAAACCTGCAACCAAGAAAGGGGTTCGGTTTGCAGAGCAGCTGGACATTGCACCAGGCGATGAAGTACCTACCCCTGCCAGTTCTTCTGCGTCAAAAGAGACACCAGAGGTCAATCCTCTAAGCGATATTGTTGAGAGGACTGCCGAACCCCGGCCCCGGGCTGAGAATCCCACCAGGCGACCCTCGAGGTTCAAAAAAGAACGTGGAGCGGGATCCGAGTCCGCGGTTCCTCATGTGCCAAGTGGCCCCCACGAAGCGCCTGTCAGATTCTTGGACCAGGACCGGGCAATAGCACCCTCTGGTCCCGCCGGACAGACAATGGCAGATGCCATCGTCGAACGCGATGTGTCGTCGGAAGCGAGAGAGCCCGATGAGTTCGATACCGATCTTGTACATCAACAGGCTGCGGTTGAGTTCAATCGGGTCCGGAACCGCCTCATTCACAAACAAGGCGGATTCCTCAAGGAGCACGAAGCGCCAATCACCCCACTGGATGAGGAAGAAGGGGGCCCCAAGCGTATGAGCAGATTCAAAGCTGCGCGGCTGTCACGGCAGTGATCGCTGGACACGACTACCCATTCGATATCCCAAGGGCTGGTATCATAGTCAACTCGGATCGAGTTATCTGAGCCGTGTTTCGGTGGCTCCCTATGTCCGTGACCAAGAGGTATAATGCCTTTCATATTCGGAGCAAATACGGACTGTACAGTCCACCATTTTATCTCATTAAATCATTTTCTAACATTGGCCGCACTCTCCGTCTTCACGGCGCTTCTGGCATGAATGATTCGCTGCCGCCCACCAGGCAGGGAACTTTTTCTCACCCTCCTCTAAGTCAGCATCTCAGGAGTGACCATCCCCCCTTTACGGAACGCATATTGTCTGACAATTGATGGTCTGCAGCCTCGATCTGCATTCACATTACTGCGCGATTCCAAAAAGAAATCAGATGGGAATCTCTGACGCCGTGACCCTTGACAACTCTTCGCCGTGGTCTCAGCGCTTCGTTAGTCCCCTCACATCTTCGGCGGTTTGACGTTGTAGGCTTTTAATTAATATCAACCGGACTTTTTTGTTCATCCTTGCCTTGTCCATGTATGATCCTATGCCAACTAACTCCATGGAATGTAAGCTACAAAACCACAGGCGCAATCTCCCATCGTCCCTCTTGTTTCCAAGTGCCCGGACTCCTCTCCATCCCCATCCATTAGCTAAACTTCGCGTTGCTGAAGTCCATCTCGGGGTGCTGCTCCTGGAACCTCTTCAGCATGTCCTCCTTCTTCTGGTCGTCGCTAGAGGGCAGGCCCATCTCCTTCTGGCGCTGGTCGTACATCATCTTCTCGACCATGCCGCGCGTCTCGCCGTCCAGCTCCGACAGCTTGCTGTTCTCGGGCACGATCTTGGTCACGTCGATCTTGGGCGCCCCGACCACCACGTGCGGCCACCACTCCATCTTGTTCATCTTGTCCAGGTGTATCTCCACCGTCTTGGTCCCGTCCGGCGCCGCCGTCAGCGTCCACGTGGACTCGTCGATGCGGATTGAGTGCGCGAGGTCGCCCTACGGAAGGAGGGGAGAGCGTTAGTTTATATAAGGAGCCCCTTTGAGTCTTCTTCTTTATGTGGATATTATGTAGGGGGTTCGGAGGGGCAGGGTTATCATACGCTGATTATCGGTTCCTGGCCTTTAATGCCGGCGACGAGCTTCTGCTTCTTGATGTCGATGTTGAGGTCCCGCCCCTTCAGGTTACCGGGGACTGAAAATGTGAGATCAAGGTCTCCTATGGTCTGTGTCCACTTATACGGAAGCGCATCCTGCTCTGCCTGCTCCTTGGCGCGGGTGGCAGCCTCCTCGGCTGGGGTGGGCTCTGAGTTCCATAGGATGTTAGTGGTTGGGCAGTCTTCCATGGGTATCTCGACAGGATTCAAAAAGGAATGTGGCTGTTTTTCGTAGGCATCAGGCAACTTGGGGGAGCAAATGTACTCACCTTTATCGGTCATCTTCGTCGGATTCCCTGGTTATGCTTAAGGCTTGGAGAAGACGTCGAATCTTGGATCTAGAACGAGATGGAAATGCTGAGATGACATATCGAAAGGCTGACAAAAGACGACAACGGGGTGATCCAGAACCCCCCCACTTTAAGCTTTAGCCAATCAGCTCAAACCACCATCTCAGACAAGATTTATCAGCCTCGCCTTTATTAACGACATTGACCCTGCAACTTTCAATTTCTCATCCTGAATGCGAGGGTCGGCCTGTTCCGAAACTAGGCCTCGTACCTCAGAGCCAGGATCAATGAAGACAATCATATAAGGTTTTGAACACCTTCACTCAACGACGGCTATCCAAATCCCCTTCCCTCGCATCGAACGGTCATATCAAGAAACCAGCCATGTCCCGCAGAGCCACCTTCAACACCCGCCCGGCGGGCGCGGCCACCACGGTCGCATCCGACGACATGTGCCCCGTATGCAAGACGATCCGGTACCTCAACAAGGACATGGAGTTCCTCATCAACCAGGAGTGCTACCACCCGATGTGCTCGAACTGCGTGAACCGCCTCTTCAACGATGGGCCGAACCAGTGCCCCTACGCGGGCTGCCACAAGACGCTTCGGCGCAAGGGGTTCCGGACGGCCTTCTTCGGCGACCTGGGCGTGGAGCGCGAGGTGGACATACGGCGGCGGGTGGCGGCGGTCTTCAACCGGGCCGAGGACGACTTCGAGACGCTGCGCGACTACAACGACTACCTGCAGATGGTCGAGGACCTGACCTTCGACCTGGTCGGCGGCGACGAGGCCCGCCGCCGCGCCGCCGAGTCCACGCTGCAGCAGTGGGAGGCCGAGCACCGGGCCGACATTGAGCGCAACCGCAACGCCGGCCGCGAGGCCGACGAGCTGTCCCGCCGCAGGCTGGCCGCCGAGCGGGAGGCCGCCCGCCAGCGGCGCCTCGACGCCATCAACGAGGCCGAGGAGGAGCGCCTGAGCCGCGCGCGCCAGCGCGAGGCCGAGCTCGACGACCTGGCCAAGGGCGGCTCGTCCGCCGCTGCCGAGACCCACCGCGTGCAGCTCAAGAAGCGGGGCCAGCAGGCCCGCACCGCCGCCGCCGTGGTGGCTGCCACGGACCCGGCCGCCGACGTCACGGGCGCGGCGGGCAGGCTGTCGATCCGCGGGCTCAAGGAGAAGCGCAAGCCGGCGGCCTCGGCGGCGGCGGCCGAGGGGCCGTACGACCCGTTTGGCGGCATGGACTTTTCGCCCGACCGGTACCGCGTCGTGATGCGCGAGGGGTACTACAGCAACGACTGGCTCCAGGGGGCGCGCCTCGACATGGCCCACGCGGCCGGCGGGTATGACGTCCGCGAGTACTGCGCGCGGGCCATGTTCGACGCCTTTGCGGGGCTGGGCGTCTTCGTCGGCGACGAGAAGGAGATCGGCTCCGTCGCCAGCAGCGGCGCCGGCGCCTCGGCGGGGGACGTCGCCACCACCGCCGCTGGCATGGCCGCCGCCGAGCCGGGTCCGGACCCCGTCGTCAGGATGGAAGTGGACGATGTCTTTGGCTAGCGGCGGGGCCGCTGCGGCAGTTTGGTTTTTGGGCCATGAGTAGGCGTCCGTCCTTCAAGGGAAAACATAATGATAGTGAATAATGCATGAGCGACGGCGTTCATCCGGTTGGGACTGGGTTTAACAAAATGTTGGACACTGTGGCTAGACGGGGCACATTAAAGTGTAATATGATACCACACTACAATTAAAAGGGAGAAGGAATTCAAGGAATTCTCATACCATCAAAATCTGTTCAAATTTTATGCTTGGTCCTTCGTCTACCCTGGGTCTCTATCTACAGAACCGCGTGCCTTGCCGCCACCGAGACCAAACCCGTATACGCTTCATCTCCGCCCCTTTCTGACTTCCAGGAATAGACTATTAGCAATCTTCGCCGAAGAAGCAGTGCCTGCTAACGCCACGCTTAAATCATGCATGTACAAAGAAACGTTAAGAAAGGCTGGATAAGGGAGAAAGGAGACAAACGAAAAGAGTGCAACAGCCAGGTTTCACGGTATGAACGTCTCGTCGGGAAAATGAGGAGAAAGGGGGGAAGCCATCCAAAAATTCAAGTTTCTCTTTAGGGGTAGGCGGAGGGGGGTATCACTATCACTGCTGTTGCCACGGCGTCTGTTGCGACGGGCGGGGAAATACAGGGACCGTCTCCAACTGATCCAGCCCGCCACCGATCGGCTGCTGGTTCCCGTGTTGCCAACCCAAACCCGTCGCGTGGTTCACAAACGCGCTCTGCCGGAACGGGTTCGTGCTCCCCGTCGGCTGCGGCGCCAGCGCCCCGGCCGTCACGGGCCGCTGCTCCTGCTGCGCCTGCTGTTGCGGGGCGCCGAAGTTCTTTGCGAAGGGGTTCGTGCCCGTCGCCATCGCTTGCAACGGGGCCGGTTGCTGGGGCGCCTGGGTCTGGAAGGGAGAGTTGGAAGCCGCAGCGGGAGCGGCGAAGGGCTGTGCAGCCTGTGGAGATGATCGGGCGAAAGGGTTGGTGGATTGGCTTGTTGACGGCCGTTGTTGCTGCGGTGAGGTGGCTGAGAAAGGTGAGTTTGCCTGGCCGGTCAGCAGCATCGACTGCCGGAATGGATTGGTGGTCTGTTGGCCAGTTTGTAGAGGCTGCAAGTTCTGAGGGGCGCCGGTCTGGAAAGACGCGACGGTGTTTTGCGGGATCGGAGTAAGGGAGCTTGGTTGGAAGCTTGGCTGCGAAGAGAAACCCCCAAATCCAGCACCGGTGAAGTTGGGTTGGAGTTGCTGGTTTGCTTGTTGCTGTTGGACAAATGCACCCGTGTTCTGTTGCTGAAATGGACTGTTGTTAGGGAAGCCAGTCGGTTGCGGAGCAAACCCATTAGGCTGTACTAAGCCAGTTGGCTGCATCTGAAATGGGCTGTTGCCCCAGGGAGTCATGCCGGTTTGTGCCGGAACTTGAGCTTGCGGCTGTACGGTCATGGGTGTCTGGTTCTGCTCGATCGAATCGAAGAAGTCAATGAGGTCTGGGTCAGGACCCTTGGCCGGCGGTGCCGGTTTTGATGCCTGTTGAAACCCATTGGCCCCTGACGATGCCTTGGCTGTGCTGCTCTTCAAAGTAGGCTCGCTCTTGAAGAGCCTAGATGATGTCCCCCCTGAGCCGCCCTTGGAGTTCTTTGCGTCGAGCTCCGCGAGATACTGCCGTCGGTGTATCTCGAAGTCGGGGTCTTTCAGATACTCCTCCAGTTGCCGGCCCAAGTTAACTGGCGCGTGTTTGAGCTTCGGGACCTCGACCCTGGTGTGGTGCTCGTACTGTCTGGCAACAGTCAGATATTGCACTACATAGTCTGTCTGTCGAGTGAAGCTGCGGTAGATGCCCATAGCTCTCTCCGCATCGGGCTTAGACATCTCGAAGAAGTGGCCTATGACGGTGTTAGAGGTGGACCCCGGCGGTGCAGAGCCACTCACCGAGAAGGTTTATCATAGCCTGATTCAAGACCTGGAACAGGGATAGCAGGTCTAAGACTAACAGCCTGAAGACCGTAATTGTGATCTCGTTCTCAGGCTCCGTTTCCATAACCTAAGCCAGATTCAGCTGCTGTATGTGGTCAACACAGGGTGCGGGGTACTAACATCGCATTTCAACAGAGCCGTAAGCTGGTGCTGAACCGTCTCAGTCTCGCGGAGCAAGCCCTTCTCCACCGATAGCCTCTCTAGACGTGTCTCTTTCCCCCTTACCCAGTCACATTTCGTCTCTCGGTATGCCCGTGCTCGTTCGGAGAGGTAATTGGAGTAATGTCGGATGTTTCGGCCTTGGGTTTGAGCTGTCCTAGCTGTCAGGAACAGTTCCTCGTCTTCGAGTCGGGGCAGGTTATGTTACTGACCATCAGAGAACATACTCACAGCCAGCATATTCCTATGCTTAGCGAGATATGCCAGTGTGACATCTGGGGATCCCTCCCTGATCATCAAGTGCACCGTGATCAGGCTCTTGAAAACGACCGTCCATGTTGAGTCGCGCAAGCGATGCTGCAGTGCTCGAAAGACCTCCCCCACTCCGTGCTCGCCCGCATGAGTCGCTACGAGGATATGTTCGATGTATTTGGTCTTGGGAGGCGCGGCCTAGGACGAGTAAGCTGGTCAGCTTTTGCCTGATTGAAGCGGAGGGGAAGACATGATGCGCGAACAAACCTTGATTTTAGTCGCGCCTTTGACGGACTTTTCGAATGAGCTTGCCATAGCTAACTAACTGGGTCGTAGACCCGGCCAGGCCGAAGGGTCTCGCAACAGCTTGAGAAGTTGGGCGGTCAATATCTGGCGCGGCGCAATGAACCAAACGGGGCAGCAAGTGGGAGGGAAGGCGAGCTAGCGGCGTCCCGACGATGGGCTTAGTGAGCCGGGGGCCTATTGCTCGAACTCTCGGTCGGACAAGGCTTGGGCGTCGAGATACGAAAAGATGGAGAGATGCCGTTGGGCAAGCCACACAGGTAGATAAGGTACACGATATTAATATGGGAGATAGTGAGCGGGCCCCAGCTTGCTGTTCATAGTAACTTTTGTCGACGTGATGTCAAATTTCGGCCTGGCAGGGCCCAGTTTACTTACCACTTCTCCCACTTCAGCCCCCTTTCGACAATCTACAGGGGGGTGCCCCACGGAAGAATGCACATGGCCTACAACAGTACCTAAACCACAACCGGCAAATTCGGGTTCTGGTATGCTGGTTAGCTTCAACATACCCTACCTACTTGGCTGGTAACATACCTGCCCCCGAAGACGTGTGTACATGTTACAAGCATTGGACGAATTGCAGCTCCATTACGGTATCACTCTTATTCGTGCTTCATTACTATGCTAGAACCCGTAGCCTGACTAACACAACGCGCGGCGCGGTAGCTCCAGTCAGCTCAGCCTTCCCGAAGATTGCTAGAGAACAGTTTTCCGTAAAAATGCAACTACTATAAGGTCTCTATCTCCAAGATCCGAGGCCATCCAGGGCCCCAAACCGTATACTCTCATCGCGAATAATAAAAGAAGCCACTTGGCCTACGCCAAGAGAGATGTGACGTTATTGACCAAAGGGGCGACAAGACTGGCGGCAGCGGGCTGGCCGTGAAACAAATGAAAACAAAAATCGAGATGCAAAAGCAAGGTCTTCCAACTTCAAAACAATCAGAGTTGCCTAATTGCGTCCGAGATGTTAACAAGGTCGATGTGTGTCGAACGCTTATTTCATAATTCCTGCCTCCGTCACAACCAAACCACTTGAGCCCCAGAAGGGGAGAGTTCGGAAGCTCGGTGAGGTGGAAGCTTCATCATATGGATCACGCTGGCTTTCATCATCTAGAGAAATGGTTAGTCTTAAGGCACACAGAATATTATCGAGCAGGCTACTCACTTTTTGTTGAATGGAAGGATAGAGAGAAAAGAAAAAGACCTTCAAAAATTCTCCAAGTCGAGGTAACTTTATGGGCCTGGCAAATGGTGAGTGGATCTGGGTTAACTATCTTCCGTGGCATGATTGTAGACACTGTACCTAGGTACCTATGCACAATCCAGGCACTGCTTGATGTCGATCTTCCGTTGAGAGGTAAAAGGTATCGAAGTCAGAATTTAACAATACCTGTGCCGGGAGCCCGTTTTGTGGCTGGCCGTGGTTTCTGGCCTATCTATGGCTTCCAATGGTGCTACAGCGAGGCTCTTCTGCTGTTGCAGTCGGCCCCTACCCAGGCCTTGGTCAGCCAACTCACCCAGTCTAAGAACGACCCGTGTCGGTCATGTTGCAATAATACGGCCATTTCACAGCTCTAGACAATTTTCTGCAGATGGTGCTTCTGGCCAAGATGGCTCAGGGCCAACTGTCAGTAGATCAGCTGCTCAGTCAACAAGCTCCCAGGTAGCAGAAACTTTAGGGGAGTATAAGAAGTACTGTCAGTTGCCTCGCTATCGATCTATTCCAGGCTCATTCCCTAACCGGGCTCAGTTCACTTCCCATCTGCATATCAGGCTAGTGAGCTCCAGGTGGGCAAGAAGGTCACCGTACATGGCTTTCTCTCCCGACGGCGGGTCAAGCACTCAAAGTTGGTCTTTGCAGACATAAGGACGAAGACTGGTCCTCCAGTCCAGATCACCTCCTCGTTTGAGGAGAAAGATAGCCCGGCGTCTCTAGTTAACAAGGCGCTGAAATCCATACCATTGCACAGCCCAGTTTCGGTCACAGGGACGGTCACCAAGCTCCATTCTCGAGATGCAGATGGGGCAAGGCTAGGGCCAAACGTGGATCGCATCGACCTGTCTCTAGACAGTATCCAAGCACTCAACCCCTTCCCGAGAGACATCATCGTCTCTGATGGTGTTCAGTTCCCGGCATCGTCGCGCCACCTGCAGATCAGGTTCTCAGAGAGCCTTCGAGAGAGACTAGTTTTCCGTTCCCATGTCAGCAAACAGCTGAGGGACTCTCTTGATCACTTGAACTTCTGTGAATATGAAACACCCATCCTTTTCAAATCCACTCCCGAGGGTGCCAGGGAGTTCATCGTCCCATCGCGACGGCGCGGCCTGGCCTACGCGCTGCCTCAGAGTCCTCAGCAGTACAAGCAAATCCTCGTCGCCAGCGGAGTCGGCAACTACTATCAGTTTGCTCGGTGTTTTCGGGATGAAGACTTGCGATCAGACAGACAGCCAGAGTTCACTCAGGTGTGTGTACCTCTTTGCAAAATCCGGAAGACGGCATATTGACCAGGAGATAGCTCGACTTGGAGATGGCCTTCGCCACAGGCGAAGACGTAATGCGCACAGTCGAAGCACTCATCAAAGACTTGCTAAAGAAACTCGGCGCCGGCTACACTGTCCGGCAGGTCGGCGATGAGCTTGTACCATATCCGAAGTCTGGTTCGAATCACACTGGCGCATCTCACTGGCAGATAGAGGATGCTCCTTTCCCGCGCATCACTTATCAAGAAGCCATGGAGCAGTACGGCTCTGACAAGCCTGATGTCAGGATTCCGTGTGTTGTAAGTTCTAGTAGCCTTCCTATGGCTTTGGTGGACTTCCGTTTTAACGATTACAGATCCGGCGGATCGACTCGATATTGCCGCGGCCTTTTGTTCAGATGATCTCGGATCTCGAGGAACCAGTCGTGGAGGCAATCAAACTTCGTCTTGAAGGGAACCCCCCAGAGAATTGGTCCTTTATTCGAAGCTTCATGGACTCGCTTCCCACATCGTTGGCTAAGAATCCCCACGGGGCGCCGGCGGTGCTGATGTTCGACACCAGCAAACCCATGTGTGGGCTATCATCACTTGGGCACGAAGCATTCGCCGCCCTAACAAGCGGTGGTCCCGGGTTCGAAGACTTTGCCGACCTCGAGGACGGCGATGTCCTGGTAATACAGGCCCGCGAGAACAAGCCATTCCAGGGCGGCTCCACCGCCTTGGGCAACCTCCGACTCGCGGCCTACCAAGACGCGATATCCAAGGGCCTCGTCCCGCGCGACGACAGCTTCAACTTCCTCTGGGTGCACGGCTTCCCCCTGTTCACCCCCGACAGCGACGAGGGCCCCGGGCAGGGAGGCAGGGCGGGCTTCTCGGCGACGCACCACCCCTTCACGGCGCCCCTGACGGACGCGGACTTCGAGCTCCTCGCGAGCGACCCGCTCAAGGCCAGGGCGGACCACTACGACCTCGTCGTGAACGGGGTCGAGCTGGGCGGAGGCAGCCGGCGTATCCACGTGGCCAAGGTGCAGGAGTACGTGATGCGCCACATCCTCGAGATGCCCGACGACGGCGTGGCGCAGTTCGCGCACCTGCTCGAGGCGCTCCGGGCCGGCTGCCCGCCGCACGCCGGCTTCGCCCTGGGCTTCGACCGGCTGGTGGCGCTGCTGAGCGGGACGGGCTCGGTCAGGGACGTCATTGTCTTCCCCAAGTCGATGAAGGGCGAAGACCTCATGGTTAAGAGCCCTGGTCGGATCACGGGCGAGCAGTTGCAGACTTATCACCTTGCCCTTCAGCCGAAGAAGTGAGGCCGGTGGGGTAGTCAAAATCGGATGTGCAGATTATGTGGGAATATTGGGAGAGATATAGATAGAGGGATGGAAAGACACAGAGATTCCTTGTTTGGCGCATCACCGCTCCACTATTTATGTATTCATAAGGATTAGAAGTTAGTAGACCTCGGTGCTATGTATGTACTTGTACAATATAAAAACGCACACTGCGTGCTGTTAAGTGTTTAATGGTCAGTCAAGTTAGGTCTCGCGCATGGCCACCTCCGGAGTATTGCAGACGAAAAGATCCGTGGGATGTCCTTTGAATAAGTCTTCAAGTACATCGAAGAAGGAAGTTATCCCAACACATCACGGCGACTGCCTAGGGTGCCATCGGCGGGAAGGGGTCAGCCAACTAAATGCCCCAGCCAAACCACTCAACCTCGGCGGAGAAGCCACGCTCTTATTGCAGTGCAGCTTGATACATAGTGGCAAGTACACGGCCCACTACAATCTATATTAATCTACCTTCACAGGCTAGCCCAGAAAGCCGTACGCCTGTTCGTACCTGAGCCCCGAATCTGGACATTCAGAAGACCGCATACAGTGCGGTCCGATAGCAAGGAGGCAAGGGCTTGATTAGGAACGCCAACCTCACCCTGTGACCCTGTCAAAGAATTTCGGCCAGCAAGCCCAAAAGGGAGACAGAGGGCACCAAGGTAATAAGTAAGTAAGAGAATGAGGACATCATCAGCAAATCCGCGCGCCAACTCACTCGCCCGCCCCATAGCTCTTGACCCTACTGAAGAAGAAAGGCTTGTCGTTCCTAAGCCTAAACTCGGCCCAGTCGTCGGTCAGCCTATCGTAGCTGTAGAAGCCCCTCCAGACGAGCTTGTTGTTCCTCGGGCCGCCGCCGCCCCGGCCCGAGCTGCGCAGCGACAGGTCCAGCCGGTACATGTACTTCCCGACGCCCTCGGTCTCGACGAACACGTCCCCCTCGACCTCGCTAACCGACGCCTCCGGCGCGTCCGCCGCGCAGGCCAGGCGCCACCGCCCCCTCAGCCCGCTCTGCATCACCGCCGACGGCAGGTGGGCCATGGCGCCCCCCGCGTGCAGCGCCAGGGCGTCGCGGGTCAGGTGGGGCACGACGTCGGCGGGCTCGGCCGTCGTCAGCAGCGAGACGGCCGTGCCGTCGCGGAAGAAGCGCAGGTACCGGTAGTAGGTGACGATGTGCACGGGGCTGTTCCACGTCACCAGGTTCGCCGACGCCTGCCCGGACCGGATGTAGTTGACAGTGCTGATGTAGCACCCGTTGAACCGCACCCGCGGCCGCAGCCGGAGCATGCGCTGCCATGACGACGAGTACAGCGCGTCCAGGAACCCGAGCGTGTTGGCCTCGTTCTCCTCCCGCTGCCGCGCGGCCAGCTCCGCCGCGGAAAGGGGTAGGACCAGGTCCCCCGACGATAGTGACGACAATGCGACCGGGCCGTCATCGTCGGGGTCCAGCGGTTCCCACGACACGCCGCGCTGCCAGTGGTAGTGCATGGCCCCGAAGCCGACCTCGGTCCCAAGGCAGACCCGCTGCCAGATCCGGTCCTCCGTGGCGACCAAGTAGGCCAGACGCCTGCATACCTGCGCGAGGCGGACAAAATCGCCGACGTCGAGGATCGCGACGTCGCGCAGGATGTGGATGAGAATCTCATCCGGGAGCCCGGCGATCGGGCAGGGCGGCTGCGGCGTACCTTCGATCTCGGCAGGTCTGGCCTCGATGGCAAACCCGGCGAAGCTCGCAATGAGTTCCTCCATCGACGGCTGGCGGCCATCTGGGGAGTGGTGGGCTGTGCTTGGGACAGTCACCGGGGCATTGGACGGGTTTTCCTGAACGGGTTTGGAGCCGGGAGGGGGAGCGGGAAAGTGCTTGTTCTTGTACTTCAGGTCTACCCGATGATCCATCTGCGCCCTCTGTCAGTTTACCGTCGAATCGAGGCACCGCGACATGGTTTGCGACGGACGTACCCTGAATGCCTGGCGATATAAGCGCAGGCTGTCGCCAAGGTTACCCACAACCTCCTTCTCAACCGCCTTCTCGTAATGGTCCAATGCCGAGACCGGCTCCTTTCCTTTCAGCTCGTCCATCTCCCCCCCTGTGCTCGAGCTGGACTCGGCGGTCGGTTCTACCTCTGGCTCGTCAAACGGGCGAGATTGGGGGACATAATCATCATCCTCCTCCTCCTGCTGCAAGGGCTTTTTTTCCTTTTCATGCTTTCGCGAGGGCTCAGTAGTTCGCAAAGTTCTCTGTGAGGCGGACGTAGAAGCGGCCGGCCGCTGAACGTCGCTCCTCGAGCCCGGGACTTTTGCGCGGACTTCTGCCCGCCATTGCTCCCGGAACGACTCGAGCTCGGCGGATATATCGGAGGGACTCATGTTGCTGGCTAGATGCGAGGAAAGATGGCGGGGGGCTATTTAATTGGCAAAAGGAGCATCTAGGGAGAAGCGCAATGTTGAGCGCCGCCACCAGTGCAGACTACAAAGGCAGGCAACCAAGTGAAATGGACTATGGCAATGGGAGATGTGGAAAAGTGGAAATCATCAGTGTCATTGTGTCATGCCGCTCTTTTGATCGGTGTGACTCGGTATTTCCCCTCCGCCTGAGTCAGCTAAGCGAGTAACTAAGGCCCCGGATCGGGCCAAAATAAGCCTGTAAGCTTGGAATAAGAGAACCGTTTCCGGGGTTTCAAGTGATTTTAGAGGAGCTTGTCTCCGCGAGCAGGGGCATTTAGTTATTCGGGCAGGGGCTCTTAGCTATTTGGGTAGGGACGTTTAGCTATTCGGGCAGGGGCATTTAGCTATGCGCGGGTAGGGGCATTTAGCTATGCGCTGGTAGGGGCATTTGGCTAGCCGTCGCTGTCACTATTGCCAAGTCGGGCTCTCTTGCTGTCGCCGTCTCTGTTGCTGTTGCTGTTGCCGTCGCCGTCGCTTGTTCAGTGGCTGGCAGCTGGTCTTCTTCATGCTCCAACTGTCCCAATAATTTTGGCGGCCCGGAACCCCTGTCCAACATAGACCCCTGCCTGAATAGCCAAACGCCCCTGCCTGCAGAGACAATCTCTTCTAGAGATCTTATCCATCCTCACCATGACGATGTCTCCCGTACTATTTCAGATCCTATCGGACTTGCACCTTGAGACGCATCCATCTTATCACTTTCCCATCAAACAGGCGGCTCCATATCTGGCCCTGCTTGGCGACATCGGCCATGTTGCTGACGATGGCCTGTTCGATTTCTTGGAAACACAACTTCGCCGATACTGGACTGTCTTCTTCCTGCTTGGGAACCATGAGCCCATCCATACAAGCTGGACAGCGGCGAAGAGCAGGGTTCGCGGCTTTTCCGAGAGGATGGAACGGCTAAGGAGTCAGTCGACGATGGGGCGGTTCGTCTTTCTCGACCATACGCGATACGATGTCAATGACACTATCACCATTTTGGGCTGCACGCTGTTTTCGAGAGTCTCTCCTGAACAAGCTATGGCGGTGGGAAGTCGCTTCGTTGATTTCAGGCAGATCAATAACTGGATGGTCCAGGATCACGTCGATGCTCATTTGTCCGATCTAAAGTGGCTGAATGCGCAGGTGTCCGAGATATCCAGGACAGATCCTCAGAGACAGATTGTCATCTTCACCCACTATAGCCCGACCTGTGATCCGAGAGCCATGGACGAAAGGCATAGTAACAGTCCCGTCACGTCAGGGTTTGCCACCGATCTGAGTGCGGAAGAATGCTGGATGAACCGCTCCGTTGCTCTCTGGGCATTCGGCCACACGCACTTCAGCTGCGATTTTGTTGACGATCTGGGAAAGAACATCATTGCGAACCAGAAAGGCTATCGTCAGACCTACGAGAAAGACTTTGACATGACGAAGATCTTTCTGGTCGGCAGAGATGCGAAGCCTGGACACCTATTGCTAGGTGACAGATAGCCATATGGGTCTATTCTAGTGATGAAAGTTACTTGTCCTGTTGGGTCCTCTCAATGATGGTCAAGCGCCAGTGTCTCGGCTCAACCAGGAGACATCCCCTTGGATTTTCCTCCTCAACAGAGGTCGATGATTCACGGCTTCACTATCACTGAAGCTATAAACAGAATTTGAAGCCCACCGGCCTGTCGCTGGTAGAATTAATCGTCTATCTCCACAGTGTTCGTTCAAGGTAGTTGAATAGTCAAGGCCAGCCCATAATGCCCATTAGTCCGAGTACCTATATCTCTTTATGCCCCCTGAACTCCGACGCCGCCGACAGGTATAGGACAATACAAGAAGAAAAGGGGCACGGAAAACAATTTTAAGCTAGAGGCGGACGAAAAGAAAAGGGGAACAACTAGGACTCTATAAAAAAAACTGGATAATATTTATCCATGTGTTTTGAAAATGAAGGCTCTAGCCAACGGCATGTCTCAAGCCCATCTAACGCGATGATAGAAAGATCCAGGCTCAGTGGCCCGGAGCGTCGTGCTCGCTGTGCACCGAATGGCTACTCCCCGCTTGTGATCCCGCGAAGGCGCAGCATCCCTGGCCAACGCAATCGTCCACACATTCCAGGAGGCACAGGTCCTCTTGCATGCTCCCACACTTTGTCACGCCTGCCGCGCTACCATCTGCCTGCTCGACAACGGCGTTGTCCACGTCAGCTTGAGCGTGAGTGTGGGCTTTGTCGAGGCAGAACTCGGGCTGGATGGTGGCGCTGTGGATGCCGTAGGCATGGAGACACTGGCGGACCAGCCTCGCCAGTTCCATGTACCTCTCCCCGCCTTCCTCGGAGATGGGGAACGTCACTTGGATATGCATCGACGCGACGAGCTTCGTGTCGGAGAGCTGCCAGATGTGGACGTGGTGACAGCTGATCACACCGGGAAGATTCTGAATATCCTTCCTCACGTCGCTGACGTCGATATGGTCGGGCGTGGCCTGGAGCAAGATCTTTGACGTCGCAACTGTCAACGGGATCGCGGAGCGGAGGATGATGAGGGTGATGAACAGGGAGACTGCAGGGTCCGCGTAGAATCGTCCAGGCCAGTCGGACAACCAGATCACCAGGGCTGTGACTATGACTCCGACGTTGCCCAGCGCATCACCCAATACGTGGAGAATCATGCCGTTCATGCCCATGTCACCATGGCTATGCCCATGGCCGCTTCCGGGAGTCTTGGGCTTGTTGTGGTTGTGGTGTCGATGGAGACCCGAATCTCGACGGCGTCGACGCGGAGCAGAGCGTGAACCGTAGTCCCCAGACGCCCTCTTCCGACTCGAGCCGTTCGCGTAGATCAGAGGGGTCTCCTCGTGAGCCTCGGCTTCGTCGGTGGCCGGGTTCTCATCGATGCTGCTACCGCTTGTTGACTCGTCGTCTAGTTGAGGCCGGCTCGCATCAATGATTTCTTGACGGAAACTCGCTGGGTGTATGCTAATATCCTCCACGTTTGCGAGGTGATTCTGCCGAATACTGCTTGCCTTACCCCTGCCACCGGACGGGTTAGATAACCGCCTCTCCCTCTGCTCCACCTGAGACCGAGCGCGGCGTGCCTGGTCAAACCAAACACGTCGTGGAGCTTCGTCAGCGTTCGCCGCATACTGAGTCAGAGCGGCTTCGGGCAAGACGTCCGCGACCCGCCCCCTCTCGTCCGCCACTTCGCTGGCACGAATTCCAGTGTTTGAGTGACCTTCTTCCGCGGCGATGACGTCGTCGTGCTCGTGCTGGTGCTCATCATCCCCATGCTCGTGTTCGTGCTCGCCAGGCCCATGAGAGTGACCGTGGCCCCCAAGAACCAGGAAGCCGACTAGGTTGGAGGCAAGCCCCAGCGATCCAACGATGAGAATCAGCTTCGGATTCCCAATCTCTGGTGGGTCGATGAAACGGGTCAGGGCCTCGAGGGCGATCGAAAGGCAGAGGGCGATGAGGAAGACGGCGTTGAAAAAAGCCCCAAGGATTTCAGCGCGAAGCCACTGCGGCAGTTCGTCAGAACATGGATAGGGGGGTTTTGGCTGTAAGGAAACTCACGCCATAAGTGTATTTGTTGGTTGTCGCTTTCCGGGCAACGAGCACAGCCCAGAGACCAACGAGTAAGGAGATGATGTCATTTAGCTGGTAGTGAAGAGCGAATTAGAATCGCAACTCGTGGCTCTTGTACGGTCTCCAGAACACGTACCATATGAAAGGCATCTGCCATGAGAGCCAGGGAGCCGACGATAAGACCGACGATCAATTCAAGCAGGAAGAAGACAGTGTCGATTCCCAGCATTACGCTGATGCGCGTCGTCTTGGACCACGCCATGCTTGCGGCAGGATATGTGAACCAACGCGCCTTCAAGTGCGGAACTCCAGATAGATGTAGTTATCTGGAGCGGGATGTTAAGGATTGCAAATCGGTACGCGGTCTCATCGAAAAATGCTGCTCGCGGCTTATCGGAGCTATCTCGTTCGGGATCTCTCCGCGATAAGGATTCTATGGAGAGCGGGTTCGGGACGCAGGACAGGAGAGCGGGCTCGGAACGCAGGACATGAACAAAAATGAGGGCTTTCCGGGTCCCATCTCGTCCGTAATCGTAGATGATGCTGACGAGGCTATGACAAAATATGGAAGGTGGCGTTGGTTAGGAACCAGGAAGTTAGCGCCTTCATTCCCGAGGCCGGCGAGGTGGCGTGCTGCGCCGCCAACGCCTATCAACTGGCCTGTGCTCCCGGCCTTTGAGAGCCTTGACCTCCTGTTCGCACCCACGCCGTCATCGGCCGCTAGCGTCCGCACAGAGCCGCCATCGACGGAGCGCTGCCGAGTGGACGACCTCCAACTACAACCCAAGTCAGTTCCCGGAAAGCCCGCCAAAAGCTTGAGCTGGCTCTGATTGGATTCCACCTTCCGCCCACCAGACATAGCAACTAGGCATACATTGACTTCTTCGATGGCCAGCCTCTCGAATGCTCATCGATGATATAAGCATTCAATATTATGTCGCAGGGCTTCCTCGCCTCTGCTAGGGGAACTCAAGGCTGGTCATTTACATCACTCGCCGTTAGATTTTCGACTTGTGATGAAGCAAACAAGGTGCAGCACTGCTAGCCCATAATGCAACAACGGCCGTCGTTTCTTTCCGGGCTTCAAAAGGATACCCCTCGGTAGGCATGGGCATTTTCTATTTGGGTAAGGGTCTGAGCATGTGCCTCGGATACAGGAAAAAAGGCCGATAGAAGTCCTCAAAGCCGGCATCGTCTTCCAACTCAACTGCCCTGCCCAAGGTCAAGGGAGAGGGCGGCGCCAGTACTTGTATCTATCGCTGGAGGCCAGGCAATGGCCTTGCGGAAACTACCGTGGAAGTACAAGGATAGCTTGCCAGCGGGTACTTCGTCAAAACTGCAACGCATCTCACACCGCGATTTAGAAGTGCAATAGGTGCAGAATTCCACCATCGATTCACCATCGTTTATCATCACGGTCGGCATCCTGTCCAAGATTTTTATCGTGGTCACCTCTAAGTGCATCCCCGCCGAGCTCGGGTAGCGCAGGAAGTACGTATGGGCGTATGATCCGGACTGGTCATCTCCGAGGCCTGGCGCTACGCCAGCCGGGCGAAACCTAGTTGACACTGTATGCTTGTATGCCTGGCTCTACAGGGCTAGATCGGAGGGAGAGCATGACCGGGAGCTGATGTGGAAGAAGGCTCAGGCAGATCCAGACCAGATGTGGGCGTGCAAATCGCTGCCTGGAGCTGAGTGGGATAACGAGCCATTCGTCTAGGCTGTGCCAGTAAGATGGTTAGCCTCAGAGCAAAGTAGTCCCAGCTCAGTCCAACGGCCAAAGTGAATCTGGAGTCACTGTATATCGGGGCCACTTCGCGTGGAATGGCGTCTCCGTCTGCCAAGAACCCTTATCCATCAGCCGGTCAGCTTGGATCTGGCTGTGGATAGATGTGATAAAAAATGCCACAGATTGTCTGCCGAACACGCCACTCTCCCGTACTCGGCTTGGGAAATGGTCCTCGATGTAGCGCTCTCTCTCGCCTGGGCCATCGGACAGCTCAAGACGGCCTCGATACAGAGTCGTAGAATATTTCCATATAATGACGCGTCTACCGGCGGTGTTCCGCGTCGCTCCGCGTCGTTCCGTTCCCTGAAGACCCCCTGATATTAAGCGGGCTAAGCGCAACCCCTAAGCGAAGTTGCTGCAGGTTCCCCTCGCAATCCAGAGGCGCTTTGCCACCGAGGCTATATGCGGCTTGCCCGTCGGTGAGGCCTCTTTGTAGGCCGGTTCGAGGATCATTGGTGATCAGTCATCCCCCTCGCCGCAAGAGAAATGTATATAGGGATTCTCTCTCTTGGTCCCGGGAATGATGAACATGTGGCGAATATCTGGTGGAGCGTTCGGTGCGTATAGATGAAATGCCATATGTGCCTGGAATTAAGATTATTTGTGTTCCACAAGCTGAATATCATGAGTAATGAAGGCAGATGAAGGCACTGGGCCCGAATGGAATTGGCCAACCACCTCCGTGGAAGACAGTCATAGGAGGGTATTTATTTGGGCCACTGGAGGTGGGCTCATGTGGTTCCCCCTGGGAAAGGTGGAGGAGGATCTGATCGCAAAGGGCGGCACGGCAGACCAACTTTATCCTGCCTGCATATGCGATTCCCGGCGAATGCTGCCACTTATCCAGTACCGAGACGGGGGATGCTGGTTGTTTTTTATTATTCCAGGTGGCCTTATATCAAGCCGCTGCATCCACTTAGCTTCTTGCCTCCTCTCCCGCTCATCTCGTCAACTAATCCTACTGGCTCTTCGCTGTTAGCAACCACGCCGTGGATAGCTTGAGCCTGGTCGTGTGGCCATGGCAATACCTGCCAGTGTCTTTGGACATGGAGCGGACACACTCACCTCGGTCCCTAACAAAATACGTGGCACAAAATGGCTGGCTTGGCCAAACGGTTGCAAGTCGTTGTGAATTGGCGCTTCCACTTACGGTCACAACTTTGGGCTTCTAGCCTGTGCTTTGGCAACCGAACGTAGAGCCCACACAAAGCAAGAGAGACTCATAGACTTTGTGTTGCGAGATACAAATGATTCACAGTGCTATTCTGATGGGAAATCGGTGCTAGTAGGTCCGTTTCGTTTCGCCACATCACGGCCCCTGAGTCGTGATCCGCACGAAGGTCCTGCTCAACACCACCTGCTGAGGGAGCTTGTCAGCCCATGCCAGGAACAATGGCAGAGTATATATGCGAAGCGGGACTGATATTAATGAGTATAAGAATTCGGCACGGTTACCCGGCAATTCAAAGCTTGCATTATCGCCTCCTTCTTCCAAACGAGGCGGCTAAGACAGAGACAACGCGAATTAAACTCAGGGAACTAAATCGAAGAGAAAAAACATAGATTGTTACAGTCGGGGAAGAGAGTGTATGAGGAATCGTCTCTCTGATATCCTGGTTGCTCTCGACTTGAGCTAACTGTAGCCACAAGCCGCATGTAACCCCCCAGCGGAATGGAGATCATGGGCCGGGCTGGATATCTGCCAAGATGGAAAATCTAGCCGCGGGTGTGCAAACGGATTACCTACAGGGTGATATATTCGGGATTGAGGCTTGCCCTGCCGCAACGTGGAACCTCCCGTGATCTGGTTTAGATAAGATTAAACCTGATGAGGCAGTCCGGGCGAGTGGCCCGAGGCGGGCTAGGCCTAGAAGGTGGCCGTAAGTGCTGATGGGCTTATATTTGAAACCGGGCAGATCCAGGGCCATAACGAGAGGACCAGCCTCCCGTGGTGGAGCAGCGTCATGTTGTAACTGAGGCGGCCTCGTACGGAATATAGGTAATCAATCTCACGCGCGTTCGCCATGATCGCCGCATGGAGAAGGCTTCCGAGTCGAGCTAACAAGCAGGCCTGTCAGCTTCAATGGCGGGAACAACAGCCGCCGCGGGGGTGAGCCGCGACGGTGAGCGGACAGATGGAAAGGTGAGTCTGAAGGTACCCAGGCCAGTCCGAATCAAGGACGGAGGTTGCTATATGTCCATCTGCATCTTGCCGTATTCATGTGCTCATATTGACGGAGCTCTTGAAGGTTGAGGCTCACCACTGGCTGCGAGGACATGCCAGTGTTGCAAGTTCAAGTCGTACTCGGAGCAATGGCGACCTAGGTAGGTAGGCACAGAGCTGCAGGCACACGCAGTGCAGGGTAGCAGACCCGCAACTGCGTGCTTTGCATGGCAGCGTACCGGGTTTTCCAGCGGAAAGGTCAACTAGGTAGGTATATGCCAACGTCGCAAAGGCCGCCGCATCTATACCACCTGGTGTCCTCGATACGGTCTCTGGGGGGGAAACGGCGAGTAGCTCCCGTTAGGTACAACTCGCAAACGGAGGGTACCATCCGATCCAAATCCTCCGACTCGGTTTAGAACATAAAAGTACCTAGCTAGGAAAAGATGCACGGCAAGTGGGTGTGTGTAAATGGGTATGCATGATCGGGCTTGAAATGACGTGTGAAACCATCGGCGAGCTCTTGTCTCTGCGGCTGAAAAAGATTGCTTCGTTCCCTATCTTAAGAAGGTGATGGTCGTTGAAGATGGCGATCGATGAGGCGTGTCAAACTGCAGATCCTCTATCCAGCCAGTAATCCCGATTAATTGCGCGAATGATGGTATGAGGACTCCTCGCCGACCCTAGGTACCTCAGGTTACCCACCTGCGCCTTCTGCATGCATCGTAGGTACGTTAGGTAGGTAGGGAGGTACAGGTACTGTACCTACATAGTAGTGTCGGATGCCTGCTTGCTTCAAGAGGCAGGTGCGGATAGATTCGTGTTCTACTAGGACCTTGGCAAGGTACCTTACCTACCAAAGAGACCTACATAGGTAGTCACATAACAGACATGGAATGGAGTCCGGTGTCATGGGCGGGCAACTTGGGGATGGACGGGAGTCCCCTGTCATGTGGCCAGTACGTACCTTCCTTAGTCGCAGTTCCATGGGTTCCCCCTCGTCAGATCGGAAGGAACCATTTGATGCCGAACCATACAGAGAGCTGCCCGGGTTGGCCCCTTTGCTTCCCCGCATGCATCTCGATGGAAGCTGCAGAGGAATTGAAGCAAAGTAGCAAACAAAACTCGAAATCTCTCCGATCATCGAGGCTGCAACCAAGATCAACCAAGCTTGTATCTTACACGTAGAGGCTAAGACCGAGACAAAACAAGGTGAACACCGTACACCGGGCTCCCCCATGCCACTCAGCATGAGATCGTCTTGCTCCATATTCTTGCCAAGGAGCCGCCGCACCAGAAGCGGGCATCTGGGTTGTACGGATGTCTGCGCCATTACTCCGCCAGATGATGTAATCCGGATGCTGTTGGGCTCCACGCAGGCCTTTTTCTTGCCAGATCTACAAGCGCATTCTGGCTGAAGCCCCGCCAGCTGAGGTAAGTTTGATCACTCAAGGTGGACATTGTGGCACCAGAGAGGCTAATATGTTAAAACACGTGCTGACGTTTTGGTCTTGGCCCGTTGGTGAGCTGTAATGGGATGGTAACGGTGCCGCGTGGCAGCGGGACGGGACCCGGCAGGACGGGTCCACCTAGGTAAGGTATGTACCAAGGAAGATTTTATTCACCGAGCCGTTTTAGTGGATCCCGTCCACGAAGCAACCAAGATGCAGGTGGTCCTGATAAGCGCAAGAGGTGGTCTGGATTTCGCCAGGGCGCGGCAAGACAAGGTCTGGCAGTCTGGCAGGTTCGCACTTGGGAATACGCATTCTGGGTTGGGACTTGGATCCCCAATAACCAACGCCGATTTGGGTGATTGTGAACCGGGGGCCCGGCATGCTGTTTCGCAATGCGCAAGTTCTCGCAGAGGCTAAATCAGGGTGCATCAATCCTTGACGCTGGGCCTACCCGACCACCCAAAGGAAGCCGGGCCGGAGAGCCGCAATAAGCGAAAGCCGCGTCCCGACTTGGCTAGCACCGTATCCCACTCGCGCAGACAGTGCAATCTCGCTATTCTCACGCACCAGCAGACCCGTTCTTAGAATTCCTAGAGCGCCGATCACCAGGGTTGTTCTGGAAGCTCTGGAGAATCAATGCCATGAAGGCACATAAAGTCCACCTCTAGTGCAAACGCCGGCTTCAATCCACAATCCATCCCTTCTCGCTAGATGGAGATTGACGGCCGGAATACCTTTGTGCTACGCATTGGGTCAGCATAATCTAGCAATCTGGAACTCCGTTGCCGGCGAATTTAATGAACAAAGATGCAGAGATACAGACAAGACAAAGTCGGCCATCAAGACTTACTAATTAGGTAGGTTTTCAAACTGATACCTTGATACCTGCTTTTCCCCAACTGGATCTCCGCAGCCCTGTCAAGTGTCAGAACCAACCAACCGTCTCAATGACAGGGGTCCCCACACGCCCTGGCAGATTCGGCCCTCAAGTCCAGACCGTTAGAGAATTCGTTTTCGCCACGTTGTGGAGGTACCAGGAACATGGGTGCTGAAGCCCAATCCGGCGAAACCAAAAAGTCTCGAGTGGCCAAAAATCTCTTGCCCAGCCATTCAAATCACTCCGTCCGTCTGTCTGTCTATCTCGATGGATGGACCCAGGAGATTGACAGAGTCTGAACACGCCATCGCACAAACCACGTCGGATTCAGATTCTGAACCACGCAGAACTTGACTGACATCAGAATTCAAAACAGACATCCGCACAGTTTAAAGTAGCCTCCCAAAGTGGAAGGACAAGGGGAGGGAAGAAGAAGCAAAAGAAGAGAGAAAAGAGAACCTCAAGGGCAGAGACAATGCCACCGTTTACACCCCACTCGCGCACTCGCTCACTCGGCCTAATTGCCCTCTGCTTGTGCACAAGAGCGCGTGTGCGCCCTGTGCAATATAAGCAGTTCGGCGAACGTCTTGCCAGACCTGGGCACGCCAGCGACACGGCCGCTCATACGGTCCGTTCCTACCGATATGGCTATTTCCACACGAAAAGCAATAATAAGCTGGACCTTGGACGGAACGGTCAAGTGACATGACCGCCATCGTCTCCCAGTGTAACAGGGTACAACATACTCGGCCACCAGGGGCGTTCCCCACTCCCCACGCTTCCGTCGGCGGCTTTCCGGCACCCCCTGTTCATTTGTTGTTGTTGTAGATCCCATACAGCCGCCGTGCCCCATTGAGAACCCGCAGGCTTGCAATCTTGCAAGCTTGCAAGCCATGTATCCCGTTCGTCCTGTGATCCTTCCCACGCCTAGGGTAGTGCCTAGGCAGTCCCGACTTGGGAGACCCGTCGGCTTCCGCCAGGATGCAACAAACCCACACCCACCTCACCCCCACCGTCTCTCCCTGACGGGTCCAACCGTCATTAAATCTTGTCTCTCTCCTTCCCATAACGCCTGCTTCTCTTTTCGTCTTCTCCGTTTTTCATATCTGGCGGGTAATTGTCGGTAGGCGAGCAACATATGTCTCGCCCTGCTGATCCCAAGTCTTGTTAGACTTATATAGAAATCCGATGTCTCCATATCCCATGACTTATTCCATTTAAAGCCGACTAGCACCGACTTTCTGACCTCTTGGCTCAGAGCTTGGAATGCCTGGGAACCCTTCTTTTCCCCTGGTCTTTTCAACTCGTTCTCCCAACTCTTATCCCGTTGTTGTGATACCACATTTCCCCCCTCCTCCCCCTCCTCCTCCCCCTCGCCTTTTGCCTTGACCAGAGGATATCCAGCGCCGGCCATCTTATATCCCAAACCGACTAGGAACTCAGGAGGAAGAGCAGTTATGGCAGCACTTTCGTCGAGTGGGTCTGTCGATATGGACAACATTATCGACCCAAATGGGTCGCCGCTGGACAGCGTCGATACCAACACCACCCCTGACACTGAGTTCTCGCCCCCAGCCAGCCCGTACCAGGACAACGGCCCGTTCAAAGATAAGCGGATGGCGGCAAGGGAGAAACTCGCCACGCTGACCCAGGAAGAGAAGGTCCGGACATACCCTGATCAACTTGTCGTCCCCCATGGGGGTGCAAGGAGCTGACAGAAATCCAGATTTCTCTTCTCACCGCGGCAGACTTTTGGAGGAGCAAGGCCATCCCTTCCAAGAACATCCCAGCAGTGAAGACGAGCGATGGCCCAAATGGAGCCCGAGGTGGTATTTTCGTCGGAGGCACCAAGGTCAGTCTGGATGTGCTCATCCAAGGCCCTCCGTTTTTGCTGACCGCTCGGCACCTCCGCTAGGCTGCATTGTTCCCCTGCGGGATCTCCCTCGCGGCAACGTGGAACAAGGACCTCCTTTATGAGGTCGGCCAACATCTTGCCGATGAGACGAAGGCACGATCGGCCAACATCTTGCTCGCCCCGACGGTTTGCATGCACCGACACCCACTTGGGGGCCGGAACTTCGAGTCCTTTTCGGAGGATCCCCTGCTCACTGGCAAACTAGCCGCCCAGTACATCCGCGGCCTTCAGGAGAAGGGCGTCGCGGCCACCATCAAGCGTTCGTCGTGCTCTGTTTAACAGGCGTCGCTGCCAAGAAAACCGCGGGCTAACCCCCAGTTGTAGATTATGTCGGCAACGAGCAAGAAACCCACAGGTTGACGATAGACTCGAGGGTGGGCGAGAGGGCACTCCGCGAGCTGTATCTGCGACCCTTCGAGATCGCAGTCCGCGAAGCCAACCCGTGGGCTATCATGTCGTCATACAATCAGATTAACGGCGTCCATGCTGACATGAACAATCACACACTTAAAGAAGTCCTCCGTGGAGAGTGGGGTTATAATGGGTGAGTGGCGAGTAGTCGTCGGGGTTAAGCGATAAGCGAGGGCGATCGGCTGACACAAAGTTTCCCATGGTTGCAGTACCGTCATTTCCGACTGGGGTGGCATGAACTCTACGGCTGAGTCGCTTAAGGCCGGCTGTGATATCGAATTTCCCTATTCGACCAAATGGCGATTCGAGAAGGTCCTCCAGGCGTTGAAGGAAGGCGAACTCACCCAGGAGGATATCGACCTTGCGGCGGAGAATGTGCTCACCCTCGTTGAGCGCACGAAGGGGAGCGATATGTCAGAGGAGGAGCCAGAACGGGAGGATGACAGGGAGGAGACGAGGAACCTCATTAGAGAAGCCGGTGTCCAAGGCCTGACGCTCTTGAAGAATGAGCACTCCATCTTGCCCATCAACCCCAAGACAACAAAGGTTGCAGTCATTGGTCCGAATGCCGACAGGGCGATTGCTGGTGGTGGCGGCAGCGCCAGCCTCAACCCCTATTACACGACCCTGCCGCTCGATAGCATCCGCAAAGCCGCCCAGCAGGAGGTCACATATGCAAAGGGCTGCCACATCAACAAATGGCTCCCCGTCGCATCGCCATTCTGCACCGACAAGGCGGGCAAGCAGGGCGTGACAATCGAGTGGTTCCGCGGTGACCAGTTCAGGGGAGAGCCGGTGGTGACCCAGCGACGGACCAACACCGACCTCTTCCTCTGGGATTCCGCGCCGCTATCCCAGATCGGCCCGGAATGGTCGGCCATAGCCACAACTCACATCACGCCATCCAGGACGGGCAATCACACCATCTCCTTCATGAGCGTCGGGCCGGGCAAGCTATACGTCAATGGCGAGCTTGCTCTGGATCTGTGGGACTGGACAGAGGAAGGCGAGGCCATGTTCGACGGCTCGGTAGACTACTTGGTCGACGTTCCCATGAAAGCCCGCGAGCCGGTCGAGCTGCGTGTCGAGATGACTAACGAACTCCGCCCCATCTCCAAGCAGAAGCAGTTCAGCATGACACACAAATACGGCGGCTGCCGGATAGGCTTCAAGGAGGAGGACCAGATCGATTACCTACAGGAAGCCGTCGAGGCCGCCAAGGCCGCCGACGTTGCCATCGTCGTCGTGGGCCTGGATGCCGAGTGGGAGTCGGAGGGGTACGATCGCCAGACCATGGACCTGCCGTCGGACGGCAGCCAGGACCGCCTGGTCGAGGCCGTCGTCAGGGCGAACCCGCGGACCGTGGTCGTCAACCAATCCGGATCCCCGGTGGCGATGCCATGGGTCGACAAGGTTCCCGCCATCATCCAGGCGTGGTACCAAGGGCAAGAGGCCGGAAACGCCCTTGCGGATGTGCTCTTCGGCGTCAAGAACCCCAGCGGGAAACTTCCTGTAAGTACTTTTTTTTTTTTTTTTTTTGGGAGAGTTGGGGGCGGTGCCACACAGAATCGGTGATGATCGGAGAGCTAACAAGACGAATAGTGCACATTCCCCAAGCGGCTCGAAGACGCCCCAGCATTCCACAACTGGCCCGGCGAGAACTACGAGGTCGTCTACGGCGAAGGGGTGTATATCGGCTACCGACACTATGAGCGGGCCAAGATCGCACCTCTGTTCCCATTCGGCCATGGTCTGTCGTACACGAGCTTCGAATACGGCCGCCCGTCACTCAGCTCCAAGGAGCTGACAGCGTCAGGAAGCATCGAACTGATCGTGGCCGTCAGCAACATTGGCCTCATTGAGGGACTGGAGACGGTGCAGGTCTATGTCCATGACGAGAAGTCGAGGCTGCCCCGTCCCGAGAAGGAGCTAGTGGCCTTCGAGAAGGTGACGCTCGAGGCGGGCGAGACCAAGCACCTGCGGATATACCTCGACAAGTACGCCGTCGGCTACTACGACACGGCAATCCAGCGATGGATCGCCGAGGAGGGCGTGTTCAAGGTGCTCGTGGGCGCATCGTCGGCCGATATCAAGTAAGTCCAAAACGCTCCTGAAGGGATTATTAGGAGCCCAGGGACTAACCCTCGGATGCAGATACTCTACTTCCTTCGAGGTCAAGGAATCATTCTCCTGGATCTTCTAACCTAACCGGGCCATCTATTATACCACATACCATTCATCGACTCTCCTTCCGCCCCCATTTACTGGTTGTCCACCATATATACACCTCCTTTATGTGCTTTTAAATCGAATAGAGAGGAAGGGGCGGCATCGTACGACATGAACGACACGACACTTTCGAATCTCGTCCTGAGGTTTATCCATTACATTCCAGTGGGGGAACTTCTGGTTCCATCAAGATCGGCAGCGAGGTTTACTGCTTGCGGAGAGTCATCTCACCAAGGGTATTGGCATGAGAAAGGCGGGCTATTATGGAGTGTCGACTTTACTTCTCTCACACCCTCTACCCCTTTTTTATTGTTTTCAATGTAATTATTTTTGGTGGCATGGGCTGGCTGGCTCCTGACCACATTTAAGTAGACGATCCTGCACAATCAACGGCCTATTGTTTGGGACTGTCGGTGCTCCTTGAAAAGGGGGTGTTGGTGATGGCTGTAACCCTTTGCTCGCGTGATCGCGTGAAATGTCACGAGTAGTTAGTTGTAAGACCACGGATTCTAAGAGAGATAATAACGGGGCAACAGTGGGAAACCTGCGCGACCTCGCTTATGGTGTATAGGCTAGTCAACCAACTGCTCCTCGTGGACCAACATGGCTTGCCAGGCTTCTAATTTGGCCATCCGATCATGGATGGTTGCAGTTGCATTGACAAATCACCCACACATTCGCAGAGTCGGACGTAATAACCAGGTCGTTGGAGGGCTTTCGATGCAACACTACTTTACTACCCTCCGTTTCTTGTCCTCCTTTGTTCGGTTGGATTCCGCATCTAAAGTGGTGGGGGTCATGGGATTGCCTGGATTCCGGAAACTTGGCCGCGTAGGTCCCTAGGTAGTTAGAGGTCGGAAATGCGGGGAGGGGGGCGGTTGGATTTAGTGGAGTGATGCTGTGTACAGTACATATATACTTATGCACTGTATTGGCGCCCTTGCCAGCTGGCTCTACTCCACAACGGCTGTCAAACCCTTGGTGTTCTGGCGACGACATAATCCCGACGTTTCAGCACCCAACCGCAAAAGTATACAGCTGGAATTCACACCATCTCGGCCATTCCAGACCCGGGTGCAGGTCTCACAGCTCCCGCATCCCCGGCCTGTTTCCCCCATCCTGACCGGTGCCAGGGCATGGCTGGACTTCGCGAAGTGCCATGGCTCCCCATTATAGTAATGGCAGTGCATTTCAGGCCTTCCACGGCTCCTCCCGTCGCGACCTAGACTCGACGTCGCTGCTCGACGACCTGACAGCCTTTCTGTCCCGCTGCGCCCGCGCGCTGTGGAGGTTCTGGAAAGGACGCGGCCGCCGCATGTTGTTCGCTTCGCTGGCCCGGGCGCTGCACCAGGCCCGGCGGAATATGACGGCGGCTCGGCTGCTCAGCGTGCCCCATCTGCTGGTCGCCATAGCGATGATAATGCTTCTCTGGGGGGAGAGATGGGTGTTTAGAAGTACAGTCGAACGCTGCCATTGGAGCGATTGGGAGAATTGGGTATGCCACTGGCCTTTCCTTTCGATACTTCCCCCAAGTAGTCCAGCTTCGCGGCTTCGCGCAAGGCACGGTGCAGCTTGACTAACACCCCATCCCCTTTTAGCCTCCCGGAGCCAATCCGCACCACCTCGTCTTCGTGGCCGACCCTCAGCTCATCGATCCCCATTCATATCCAGGGCGGCCCTGGCCGCTAAACCCCCTCACCGTCATGGTCACCGATAATTACCTCCGCCGGTCCTACAACCAGCTACAGCAGCAGCTTCACCCAGACACACTCTTCTTTCTTGGCGATCTCTTTGACGGAGGGAGGGAGTGGAAGACTGCTCATGGAGAATTCAAAGATTACGCATGGGCCCCGCACCCGAAGAGCGAGGAGAAATACCTGAAGACGTGGAACAGGAAGTATGGCGAGGACTTCTGGCTACACGAGTATAAAAGGTTTGGAGACATATTCTTTAAACCGTGGAATGCAGCAGGGGAGGCACCGGGGCTCGGCCAGAGAGGCAGGAAACTTGTCGCCAGCCTGCCGGGGAACCACGACCTCGGGTTTGGTTCCGATATTAAGATACCTGTTCGGAATCGATTCGAGGCGTATTTTGGAGAAGGAAACAGGGTCGACGTCATTGGCAACCATACTTTTGTGTCTGTGGACACGGTTTCCCTGAGCGCTGCCAGTTCACAGGAGACCAGGCAGCATGATCTGAGAGGCATCTATATGCCGGCCCAACTGTTCCTGAAAGACGTCAAGTGGACGAAACGGAAGGCGGTTGAGAGGGAGTTACGCTTCCAAAGAGGAGAAATCGAGGAGGTGAGGCTTGGACATAAGATCGAGGATCTGGACAAGGCCGATTTCGGGGACAGGCCCAACATCGATCCGGGAGAGGGCAAGGCAGAGCTGCCCTCTATACTGCTCACCCATGTGCCGCTGTATCGGCCCCCCGGCACGCCGTGCGGTCCGCTGCGGGAGCGTTGGCCGCCGACGAAGCCGCCCAAGGGCCAGACGGATCCCGTCGTGCCGGACGACCGAAACGCAATATCCGTTTCTCGAGGATACCAGTATCAGAATGTCCTGAGCGAGGACGACTCCGCCAACCTCATCAAGAGTGTCGGGAATGTCGTTCACGTCTTCTCGGGCGACGACCATGACTACTGCCAGGTCACACACGACAAGAAGCAGGAGAATGTGCCCGAGATCACTGTCAAGAGCATGAGCATGGCCATGGGGGTCCCAACCCCCGGATTCCTCATGGTCAGCCTACACAACCCCATCGACGCGAACGGGAAATCCCTGGCCGGAGACGGGAAGACCACGTTCCAAACCCATCTGTGCCTCTTGCCCCGATCGGCCTCGATATTCGCCAAATACGCCGCCTTCGTGCTCATCAGCCTGGCCCTGCTCACCGTCCGGGCCTTCCTAGTCCCGGCCCTCAACCTCCCCCGCTTCGCCCTGGAGCCCCTCCCTGCCAGCGGCGGCGGCGGCGGCGGTGGCCTCCTCCCCGTCTCCAAGGCAAAGATGGAGGACTACGACGAGTACGCCCTCCCGGCCGCGGGGTTCTCGGCCTCGCGATTCCTGCACTCGGCGGGGACGCGCGACCGGGGCGGGGGGGCGCCGGCCTCGGGGGTCCGGCCCAACGGGCTGGCGGCCCAGGCCCGCAACGCGTCGCCAAAGGCTGGCAAGTCTCGGCGCTCCAAGGAGCTGCAGCTGCAGCAGCAGGGAAAGTGGGGGTGGGCCGGCGGGCTGTCACGGCCGTCGCGCGGGCCCAAGATCGAGATCGGGCGTTACGATGACGATATCTACGACGGGGGCAAGTGGAAGGCCGCGTCGTCCACGAGGTCGAGGTCGAGGTCGGCGGTCGGCGTCGTGATCCGGGAACTGTGGACGACTGTTTGGAGGGTGGCGTGGATGGTCGGGTGCTTTTGGTTCTACCTCTCTTGGAAAGGGTGACACCTAGACGTAGAAAAGTCGCATGTGTGGAGGTGGTTGCAGCAGCAGCTATTGTATAATACGTACAGTTGTCTATATATATAGGTACCGGGTTGGACCGGTGGCGATGGGGCTGGAGGCATCTATGGGAGATACAGGCACATAGCATAATTTCTGATCTTGTCTTTGTGAAACACCCTTTCTGTTTACTTTCCGGTACAGATAGAAAGCGGGCATTCTTTTGTGTTTTGATTTCAATCGGCAGCAATGATCAAAACCAGAGCAATAACGCACTTGAGCTGCTTTTGGATCAATATCAGGTCTAAAAATAGACTTCTGACGTTGGGTGGGGCCTGCGGCACCAACCGTCGATTTTTAGACCTGACGAGTACCATGGCCGCCGTAAGTTCAGGGGCTGGTGGGCTGCTTTGCAAAGCTCACGTGCCTGGGAGCGTAAGCGGAATTCATTTGGTGTGCCATTCGAGGATTGTCTTTGTTCAAGGGGCGGCCCACTTTGTATTCTTGCCAGCCGAGTTCTGTGGCGTTGAACCTTGTCTGCTGCCTGCTGCCTGCTGCCTGCATGAGATTCTCGCGTTTTCTTAATGAGTGACGCCAAAATCCGCGTCCAGAACGCGTCTTAGCGGATGGAGCTCGGCTTCAAATCCGCAGGGCTGGCTAACCACCCCTAGCTGACCTCAACCTCAGCATTGAATCAAACTTGTGATACATGAGTACTTGGGCTCTAATTTCTCTCCTCATTCCATACTTCTACAATATATCTCTCACACAAGTATCTTTTTCTGGCCAATCCCTTAATCATTCCGTTCCCACATCCGCCATTTCTCTGCCGTCTGCTTCGTGCACCTGCCCGTCTCCTCCAGCCTCCTGCCCGTCGTCCTCCGACCTCTCTCCATCTCAGGGACCGCGCCGCCATGTCAAGCCTCAAGCGGAAGGCCGGCGCCCAGGCCGGCGCCGACGCGAAAAAGCCCAAGCAGAACGGCAGCCTCATGTCCTTCTTTGGCGTTCCGAAGGGGGCGGCTAAGGGCACCACGAACGGCGGCGGTGCGGGGCCGTCGGCACCCGCCCTGCTGAAGTTTGACAAGCAGAAATGGGTGGCCGGCCTGACGGACGAGCAGCGAAAGCTGCTCAAGTTGGAGATCGACACCCTGCACGATAGCTGGCTGGCCCTTCTCAAGGATGAAATCGTGACCAAGGAGTTCCTTGAGCTGAAGAGGTTCCTGACACGCGAGACAGCGGCCGGGAAGAAGTGGTTCCCGCCAGAGGAGGACGTCTACAGTTGGTATGTTTGAAGATTGGGAGTAGTGATTTCGTCTTGCCCGTTGTTTCTAGATCTCATCTGCACCCTTGCGTCTCTGCCGACATTGCCCAAGAGATGCAAATCCGCCAGGCCTACCTCCCACAATATATATATAGCACCCCATATAGCACCCCCAGCTAACCGCTTCTAGGTCCCGCCACACGCCCTTCAACACCGTCAAAGTGGTCATTCTCGGCCAAGACCCTTACCACAACGTCAACCAAGCACACGGTCTCGCATTCTCCGTGCGGCCGCCGACGGAGGCGCCGCCCTCGCTGCGCAACATGTACATCTGCCTCAAGAACGACTACCCCTCGTTCGCGGCGCCGGCCAAGAAGGGCGGCCTGCTGACGCCGTGGGCGGACCGCGGCGTCCTGATGCTCAACACGTGCCTGACGGTGCGGGCGCGCGAGGCCAACAGCCACGCCAACCGCGGCTGGGAGCGCTTCACGCAGCGCGTCATCGACCTGGTGGCGGCGCGGCGGGCGCGCGGCGTCGTCTTCGTGGCCTGGGGCACGCCGGCCGGGAAGCGCGTGACAAAGGTCGACGCCTCGAGGCACCTCGTGCTCAGGAGCGTCCACCCCAGCCCACTGAGCGCCCACAGGGGGTTCTTTGAGTGCGGCCACTTCAGGGCGGCGAACAAGTGGCTCGTCGAGAGGTACGGCGCCCAGGGCGAGATCGACTGGGCGCTGACCGAGGGGACGAGCACGCTGGAGCACGGGGCGGCTGGCGTGGGAAATGGGGACGTTGAGAAGAAGATGGTCGGGGCTGTTGCCAAGACAGAGGCTGCTGCTGAGGAGAAGGTCAAGGCGGTGGGGACGGAGGGGAACGCCAAGGTCGAGGCTGTTGCTAAGACGGAGGTTGTGGATGAAGAGAAGCTCAAGTTGGTGGCGACTGAGGGCGATGAGAATGCCAAGCCCGAAGTTGAGGCTTGACGGCAGACAGCAGACCACTCACCATGATAGCTTTCTTGTTCCCTAGGGTCTATGATTGATTGCTCAGGGCTGACGAGGCGCCGGCGTTTTCTGCGTTTTAAAGAAGAGTTTGCTCATGTATCACAGGCATGGTCTATTTAGGTTTAACTGTCCAGTGCCACATCGGCACAGCTGAATGGATGTTTCTGCTGGGAAGATATTCGTAGGGCTGATAATCTTGCAATGGGTATACCTTTTATGTTACCCAATACTTGTCCCTGGGGTCTGAAAAACACGGTGCCTTATAATGTACCGAATTCAAATAGACTTGAACCCTTTAGAGCGGATACGACCATTGATTTTGCCTCGCCATCCATATCTGTGATGACCAGGAAGCTAGGATTGATACCACATCAAGACTGCGTGGACTGCTGTGTTCTCAGCCTTACGGTCAATTCCACAGGGGCTACGACAAGTAGTCTTCCCGGTCCCGACCGGTTGGGCCGCGCGGTTGCACGTAAGCGGCCACCCGCAGCCATCGGGATATGTACGGAGTACCGGAGCCTCATAATCATCACTAGTGCGCCTGCACTATTGAAGCTTGGCACAGCTACAAATTGACGGGGTAGCTGTAGGGGTTAAAGACTTGTCTGTGACCCTGAACATGGACGTCATCCATGGATGTTAGGTTAATTGATTTATACGAATAGGTAGGTGCTTGCTGCTGAAGTGCAGCATGCAAGTCTCGGTTTCTCAGACAGGCAAGAGCTCCACTTGAGACCGATCACTACTGATTGGCTGGTAATTGAGTGACGTTAAAAGGGGGGGATTAAGGGTCCGCACACACCACCACGCACATAATCAAGGGCCCAAAGTGGCCTGAGAACGACGGCGGGGCGGCACAGGACCGAGGTGCGGATTGCCTACCTGCAGCGCGAATCCGAGTCACCCGTCGCGGGTAAATGTTAAAATGTGGAGTAGTTACCAGATCAGCGGATTTTCTGCTGATGACGACGACAGCGATTGATGTGAGGAAGGATGCTGCGAAACATGGTGCCTATGCCATGCCTCGGGATAGCCATTCTAAGGTGGGTGGGTAGGTAGGTTCTCATGCATGGCCCACCGACGCATATATAGGTACTACGTAAACCTGTGGCGGGCATCGGCATTTTTGGCAGACACCTTGCAGCGAGCGCCATGCAGGTCCAACAAGGATTGGATGCCAGCAGCAGAAGTGGCTTGAAAAATAATAATGCGGGAAATCCACAGCACCCGCATCGCAGGTGACTGCCAAAAGGTCCGACGGCGAATGAGACGACGAGGCTCGAGCGGCCCAGAGCTCAATCTTTCCTGCGAACGCTGGGGAATCGTTCGCCCAGCATCCGTCGTTTGCACTCTCTCACTTCCGTTCCTTCCTTCTCGGCAGGAAGGCTGGTCAGTCGCGGACTGGCGGTCTGGTTAGCTCCCGTGTTTCGGAACTGAGTGGCCAGTGGCTGGTCAAGGACAGCCGCGCGATCAATCGATAATTGAGACCGACCAACCCTATGGTTGAGCGTGGAACAACGAACGCCATCACAATTGCCAACTCAGTGGGAGGCGCAGAAATCGCTCAGGGTTTACAACTTTAACGACCAATGATCGGGGGAAGCCCACCGTGGCGTGCAGTGCTGGCCTGCCATTGACCAGGTTGGAGACGGTCTTGATGAGCTGGCACGGACCAAAATCATGCGTCGTCTGGCCGCTGTGCCAGGGAAGGCCATCCGTGGTCCAGGTTTGCAGATGCGGTGCTAGGAAAAAAGTGAAAACAAGTAGTAAGAACCTACTATGTATCTTGCATTTTGACGTCCAATACCTATCGCAGTCGTTGTAGAAATCGGGTGACTCCGCTTTGCGAAGCTACGTTTGAGCTTGTCAAGTTAGCGCAGGGTCAGCCATTTATTTGGTTTTAGGTACCTCGATAGGCCGCAGGTCCAACCTCAAAACCGGCTTAAGGCGATTTGTTCGCTGATCACTGGTGGCGACGAGCCAAATCGCCAACCTCCTGGACTGTGATATCATCCATTGTTCGGGCATATCGGCGCTGGTGTCGTGTTAGGTATATCTGTTGGGTTGGGGAAGTACTGCAGGTGCTCAGCTACTCTTTTCAGTCGGGATGGACGTTTTAGTTAACCTCTGACCGACCACACCTCCTCCCATCTCGCCTATCTTGCCATTCCTGAGCCAGATCCCCTGGCTCATCACACGCGCAGCCCAATTGCTTTCAACGTGACAGATAGTCGAACTCGTCAGAAAAGTTACGACCTCGTCTCTCTCGACTTCGACCTGGCTTCCGACCCAATTGCTTGTTCCCGGCAGGCTTCGTTAGCGCGATCCTTGGGGTCCTTACGTAGTTCTTAAAAATAACATTGGATACCTTGATAGCGTAAAATAAAATAAAATAAGGGACCTGCCGGGGCCGCGCTGGCGGGAACCTCCTTGTTGCTCTCACCGCTGCTAAGCCTAATCCAGACTATCACGCCAAGACATTCAAAGTATCTCTACCAGCTATATCCTGCAAAAAGGTACTTGGCACCATCACCCCCCTTGGTTCATTTACATTGCTTCACCAAGCTATCCCCCGGAGCCCCTGAACCCAGAACAATCACAACTTATCTTCCATTCTTCGACGCCCAACCCTGCTCATTAACACCAATTTACCACCTCACTATTATTCTTTCTTCTCCTAACATCTAACTTCTCAGTGCTTCCTTTACCCCATCAAGTTCCTTGTATTCGATACCCCTCAGCGGCCACTTCTTCGTTTTATTTGTGGTATCGCGTCGCGACGCTGAAAGTTGCCCGCACACCAGCCTTTCTTCCAACTCACCGACCCGAAATATTTCCTTTTTTTTTCTTGTCTCATTTCCTTCTGAGCGTCGGTCGGTCGCCTTGTCGCAAAGCCTACATTTTCGCCGCCCCGCGAGATAAGGGACCAACAACTCTCCTTCTAACCTTCGGTTTCACATCATCGAATGTCTTAGACGATCCCAATTCTGCTCATAAAACTGTCGAATACCCCGCCGATTCCACCATGGTGGGTTTCTTTTCCCGCCTGAAGGGCAGGGACGGCACGGGCAAGATCAAGTCCAAGAAGAACGCGAACCTCAACCAGCTCGCCAACCAGCTGCCCCAGAAGCCGCGGTGGGAGGATGCCTGGACGAGGAGTACGGTCGAACCCGAAGAGGTCCAGGACCTGATCAGGCGTTGCACCGAGGAGCTCAAAGCTCGAGGTATGACCTGCGCTCCGCTTCCCCGCCCGCCCCGAGTCCGCTAACGTCGTCGATGCAAGCCCTCGACCACCCTTTCTTGTTACTTCCCTTCCGACCTACTTCCGATCCCAGCGCCGTCCGCACCTTTATACGCCACTTTTTCGATGCCAGCCAAACAGTGCGGGGCGAGGCCCTTGCTCGGGAGTTGCGCATGACCGAGCCAATGGTAACTTGATATCTGGCCATTCACTGCTTCACGACACTGACGTTGGTATAGGTCATATCTGGCGTCGTGAAATGGTGCTGGAGCCGGCTTCCGGGCGGCGTCGTCGGCTGGGATTCGTACGAGCTATTCAAAGTTGGAGAGCAAGGTAGGGCAAGCTGTACCGACTCGCGGCATCTGCCCAAGAGGCTGACCAAGATCACTGCTAGACTCGAATATGGCGAGGGATTCGTTCAAGACATTCATTCCCCTTAGTGTCGAAACCGAATCGCGATCGGCCATCATCTTCGACTTCTTCGACCTTCTCTCCGCCATTGCAGCGCACGGCAAGACGAATGGCTTCAGTGGACGAAAGCTCTCGCGAATGGCCTCTTGGTGGGCGTTTGAGCATAAGAATACTACCAATGGCTTTGAGACGGGCTACAAAGCCTGGTTAAGGTCAGAACTCGTTCCATGCTGCGGTCAAACGCATACTAACCTCCCCATAGTGCGGCGGATGCCACAAGCCATCTCTTCTTCGCCTACCTGCGCTCCTTGGCGCCTCAACCTAATCGTGGTGGCATTTCCATGCTTCCCATGTCATTGGAGAAGCTACTACAGGAAACCGAATATCCGCCTCAGCGGCCGTCCCTGATGCAGACGTCGACGTACAAAGTGGTCATGATCGTTGACACAGTGTCACCGACGCCGTTTGCGCTCCTGCGGCGGGCTAACCATTTCCAGTACCGCGACGACGACAGGGCGCTGCAGGAGTATTCCGAGTATGAGGATCCGATCCAAGCTTTGACAGAGGAATGCCGCCGAGTTCTTAGGGCTATCTCGGCTGCTAACCAGTCGCAAGCCGTGTCAAGCTCGAAGCACTCAACTAGTCTCCGCGATGCTTCTTGGTCGCGATTCGAGGATATCGGCTTTGCCAGTGCCTTGGAAGAGGAGGACGAAGACGAGGATGGAAGGCTAGCGGCTCACCGGAGAGCAAATGGCCTGAGGGCGACGGCATCCTCCGGGAACGGTCTGGATAGGCCTACCACGCCTTCCTGGGCCGATTTCCTCTCGTCCGGCTTCGTGGATGACGGCCCGAACAGCCCATCAAACGTACTGCTTCCGCCAGACAAGATCCTCCCACCGATAGAGACAACAGTCCGACAGCGAAGCTCGCAATCCCATCGGCCGAGACTGGAAACTGAACGTCATCTTGAGCCGGGCGAGTTGGCAAGCATCACTCGTTTCGATCTGGACGACTCCTTCTGGTGGGTGTGGATGAGCAGCTTGGCTCCGGAGGAGACGGCTGAGAGGAAGTCGGCGTTCGGTCGTTGTGCCGTGATCGAAACCCTCATCCGGACCGGTCGCTGGCTGGTAATGGAGGAGATGGTCAAGGGAGCCGCTCCCGAACCCCAGCTTGGCGCGTATATCGCGGAGAAGAAGAGCTTCTTCAGCTGGACGCGCCGAAACAGGGGCATCTCACGGAGGAAGTCGACCGGGAAGCACGCCTTGAGTAAGGGAGACGGGCATTTGAAGCCCAACAGCACCTCTGCTAGCCTTAGCAAGACGAGCATCGGACCAGACCAACACGCCAAGATCCAGGCCGCAGCCGCTCGATTGCAGGCGAGGCAGATGCAGGAGATACAGGATTCCAAGTCGCGAGCCCAAGACAGACGCGGAAGGAATGACGCAGACACGACCGCCAAGACCAACAGTGTCCTCACCCTGCAGCCTGTCATTATGAACGAGGCTTCGCCGGCAATGAAGTGGGCACTCAAGTATGACAAGGAGGCTATCCGAGAGGCTTATTTGTCGAACGCAAATGCTGGCCGCGGTTTCGCGACCTTGGAGCCGCAGAGCAACGGTCAGACAGGCAGAGCGAGTTCTGCTCCCAACGGCCACGAACGGCCACCAGAGGTGCCTTCAAAGTCGCTCGCCAATCTACCACTGGCCTCTCCCGTTGCCCAGCCAAAGTCGCCGTATTTTGCTCCGCCAGAGGATGAGCCGGAACCGGAACCGGCGCGTCTCAGCGAAAAGGCCTTGGAAGCCCCTCGGGACATCCATCCCGCCGAGCGATCGTCCGGGGGTGCAGGACGAAGCAGCACCCCACCCCCCCCTCCGAAGGAGCCAGTGAGCGCACAGTACGCACGTGAGACGATGATCTCTCCAGAGCCCGAGTCGAGTCCGGAAAGCAAGAAGCACCAGAAGAAGCTTCAAAAGGATAAGGATAAGAACGCCGCTCCCGTACCCAACGCTGGTGGTTTCAGAAAGTTGTTCGGGCGGAATAAGAACAGGCAGTCGAAGCTTCCCGACAACGCCGCCAGCCATCTCAGGGGATTGGGGGTGACAGAGGAACGGCCCGTCTCCCCTGAGCCGGTTGCGCCAGTCGTTCAGGCCGAGAAGTCGACAGTTGCCCGGGAAGAGCCAACCTTCTCTCCGCCACCCCAGGCGCCTTCGGAGCCCATACCGAAGCCAGCCTCGGTTCCCGTCCCGGCCCCGCAGCCTTTGCCCGAGCCATTGCTGGATGAAGCGGTATCGCGGGTCGATACCGCGGATACTCTTGAAGCCGGCGACGAATTCTCGCGGTTCGACCAGGGTCCGCTACTCGATCAGCCCAGCTTCATCCCTCCGGACTCTAACAGCGAGGATGACGATGCGGTTCCACCCCCGATCGCCCGGCATACGTCGCGCTCTCCTCTGCCCTCGCCTCAGCCCCAAGCCGTTGAACCGGACACGCCGAAACAGGCTGTGCAAGACCGTTGGGCACAGATCCGCAAGAACGCCGAGCGTGCTACCCAGCAACGCCAGAGCGAAGAGCAGAGCGGTGGCGGGTACAGCAAGACAACTGATGGTGATGACGACACCAGCGGTGAGGAGAGTAAGTGATCCCCTGGTCCCAATCCGGTTCCCCGGTGGCATGAGGAAAGGTACTGACTGTGAAACAGCAATCGAGTCACGCGTGGCTCGCATCAAGGCCCGGGTTGCGGAGCTAACGGGCAACACGGAGGGCATCAACGGTCCTGGAAGCCGGACCCCGCCTTCCATTCGCCGCTAAGGATCTAGATCCCACAAAGATGTCATTTCAGAGCTCCTAGCAACCTCACCCTTGATACTTGACATCCAGAACAAGACTGCAACTGTGCGAGAGAGAAAAAAAGCCTATCTTCAATCTTTCCATGTTGGGCAAATTTTTAACCTTGGGTTTCCTTCTTTGCTGGAGGGCTCTTAAGAGAGTCCAAACGCTCCCTGGCGGGGGCCTGTTTCGCTGTCGGCCTAGTAATGTACCATCCTTCGTCTACCCTACCTAATATTTTCGACGTCTGCGGAGGTCTTCCCGTTCTTTTGATCTCGTTCCATTCTTCTTCGATGATACCAATAGAAAAGCCGTCCAGGTATTTTCCCGCACGCATGCAACCCACCTACCTATCACCTTGTTTCCTTCTCTTTCTTTCTTCTTCTCGCCGCCCAGGCTGTAGGGAAAATTCGATATCACAACGATGCGGTCCACACATGTCTCGATTACTCAAATTTGTTCTTTTTGCCCCCTCTACTTCCTTGCCCTCTCCTTGCTGGTGCTTGGCCCTGGTTTCGCGGAGTTGAATCGAGCTGGGGATTTGGATGAGGGGGATGAGTTGAGTCGAGCACCGGGAGGCGACGGGTGTCTGGTCTGGGTAGAAGAAATTCAAAAAACACTTTCCCATGAGCTTGAAGTGACTGACCATGGTCCAACTTTCGAGGCAATGTTGCCCTTCTCCAGCACTGCCCCCTTTGTGCGCCAATTTAGCGGCGGTAGTCGACGCCAAAGAGAAGACACTTCTTCCGCGGCCTTCTCCACCTCCTTGAATTCCGTAAATCGAAGCGTTCGAGCCCGTTTTATGCCGCTGATGCTCTCACGATCACTGAAGTAGCTAGGACGTATGCACCCACCTCCCGTTCGTCCAGAGAATTAGGTAGGAACAAGCACACTCGAAGCATTTTGGGAACCCTGAGCTCGTCCTCCAGTCGCAGCCACACCGAACAGACTTCCCTGTCTTCGCTATACGAGCACATCCTCACCTGCCATGAATCAGTGGAAACGTGAATATAGTAGGGGGTCTCCTCCTGAAATTTCAACACCAGCCACCATCTATATAGAGTAGTAGTTTACAAGTCTGCCTGGCACGTTTTTTTTGTGGTGCAATAGTGGCAACACACACACACACATACACACATCTATTCCCTTCTAGAGGGTTTTCTGCCCCAGAGCCAAATGAGTAGTGCCGCCGCCTGTCAAAGAACTCCTGCTTGAACCCGCCTTGCGCTGCACCCCAATCTCGAAACGCCGAACTTATGCTGGATTAGAAAGCCAAAGCTATTAGAAAAAAAGAAAAAAAAGAGGTTGAGAGAGGTCGATTTTGGCCGCCCGTGGGTGAGTAGAAGTCGATTAGAGATGGGATTTGAAAGAGGGAGGGAGGGTGTGCTTGGTTGATTATATTAGTCGGCGGCCCCCTCCCCGCTCGGCGGGCCCTCCCTGCTCAGGGAGGCGCGCTCGTTGACGCCCCTGAACACGCGCTTCCCGACCTCGTAGCTGCTAATCATGATGGCGCAGCTCGGCGCGACCTTGAGGGTCCGGGGGATGCAGCCCCGGAACAGGCCGGACACGCCCTCGGCCCTGAAGATGTGCCACAGGAGCCGGACCATGGACTGCTCCTCGGGCACGGGCCGCGAGGCCGAGGCCGCCGCCGCCGCCGCCGCCTTCTTGCTCGAGTCGTGGTATACCTGGGTGCGCGTCTTGCCGACGTCAAACGGCGTGGTCACCACGGACGCAAAGGCGCCCGACAGCGCGCCCGCGACAAAGCTGTCGATGAAGGTGTCCCGGTGCGTCTCGCGGCTCTGCGACCTCCTCCGGGCCCAACCGCGGCCGCCAGTCCCCGTGCCGGTGCTGGTGCTGGTGCCATCGAGATCCAGGGCCCGGCCCCTGCGCCGCTCCCGCAGGTCGGTGAGCGTGCCGCGAACTGTCTCGTAGCCCCACCAGTACATGCCCGAGAAGGGCGCGTCCCGCCACAGGGTCAGGGTCAGGCCCCTCCAGAGCGAGTGGTACCCGTGGAGGCCGACCATGTCCTTGATGCCGCGGAACGTGTCGGCGAGGTGGCCCGCGGCGGACGAGCCGTGCGAGGCCTGCAGGCGGGTCCGGAAGAGCTCGATGGGGCTCACGGCCGTGGCGGCCAGGACCCGTGCCGTGGCGCCGGCCACGAGGGGCGCGTACTCGTCCCCGACCTTGCGCTGGATGGGGCTCATGCCGTCGAACCGCAGCCACTCGTAGCCGGTGAAGTAGATGATGTTCGACGGGACCGCCATGAGGAGCGTCGGCGATAGGCCGCGCCAGAGGGTCGAGACGCCCTCGTTCCGCGCAATCTTCCTTATGCCGTCGAGGGTCGAGTTGAACGTCCTCTGCTGCGTCTGCTCGACCGCGCATTCGCCGCCGCCGGCAGCTGGCATCCCGCCGATGGGGCCGATGCGCGGGCCGGCGATGCAGACCTCGCTGTTGTTGTTCATGAAGAAGACCTCCCGGCAGCAGGCCGTGACCCCCAAGTTCGGCGGTCGGAAGGCGTTCGCAGACGGCGCCGAGGTGGGTTTCTGCGAAGTTGAGGCCGGTTGTTGCGGCACGTTTTGTGACTGCCATCTGACCCGAACTACATCGAGAGGTGTGACTGTTCAGCCCGTTAGCAAGGCTTGTCTTCGTCTGTCACAGCTTATCGGTGCGAGCAAGCAGCGGCAAAGATATCGGCGGTCCCTACCTAAAAGACCGGTCAGTAGACTGCCGGACGTCGCGGAAAGCATCTTCTGCGCCGCCGTGATCTCGACATGGTCGCGGCCGCCGCCGTCGTCCTTCGTGGGGAGCATGTCCTGCAGCGAGAGGGAGTCATCGTGGGCTAATCTGTCGTGGTTTTGGCCTCTGGTGTTCTGCGCAAAAGAGGCCATGTCGGTCGTCTTCTTCTCATCGGCTGGAATTTCGGCGGACGTGAGCTCTCTCCCCAGTCCACACAAGAGTGTGGAACTGGCGTGGTGGTACTGATGCTGCGGGCCGTAAGGTTTACTTTTCTTCGTACGTGAATCGCTGCGAAATCTGGGTGTGGAGCGAAGCCGGAGGTTTGAAAGCGATTGTAAATTTGCCTCCGGTTGACTCCTCTTGGCGTCATTGAACCCGGAGGTACGGGCGTACTTTTTCGCTGGAAGCCGAGCTAAAGCCGGTGCAGCCCGTTCAGTCTTGGAGTGATGTCAGCGCCCTAGCTGTGGCTAGTGTTGGTGGCTTTGCTCTTCATCGAATTATCGATACTCCGTATCATTGATAAGATCGCCCCTGGACGACATCAATTTCGTCAGAGCTCCTGAGCCCAAGCCACCCAATACAACTGCCGACGGAAATGCACTCAGTCCGCGATTGTCCCTTGTAGATTACTTATTTATCCGTCTTTGGTTTCACCTTCGTGCTTGCATCTCCACCTGTTTCCCCCCCGCCCCGCATTTGACGACGTCAGCTTCGTTTAGGGGGCTCAGCAGGGGCTGCGTTCCAGAGTATCAGGCCAAACGAGCCTGGAAATGGCGGGGATATATGCGTAGAACACGCAGGAGACAGGAGGTTTAATCAGGGAATATATTGAGAGGCTCCATCCGGGAACGCAAAACATAATCCTATTGCTCGGACAACGGGCGCTGGTGCTCACGACTGCCGAACCCAGCTGTATTATTCTCTATTTTCCATGCATAGCGTCCTATTTAGATGTTCCTGGTGATGGTACAAGTACAGCAGATTTGAGGTATTATCGTCAACGGGTTTTTTCTTTTGTAACCTGTGCCCAATCTGATGCAAGAGAACAAAGGGAATGTATACCTAGCTAAGCAGGCCATGCAATTGCTGTTCCACTCCGTTGGCAAATTTGGGCCCAGTAGAAAACAACAACAAAAAAGATGGAAATCAACAAAGTTCAGCCCGGGATGCGAATGGCGAATGCAAATGCCAACTCGAGAATCATTACACCCCCATTTACAGATGACAAAGGAGAAGGCTGTGTGCAATAGAAAAGAATGCATTGTCACCCAACTCGATGGCAGTGCCAAAACGTAGGGTACCTAGTTAATGAAGCTGACGTTTTTCCTCCTATCCAACAAACTGAATGGTCGTCGTAATTGCACCGTGCACTCGGCCATCTTTTCCCCAGGCCGTTTGAATCATCCTCATCAGTGTAATTTCTCTTTCACGTAGACCACTGCCGCATATCCGGCACAGCATTTCGTGCTCATGTTGTGGTGGCACCAGGGGCACTTGACCATGGTCGTAATGGCCCCTGAAATGCCCAGAGACCGGTCCTCTACCACCGCATCCGGCTTGGCCATGCACTCGTAAAGCTTGGACGGCATGTCGTGGTAGAAGTGGCAGCTGCAGCACTCGACAAACATCTTGGCAATGGGGGCCATGCGTGCTTCAGGGGCTGTGACTGCACGCGTCGATGTTTGTGGCTGCAGGTGTTTCGGGATGGCCGAGAGAACATGCGGCTTGGACCCCGGAGTCGGGTTTGGGGGGGGGCTGGATGTCTGCTGCGGCGGAGGAGTGGGTTTGAGAATCGAGACCGGGGTTGTGGTAGTGGTAGGCCTCGGAGGTGGGCCAGCTTTTGGCTCATGCGTGGGCGGCGGTGAGGGTGACCGCGTGGACCTGATCGCTGGCCTTGGTGGTTCCGGAGCGGCCAGAATGCGGGCTTGCTTGGAAGTTGGATCTGGGCTTTCAACTGTCGCTGGGGCCGGAGACGTAACCTTGCCTGGTGCCGGATCCGGCGTGCCTTGGAGCATTATCTGAGTTGTAGTGACCTTGAACGGCAACGAGACTGTGACCGGCTCCGACGCCTTGCCTATCTCGGAGAAGTCGACAAAAAATGGATTGCTACTAAAGCCATATGACGGCACGAAACCCCCAATTGGGGACATGAATCTGGCCGAGAGGATGCTGGCATTAGCCGAGCCAACGTGTTTGTTCGATTTTGTGATGCTGCTGCTGGCCAGCTCAGTCGACTCCCTATTCTCGCTGGACTTCCTGGCCGGCTTGGGCTCAGGCTCGGGTTTCTGTTTCTGTTTCCGGAGCTTGCGCTTCAGCTTCAGGTCGTGCTGGGACTCCTGCTCAGGCCCATTATCTAGCTCCTTTTCTTCTTGGGATTGTTTAGCTGTCGGCGACGTCTTCGGGCGCTCGAGAGGACGATCTCGCGTTCTAGATCGGCGAGGGCTCAGGGGTTGATCCTTGGGTGGTGGCAGGGGCCTTGGGTCCTTTGCGCTGTCGGAGAGATCGGGATTCGAATGCGATCTGGCAAGGGCAGGCGGCTTTGGTGACCGTGTAGCGGCCCCGCCAGGAACATCGTCAGAGTTGGACGACGAAGTGGCTGTCGACTGGGCATCGAAGTCGATATCCATTGGCATCGCCGACCTGCTCCACCGATCCTCTTCCGTAATCAATTCGTCGCTCCTGCGCCTCGGGCGCGGGGTAATGATGGCGGAGCTCGCCACGCTAGACCCTCCGGATGACTGGCGAACAGTTCTTTGGTCGTCTTGAAGAGACAAATCTTCGTTTGAGCCCTTCGAGACTTCGCCCCTTGCGGACTGCGGCCGGGAAGTGTCTGGCGTCGTTGCTGGCGAAGGAAGGGGTGAGACGTCGTAGTTAGAGGACGATGACGAACCCTCGGAAACTCGACTTGCGGGCTGTTGGTTTCGAGTGCTTCCTGGATTGGCATATTCTCCATGGACAACCTTTGGGGGTCGAGGGACATTCGCAGGTGTAGGTATAGTCGCGGTCTGCACAGTAGGAGCCGACGTTGGTGCTGGGCCCGACGAGTTCATCCGTGCCCTTAAAACAAAGTATGGTGGTACCTTTACAGCTCCCGGTGCGGGCTGCATAGATGATATGTGAAAAGCCGCCATTGCGGCATCTTTCAAGCTCCGCTTCTTTCCGGAGCCGGATTCAGTGGCGGACGATCCGCTCGAGGCAAGCGGCAGTTCCTGCGACGCAACTGATGCCGCTGAAGGCGTTGAGTCCTGCGTACCAACCCTACTCTTCATAAAAGCGGGTTGGCTGTCGTCTTGGCTGAACCTGGGATGTGGGTGGCCCGGCAAAGCGAAGTAGTCGCCTTGCTCGCCAGCAGGTCCGTCCACGTGCTCGGCCGTCGATGACGGCGTAGTCTTATTCTGGCCAGCCAATTTCGTGGCCGAGATCCCGATGCTATAAGACAATTGCTCATCTGCGAAACCCGCCAGGGCGCGCTCGGCTTTCTGGTCTCTCTGGCGCCGAACGTATCCGTCCTCAAGTCGATGTCTGTCAGTAGCCAAGCCCGCTGTGTGCAGCGATTCCTGGGAGTGACTGGCCCTCGAATACATGTTGGATGATTCCTCTCGTTCCCTAGGCATTCTCGACGTACCCCGTCGGAAACTGTGGCTTTGACCAAGGCCCCGATCGCCTGGCATGTGTCTCAATTGCGGAGTTCTGGATGCTGAAGGCGGGCGCAAGTCTCGATGAGCCTTGGAGCCTTGCTTGGTGGCAGACGTTGCATGTGTTGTATGCGACATATCCATCCGGGGACCGGCTGAGTAGGATTTCTGCATTGGTTGGCGAGGGCCCTCCACGTAGTCGTTTCCGTATGCAAGGCCATCAGGAAAGGAGTCGGGGAATTGTGCCTGTAGGGCATTCTGTGCAGCAGCTTTCCTTTCTTGCTCAAACCTGAGTCCCCCAAGGAACCGGTTGCTCTTTGTACCCGATAAGAAGTCGCTTGGATCAGGGGTTACCGAGCGAGAGTCGAAGGATTGCCCTTCTGCAATCTCGCTTTCGTCTTGAACCGATGGAAGTTGATGGACTCTGCTTATGCCAAAAGAGCGGTGACTGGCAAGTAAGGGGGCCGAGTTTGAGCGTTCCATGAGCGCAGGCTGTTGGCGCATACTCACTGGAGGAGCCTTGCTGAGCCTCGAGAAGGGTTTCCTCCTCGCGGCTCTTGCATCTCGTTCTGCCTGCTCCTTCTCTTTGCGTTTCCGTTCTGCCTCCTTCTTTTTCTCCATTTTCTTCTGGCCATACCCCTCCCAACTTGGCGACTGGCAGATTGACGACTGCTCTGAATCGTGGTCGGAGTCGCTATCGCTGTCGGGAGCCAGAAACTTGACCGACTTCTGCAGTGGCTCCGGCTCTAGGCTCTCCACGTCCGGCTCCTGTTCCTTCTCGCTCTCCGCCTCCATTCCCCTGGCGGCGGTGGTGCCTCGATTGCCATTGGGGGGCGGAATGGTGATGGAGAGTGAGGGCAGGGCGGCGTTACGCCGGACGGCTTTCAACATCAGGTCGTTTTGGTACTGCGACAGACAGTCGGCAGAACGGACCTGAAGCGGGGGATGTCCGTCAAAGGATTCTGAAGTTGGTGAGGAAGCAGTTGATGGCCGAGTGCCGCCGTGAAGACGCTCCATCTATTTGAGGAGGAGCGAGGTTAGAGATGGCGCGGAGGAAGAGCAGCGCAGAGGGGCTGGTGTTATAGAACGTAGATCACCCAGCCGCAGAGGTGAAACACTGACCTTGTACCTCTTCTCCAGATCGAGCATCCGCTGGAAGGACGTTGCCCTCGAGGGGGCCGGTGGCATCGGCTGGATGGCAGCCATGGTGACGGGCCCGGGAAGGGACAGGGACCGGTGGCGACCTGGCAGGGTAGACAAAGAAAGGAAAACAGAAGAAAAGACCAAGAAAACGGATTTAAAGGCTAAATGGTGGGGGTGGAAAGCAGGAAGCCGTCGACAAGATTATATTCCCTGCTGAAAACGAGGGGGAAGTCAGGGTAGTCTTGGGCAAGCTTCAGGGCCGCGCTCCGCTCATCGGAAATGGCAATCAAGCATGGCAAACCTTGGTCTGGGACAGATAGGATGGTGTGTCTAAAGAGAGTGATGGAGAAACAGAATGTCTTGAAATTTGGCGCGCGTAGCCGCAGACACTGGGTGAATGCAGGATAGTCTGGAGTGACGGGTAAAATGGGTTGAGAAACAACAGCTTTCTTCCGGAAGGAAGTGAATGGAACTGGGAACCACAGACCGTACCCACCGAGTTATCGTACTTCGATGACGGGGCTCCGCTATGGCGACATTAAACATCTGTCTATTGATAGTAGAGTAGAGTGAGAGTCTGGGGTCCCAATGCCTTGCCATCGGCGGCACTCTTGATGAGAATCTCCTTTTCGCAGCACGTTCCCCAGAGCACAGAAACCCGCGCTTCGCCAAGAACCGGCCCATATATGCACCTGTGGACATGTAGGTACTGTTCCGTGCCTGGCATTCATTACTTCGCCCTGGGTGCTAGTCAGGAACTTGGTACAACATGGAAGCAACATGGAGCAACATGAGAACGGAGGTGGCTGGCTGGCTGGCTGGCTGGCCGGAGCGATATTGCGGCCAGCGCCTCTTCCAAGGTCCCACGGGAAGGTGCTAGAGAGCATTTCGGATCGATGGGCACCTGCAGCCTCTCTGTCTCTCTCGCTGGACCACCGCCCCTTCAACTGTCCAACGCTGATGCAGAGATGCAGAAACACGCAAACGAGCGTGGTACAGCGTGGAGCTGGGGCGAGATGATGCCGTCTATATTAGGTACCTCGGTACGGATTAAATAGATGCTAGTAAACCCCAATAGCATTTACACTGTGCTTCGTGGCTATCCCACGGAGAAGGTACGGTTGGGTAGTAGTGTGTATTAATAGCTAAGGAGGCACTCCAGCAATCCGCGTCCGACCTACAAAAGTGTGTGGTACCTTACTACGCAGGGTACATCACCTAATTATTATGTAAGGTAAAGCGGTACCTATAGCCCCATTGAAGACAGCATCCATTGGTCTCTCCTAGGTACCTCTCTTTCTCATGGAGGATGGAGGCTGGCTACGGACATACTCGACGCCCCGAGCGTGTCTCTCGACTTCAATTAGGTAGGTACCTACCTAGATAGATTTCGGTCGATCACGGCGCATGGCATTCTTCTAGATGCTGTTTACATTAACGAAGCCTTCCTTCGGGTTGCAGGCGTGCGGGTCACTGTTTAGGTACGTTTTCGTTGACCGCGAAACAGCGATCTAACAGCAAAAACCTTTCATCAACCCATGCAGCTTTCGGGGAATTCTGACCCTTGGCCTGGGTAATTAATTCGCTGCAAATCTTTTGATTCGCGGCGGAGGTCGCTTCGGCCATCGCCTCCCCGACCACTATGAACCGACATATGTTGGCAGAGGAACCAGCTAGGTCGTTACGGTGCAGACGACCTATGCAATGCCGGACGGGAACTGTGGTGCGTGGTACTCGGCCTGGCGTGCTCCAACCCTTCGACCCGGCGCTACCAGTGTCGCCCTCGCATTCATCCTCTCTCCTGGTTTCTGCCATCGGCTCTTGGAACCGCTCGGTGGTCTTGGCTTTCCAGGTTTGCGACGCCCAATTCCCCGCTGCATCCACCTTGCTGGCCCCCGGAATATCGAAGCCCGTTGGGTGCGGATATATTGAGCGTGTTACGCGTTCCTCATTTTCGTCCCGTCCTGGCATGCAGCCTTGACTCGTTTCTGGCCCTCTGATTTGAGCAACAGGGCATAGCTCCGTCCGGCCATTGGCCCAGTCATCCCAGAGGCAAGTTCGCCCCCCACGGGTCTACACCTGGAAGTGCAAGCACTCTATAACGTATTTAGACGCTCCCTGCGGCCGAGTGGCCCTCGGCAAAGGCTTGGTTGTGTGAAAACAAGCATGCCTAGTTTCAGTCTTCATATTCCCAATGACAGGGACTGGCGCCCCATTCGTCATTCGAGACTACAGAGTAGGAATACATGGCCACGCCTGGGTCGAAAGTTGCTCAGCCGGCGATCACTACTTGAGCGGCGGAATCTCGAGCCTTGCCATATCTTCCTCCCCCCGGCAGATTTTGACCCTCAGGAGTCCGGTGTCAGGTACGATCGGAGAATGAAACGCTACTATAATCAGTCGGCTTCTATCCGCAGATGACAGTACTCCACCTCGATCTGGGTTGGGCGTAAGTGTTCCCAAAACCTATTGGCTACGCGTCCCTGAACTTCCCGCTCGGTGATAATCCATCTGCCGCCAGGCGATATTTTCGCCCCAAAGTCGGTATTTGTCAAGGTTGCCTGTCCGCGCGGGCACTGTCTTGAACCTGCTCTAGAACATGCTCTGATGGTGTGCCGGAAAGTGGGTTTGAAGAAACTCAGGTGCCGAGATGATCGTCAGACAGGGGCACTTGCCGAGCAGGGTTATCCAATCTGGATCTAGGGCCGTCATCTCCGTCCGCGACAAGTCCGCCGATCCCCGGTTCACCATCTGCCTACACAATGATTCCGGCCTGCACGCACGTCTCCTGCGCTGTCCACTAAGTCTCCTTGCTGGTCCCTGGTCCATGATGAAGCGTCCAGTCGAAGTGGCAACGAGGTTTCCCGAATACGGTCTCGTATCGAATGCCGTGGCCGTTCCTCGGGCATGCAGGAGTATTCCTTGCCTCACTCCATGCAAATCAGTCAACCGGCATGAGGCCCCGCGCGGTAGTTGTTGCCTTCTCGAATGGAATGGTTATCGCTGTCGTGGTCTCCTGGTCCAGGCGTCCCTTCCACGATGGCCCATCTCTTGCGTTGACATGCTGATCTAGCATTTCCTTGGGATCAGGGCTCGTCGGTGTCGGCGTCAGCGTCTCCATCCCAGCTGATATCCATCCGAGTCAGCACATAGATGCCTCGTTAGGTTTTGTCTCGCACTGCTTTGACCGCCGCACTACCCGGCTCTGCCATGCGCCATGTTTGCAGACGCCGGTCCAGTTCCCGACTCACCCACTGCGATGTGACTCCTTTCAGATGCTCATGGGTTCATGGCCCGTTGTTATCCACACAGCCCGCATATGGATGCCGATATGCCAAAGCTAGGTAGGTCTGTCGCACGCTGAGCCGTGAGTATTAGTCCGCCTAGGCCACGACTGTCGATGGCCACTGGGGATTCGATCTGGGGATTTCGGTCTGTCCCCATCACCGCCACGCTGTCGCTCTGTCCAACGAGTTCCTCCCGTGCACCGCTAGTCCCTTAAAGGCAACAGGGTTTGCGATAAGGGGATCGAGAGCCATGGCACTCCCGAAGATTTCTTCAGTCGTCTCAGCGAGGCTCGCGGGAGTATTTAGTGGAAGCACGGATCGTCCACGCAGGGTGCGCCATGTGGTTTGGCTTGGCGGTGAGAAAAATGCAGCTCAATTCGTTGACTCTGCAGCTCGAGATCGGATTGCCCCAACGGCGAGGTGCGAAATAGTAAGGTAAGATGCGCAGGAGGCGGCCTTGCGATGTCCTAGGCGGGCCAGGTGCTGCTTAAGGATGTGCTGGCGGGCTCCCTCCTTCTGGGTCTCGTGCCAGATTTGAATGTCTTGCGGCGCCCAAGCACCAGCGCCCAAGTGCCCATGCTACCTGTAGAGAATCGGACGTTGCACGTAACGTAACCTGGCCCTTAGATCAATGGATACCTACCAAGAAAGTCTAAGACCACCATAGACGCATTCCAAAATCAACCCCAAGAGTTAATACCGGCCTTGGCTTTTCAGCCCTGGGTAAATAGATAGGGACGAGGCAAAAAAAGAAATTAGGGTAGAAGGCAGGTTTTGGCTAAAACTGGCCCTTCCGCCATCGCCAGTCACCATGTTACCGCTCTGGGGAGTGTCCCTGACGTTGCCATGACTGACTTGGAGTTGACCTGGAGTTGACATGGAGTTGATATAGAGACGATTGGAAGGGCTCAACGCCAAGATTCGGATCCCCTGACCTATCCAGACAGTCGGGAGACGCTAAGAGGAACTCTTTCCGAGCCTCACTCGATGCATGGAGTTCTCGAGGGCTTGACTCGGAACGGGGGAGACTGGGGGTCTTATCCTCGAGCTCTGATAACTGCAACGCGAGGTGCAAGACAGCAAATGGAATCAAGGCGATAGGTTATCATCCTTATCTGGTATGCTGTCGCCAGAGATGATAAGGTGAGTTCTTGGCACGGCGATCAAATTCCAAGGTTGACCCCAACCCATCCATCAACCGTAAGAAGGTGCACCCTGGGTACCTAGACAGCCCTACCTCACCGGGTGCGGGAAGAGGACCCCAACAAAATGGAACCGTTCCTGCTGCGTGCAACTATTCAAGCGAGACAGCTACCTAACCCATGGTGCTACGATCTATGATTTAAAGTTTACCGAGAGTCTGAGACGGCTGGGGGGGTGGTGGTGGGGGATGTAACGTTGTCAGATGGGACCGCAGTTTCAACCACCTCTGCCTACCTACTACCCTTGGTACCCTACTTAAATACCACGAGCTGGACACGTCAAGAGGGCCAGAAGCAGGAAAGAGTTTTTCAGCGGCTCAGAAGACCATCAATACTCGAATTTTCGCCTTCGCAGTTGGCCGATCTCAGCTTCTTCAATCTGCTCGCCGTCCTGGAAGAAAAAAGGGGGAAGGGGGGGGGGCTTCCAAGATGGAAAAAAAAACCAAATGAAAGGACTGGGATTTGCTTGAGAAATGGCAACTAGGACAGTTTATTGCGAAGCCTTCTCTTGTGCGATATGGAACTAGTTTAGGTAGGTACTCGTGTTTGGTGATTGACTGACGTGACGAAACGCGCAAGGGTCGTATGGGTATCATCGTTCCTCCCAAATTGATACGGCAAACGAAATCAGAGAGAATGAACAGGTTTTCGCCGCCCTAGGAAGACTTGGGCAACGAGGACGGCCCACCATCCCCGCCATGGCTCATCCGTAGGCTTTCCTCCAGGGCTCTCTTCAGGTCCTCATCGTCGTCCTCGTCCCCGCCATGGGGCCCCCGACTCACGGCCTTCCCCTTCGATTTCGAGCGCCGGAACTCCTCTTCGGCGAGGCTCTGTTTCAGGACGTATTCCATGACGATCTCCTCCTCAGTCTTGGCCCGCTCCGTGTGCTCGCGGTGCGCCCTCTCGGACTCCTCGACTGCGCGCCGCAGCTCCTCGTCATCCTCAGCCAGCGGGGTGGCGGCATTGTCGCGCTGGAGACGGGCCTTGGACTCCTCGATCGCCCTCTGCAGCGCTTCCTCGTCCTCCCGGCTCGGGGCGTGGCTCCTCTGCGCCCCTTCCGCGTGGGCCGCGAGGCTCTGCCTGACGGCTTCCTCGATGAGCGCCTGGTACTCCTCGTCGGGAACGTCCTCTAGGTCTCCGACGGCGGAGTGGAGCGGCGTCGCGGGGTCCGAAGTGGGAAAATCGAGGACCGGTTCCTTCCAGTCGGCTCTCTGCTCGGCGATCCTCCTCATTTCCTTGATGCTTGCCCGTATCGACTGCTCGATCCGCGCATCTTCCTTCGGGTCTCCCTTTGATGTCTGGTTGACCGATGCGCGGATGGCCCGCTCCAGCTCTTCATGCTCCAGTGCGCTGCTTGAACTGCTGAGAGGCGTCTGGACGCCTGATGCCTTGAGGTCGGATTGCTTCTTCTTCCATGCATCCTTTTGTACGTGCAGCTTCTTCCTCTCGTCCATTGAGAGGTTTCGGGTATGGAGCCACCCAGTCTTAGGCGGGCCATCGAGGAAATCGAGATTTTCTGATGGCGATTGGTCTTCCTGGTACTCCGATGACCTCTTCTCTTTCTGCTTTAGGTTATAGAAACCTTTCAGTTCGTCCCTCCTTGCTTGCCAGCGAATGAGAATGTCCTTCTGTTCTTCAACCGTAGACGAGTCCAGCTGCTGCTCGCCCTCTAGCACTCTCGACGCGATGATGTAGTTGGTAGAGCTTCTCCGGAACCGGTTGCGGACCTCGGCATGAACACCCTGCATTGTGTAAGCCGGAATCGCCCAGATCGCTGCCGCGGGCTTGAGCACCAAGCCCCCCACGCCCTTGCCGAAGCCTTTCAGGAGCCCCACGCCCCCCTCCTTTTCTGCCCCTCTCAACGGCTGGGTCACGAGCCCGGAGATGCCGTCGTAGAAGCCCAGCCCGAACTCCCTTCCGGCGACCTTCAGCCCGCTGGCGAAGTCGGTCACCTTCTCCGGGGCTCGGACGGTGTCGTCATTGTAGAGCTTCGGCGCGTTGCGGAATCCCCGCGCCAGACCCAGGCAGAAGTTCATTGGGCTCTTCATGCCCGTGGTCACGATGCGGCCCACTCCTTTGCTTGCGAATATCGCCGTCTCCATACTGACTGGGTTGACGGACATAGAGTCGCCTTGCGACGCTTGCCTGGATGGCGGGCGGCTTCTCGAGGGGCTTGGCGCGGAACTGCGCGTATCCTCTGGCGACAATGTGGCCTCTGGCGACGTTGTGTCTGTGAAATTCGTGGCAACCGACAGTGTGGATGCCCCAGGGGCACTGACAGTGACAGAAGGCGCCGGAAACGACGACAAGCTGGCAGCATCAGACCTGTGATCCGGTACGAAGGACGCGGAGCTCGCGCCGGCAGTGGTGATTGAGGCGGTGTCGTCTGTTGATGCCTCCTTCTTGGGCTTTCCGCTACCCTTGAATATCTCTCTGGGGAAATCGGCTACGGCCATGGTTATGTCCCCAAGGTCGCCGACTAAAGCTGAGGTAACCGCTGAGATAGGATCCCAAGGTTGGCCTTCGGTATGGTACTCGATAGAGCGATATCTAAGCAACCAGTTGTTAGCATCGCATTTGTTGGCCATATAGAACACACCTGCTTACAGCTTCATATCCGAGTACCTGGCAAGGCCCTCTTTCACCAACACCGCGGCAGCCAAGGTGCTCAACCGTGTCTGAGTCCTCCTAACCCTCCACACGGCCACGCGACTCGGTGCCAAGGAGCATCTCATATTGTCAGTATTTAGGAATTCGTGGAAACTCTTCCCTCCCATGTCTACTCCCCTTTCCTCCCTGATCTTCTCGCCGAGTTCCCTGGCGCGAGCTTGAGTTTCAGGCCTCAAAGCCTCCTGGATCGCGGCAGCAAGATTCTCTGCCGTGAGGCTGGTATAAGGTACCGGCTCCGGTCCAGCCCCGGCCCTGGCGATCATCGACCCCCAGAAAGGCTGGTCTCCGAAGAAGGGCACCACAACTGTGGGCACTCCCAGATTGATGCCCGCCGCGCTTGTTCCCGCGCCCCCGTGGTGGACGACGGCCGAGACATGCTTGAACAGCCAGTCGTGCGGGCAGTTGCCAAGCATGAAGACGCCATCAGGGAGGCCAATCGAGTCCACCCCAATACCTCCCCAACCCTTTGAGACAAGCGCCCTGACTCCGGTAATGGAGACGGCATCAAATATGATTTTGGTGAGCGCGTTCGGGTCATCAACGACGATGGACCCGAAGCCGATGTAGACTGGCGGAGGCCCCGCCTCAAGGAATGCTGCAAGTTCGGGATCGGGGGTATAGGAGGACGCTAGGTTGAGGAAGTAGAAGCCTGCGATGGTGATCTCATTCATCCAATCGTTCGGCTTCGGTATCAGAGCCGGTGACCAGCAGTAAGTAGTCGGTATCCTTAACCGCGTGAGCATGCCCGGGGCCCAGATCAGAGAGAGGGGATCGAGGTCCAGGACGCCTGTCCGGAAGCGGTTGATCACGTCGCCTAGACCTTGCCAGGTCATCATCTCAACCATGGCATACGAGACGTAATTCGTCATGACAACATCTGTATTGCTAGATTGGATGTTTGCCAGCGGATGTGGAAACGCCCTGGTTGGTGTCCATGGCATTCTTGGAACAGACTGTCAGATATGATATTATTCTAGTGGGCGAACTGATGTAGAGGAGGACTTACGTGAACATCATATGCAGCGGAATCCCCAGCTTTTCTGCAAGGTGGATATGTGCAAAGCTGGGTGGGTTGGCGATGATCGCGTCCGCCACGAACGGCTGTCCCTCGGAGGTCCCTGATGGGAAATAGTTCTCACCCACCGGCTCGTCAGGTCGATGGCGTGGATGGGAGGGCCCCAGTCCAGTGCCGGCTTCGACGCAGGACCTCCAGCAGCCAAGGAGCATCTCCTCGATGCCCTTCCGTCGTTTAGTAATCTCGCCGCTCTTCAGAGCGTCGATACCCGGCATGAGGCCGGGGTTCTTCACCATGAAGGCCATGAGTTCGGCAGGGTCGCCGCCAATGCTGAAGAATTCGAGCCCGTTCTCCTCGACAAACTTCTGGAAGGTGGCGTGCGTTGCAAGTCGGACCCTGTGGCCGTACGTGTCCTTCAACACCTTCCCCAGCGCAACGAAAGGTTGCACGTCGCCGCGCGAGCCCACGATCTGGATGACGACGTTCAGCTTTGGCGGCGGCGTCTGTCCAGGCAGGCCACCGAGGCTCGGAGGGATGTATGCCGGCGGCAGTGGCCCCAAGGGCAGCTTTGCTTCGGGCGCAAGCTGGTTCCGCAAGGTCGGGGCGAGCAGTTCGGAAAGCCGCCTAGTTTTCTGGTTGATATTGATGTCTACCCGACCGTCGACTTTGCATTTTAAGGTTAGCAGCTACACAGAGAGGTTGATCTGCCTGCCTCTCTCCTCACCTGTCACAGCAGCACCGGCTTCGAACCCGGCCTGTGAAAGCTGCAATTGGTCGTGATGCTCGCCGTAAGCGGGCGGCGCATCAAGCTCAGCCCCCAGATCCGGGGCGCGGAAGCCGTCCGCAACCCACATGTCCGAGGTCTCTATCTGATATTCCCCACTCGGAGAGGGCACTCCGGCCCGGTGTGTCTCGACCATGGTGGCGTCCTGCTGCAGTTTCAAGCTTTCAACGAGGCCCTTTCTCATATGGCATAGGTGGAACAGGTGTTCAGGCTGTCAGTGCAAGGACTCTAAAGCTACGAAATGCGGAGAAATGGAAAGACGCGCTAGCTGCACAGAGAAAGGGAAAACAGAGCTTGGTATCAATAGAATCAAGACACGAGTGAGTGGCGCTATGGATCAATCACTCGTGGAACAGTTGAAGTGACGAAATGGAGGGGTCGAGGGGTTCCGCAGCAATCAAGGTAATGGAGCTGAGCAATAAACAGGTACTTCGATTGGAAAGTCATGTGCAAATAACCTTGGAAGCGATAAGGATGCACTAGGGGCCTAATGTAAGAAACAGGCCCTTTTATACCTCCCTTGATCTCTTCCAACATGCAAGTAATACGGCTCGTTAAGCAGAGGAAGTCCCGTGTAGGGGCTGAGGTAGGTAGGTAGGTATTGGGTATTGGGTAAGGGTACAGTGGAGAATCATGTGAAAATCATGCCTCCACAGCCACTGTCGTCAGCGGTTGAGCCTCGTCTCGCGCCCTAGTTGGTCTAGACGAGCCGTTGTTTAGGTAGCGTATCGGCAACCCGAGAGCGAGCTCGCATTCGCATATTCGCATATTCGCATGGGGCTCTTGGCTAGAGGCACTTAACTTGCGGATACCAGTCCCACAGACCAACCCGCAGAGCCGGGTCTCCGTGAAATGACATTGTACTAAGAACTCAAGTAAATAGGCAAGGTGGGACTTGTAGTGGGCAACAGTCCATTGCAACGCCCCCCACGGCTCTCAAGTTGACCATCAGGGAATATAATACAAAACGCTCCAGAGCGGGATACTGCAGATCCAGCACTGGAAGGCGAAGATAGGTTTCGCGCCCAGTTAAAGTGTTTTTGGTGTGTCCCAACACCCATCTTATTGACCGCCACGGTCCCACCAACACGGAGTCGGAGCCCTTGGTATGTATCGAGAGCAGCCTTCTCCTTGTCCGACTCCTCGCCTCCTCGCCTCCTCTCGAATCCCTTCCTGAAGTCCTCAACTCTCGACCCATCGCCACCCATTTAGCCTTAAGCCTCCTAGCTCGAGAACCGACGAGTGATCTTGGCGATGACTATAGGTAGGAGAAAGCCATCCCGTCAGCCACGGATGTTTCCGCCATCCAAAAGGAGGGAAGCCATCTCCGATCCAAGAACTTACTATGCAGCGCCACAACACTGAAGATAAACACAAGCGAGAGCACCAGCACGACGACGGGGTCGACCTTGAGGCCGGGCGACTCGTCCGTGTACAGGCGCAGCATCGTGCTGCTGCTGCCGCCCGCGCCCGCCGCCCGCGTGCTGCTCGGCCGCGCGTTGGCGATCTTGTCCTTCTGCTCCGCCGCCGCCCGCCGCCGAATCGTCGTCCGCGCGCCTCCCGGCGGGGGGGGAGGCGACGACGGCCGTCCCGTGCCCGCGCCCGACGCCGATGCTGTCGGTGGGGAGCCCGATCGTGGAGATGCCTGCGGTTGCGTCGCGCGCTCGGGTTAGTCCAAATGCTGCTCACTGTTGTGTTTCTGCTGCTGCTGCTGCAGAAACGGTGGCCGGCGAGCTGGATGATAGGGGCATCGTTGGGGAAGGAGAGGATCTACCGCCAACACACAATTGAAGGAGCTGGGAGGTGATATCTTACCATCTTTGATGAGTATTAGAAAAAGGGTAGAGAGACCGAAAGAACTCGCTTTGTAAAGAAGAGATAAGCACAAAGAAGGAACGAGAATTTGTAACGTTTGATGGCGTGGAGTTTGGGTCTTCGGAGGCAGATTGGAGATATTGTTCTGGTCAATTGAGGCCACGATTTGGAAGTTCCGTTGCTAGGTTCTACACCCCTGTAAAGCTGGGGGGAATTTTATTTTGCCGGCATCCGAACCCCATTTTACTGGGGTGCGCAGCCCCTTGGGGGTGTGGAGACGCGACAAGGGGAAATGGACAATAAATGGACCGCATCAAGGATTCAGCGTGGAAGCGAACTCTCGGAGCCACACATCCATGCAGTTGAATAGAACCTAGGCGTCTGTCTACTGTCTATACGGATTATAACGACAGCCGCCGTATTCTGTAGTCGTACTGATAATGCCATGGGTATATTGGCAAGGCTGTTGTATCAATATTTGAAACCTCGACCGAGGGTAGCCTATTGCAGACGCTCTCTGTCTCCCAACCTTCCAACTGATTCGAAGCTCCTCACTTGCTCCTGCGTGCCAACATGCTCAAAAGACCCAGCGTTTAACTCCCCGCCAAGAAAACAATTACGAAAAGGGGGGTTGGGATCATAGTTTGCCCTCCCCGGCTCCTGCTCGCAGGAGCCTCGATATATGTATCGCCAACGGTGTGCAATGGTTGTGGACAAATTTAGAGGAAAATTCACAAATGAAAATGACGAGTTCGCCCTCTGAACTGGGGCATCCTCCTGTTTGTCGTGCGGAAACAAGCCCACGGTACTCCCCCTCTCCCACACACACAAGTCTTGATGCCTGGTCTGCTCTGATGATGGGGACTGGCGCTGCCGGTGGGTCGACTTATGCAACTCGACACAGGTAGCTTTGGGTTCCGGCTCGCTCAAAGGTTTCCCTCCCCTTCTCTCAGACACTGCACGCTGGTCTCTGGCTCAGCCTCCTGCGGTCTTGTCCAGCCGGACTGCATCCTGCTTACAGAACGAGAACGGCCTTGAAGCGGGTGGGACGGCTCCGGATCAGCCCTGCTACTATTTATAAAAATATTAGGATAGTAAGGAGCATCTGCGCCTTGTCCCCGACAAAGCCCGATCGAAAACGCCGTCCGCTATGGTGGTGGTGGTGGGCTAGGCAAAGGAAAATGAGGGTTTCAAAGAGTGACATCGAGAACTAAGCTGACGTCCTGCACATTGGAGCCAGCGAGGTCCTCGAGGACGGGGATAAGATCTAGCAGCTCGTTGTCGTGGGCGTCGGAGAACCAGCTGCTGATTGGAACTGCGTGTTGCGGGTGGAAGATGTACGAGGTGGGCGAATTATCGATGATGATGGTGTCCCTCAAATCTCGGCCGACTTGCGAAAGGTCCTTGACATAGTTGCCCTGGTGGTTATAGCAACTCTCCCTGAATAGCCTATGGTGGACAACCTTATGGATATCCAGCTGATCAAGCAGGGGATCGCCGTACTGCGTTGCGTCAAAATTTCGGTCACCACACGAAATCAAATCGGGAGGGTTACGGACCTTGGAAACCGACGCAGTGAAGACAACCACTTCGTAGAGTTCACCCACTCGCTTCATGAACTGGTCGACGCCTGGTCGCTTGATCACATAGACATTGTGGTAGTTACCCTCGATCTCTACCGGGATTGTGAAGTCCGCTTGGTGAAGGATCTGCGTAAGCCGTTGTCAGCAAACTATCCTCAGCAGCTTTTGAGAAAGGACCTGCTGGTCGCCTACCTTAAACGAACTGTGGACAAGCGTCTCATCCAGATCCAGGACGAGGCACTTCTTTCCCGTGAATTCGGGGGCTTTGGGAGGTAAGAGGAACTTTTGAGATTGATCGGGTGCGAAATCAATTAGGCCTTCGTTGAGCTGGCTGCCGGGCGCATTTGGCACGGCCGGAATAGGACCGAGTGGTGGCGGCGGTACGTTTGTATAGGTCTCGTCGGCATTTCCTGCAGTCCCCGTGCCCGGCTGTCTGGCTTGCTGCTTTGACGCGGCTTCGGCATCCGGCATGGCAACATCGCCTTCGGCATCCCTATCAGCTGACGCATCCTCTGCCGGTTCGGGAATGCCCGAGTGTGTCGCGTGAGGTGGTTCTACTGTTACGATGGGAGCGGTGGTCCCCACGAGCGTGGTCTGCTTCGAATCTCCATCTCGTTCGCCGACTGTTGACTGGTCTTGGGTGCTCGCTCCAGATACCCGCTTGCCAGGCTTGGCGTGTTCTGTCGTGATCTGGGGCTGCGGCTCCTTTTCGTAAAGCTGTGTTTTACTGTTTGACGGTTGCTCTGATGGCGTGACCGTCCGCCGACTGGCTGTCATCGGTCTGGGCGCGAGTTTCTCTACCTTGTGACTGGGCTGATCATCATTAGGTTCCAGGCCGTTAGCGTGGTCGGGAACGCCGCAGCAGTTGAACAGGGCCAATATGCCGCCGCTCTTCTTCTTCTTCTTGTGGGACGCAGCCGCAGGAGAGCTGGGTTGCGAGTTCTCCGGGGTGGCGGTCGGTCCTGTTCCGACACCTGAATGGTTACTAATTGCGCTTCCGTCGCGGTATTGACCCAACGTACTTCCTTTGGAATCCTTCGAATGCCCATCGATGCTGTCTCTCACATCGCCAGCCGTGGCTCCACTCAGTCCCGTGGAAGTCGGCGAGGCTTCAATTCTTTGTGATGACGACCTCGACGGTACGTGCAATAGACCTCGGCCTTTATTGGTGGCAGTCCTGTCTTCGGGCGACAGTAGTTCTTTTTCCTTCGAGCTCTCATCGGCCCCTTGGCGCGTCTCCTCGATACCGTGAGGCATATCTTTTATCGGGGTATCAGGTTTGCAGTTTAGAAGTCTGTCGGGCACAGCAGTTCCTCCTCTGACAATAGGGTTAGCCGTTGAGTATTGTAAATTGATCCGTTGCAAGGGCAATGGACACGTCGCCTCCGAGCAATGGACGTGTAGGGAGCCGAGGTAAGCGACGGGAACCACACGCACGGCGAGTCGCGGGGAACTTGTATCCCATCCGGCAGTCCAATTATCAGACCGAGGGCATTGCGACTTCGCATTTCCCAGAAACACACCTCTATCGGGGCCATAAAATCGGGCGACAAATATGGAACTGCACCCACCTGGCTGAGGGACTCGGGAATCAGCCTTCTCGACGCGGCCCAACCCCGTTCTCGGCGGCGTACGGCCTTCGAAGGCCACCTCGCTAGGACTCCACCACGGATCCCAAAGCTTCCCAGTTGTTAATCAACAGAAACAGGGCGCGTTTTCCAATGGCTCTGGTTGTGGAGCTCTTTGGAAGTCGCGAGTTTGGCCCGAGTCGGTGAATGTGACATGCAGTTGAGTCCGAGCGATTGGCAGAGCGGAAGCCTCGAGTAGATTCGGGTGTCTGGAGCGACGCCGCGGATAGATTTTAAGCGGGATATTGATCGGGATCTGTAAATGTGACGATGATGGAAAGAAGAGGTTGATGAGAGACGTATTGCAGAGGCTGAAGTTGGGAATGGCAAGCGAGATGATTTGACTTTAAAGATGAATGGGGGGGGCTTGAGCAGCGCGCAAGACAAGGACTAGGGGGTGCTCAAAGAGATTAGCCAGCGGGAAGAAGATGGGCACCAGATGGAGTTTGATAGTGCAAACACCTAAAATTTGACTAATTTGCTAACACATCTTATCGTTCTGCAAGGTTCGGTCCCGCTGGTACCTCACAGCAGCCAAGCTAAATTGGTCCACACGCCTCCAGTGTCTTGCAACCCGCAGGAAGGTAGGTAGCTTGTACTCCTTACCTTGTGGTTAATCTAGGTCGAAGGGCAGCTCACAATCACATCGGCTTGAGCCACATGACCCACACCGGCGCTAACACCCAGCGCTAAACACCCCGCGGGCAGACCCGACGCATACCCTTGCACACCCTCTAAGCCCCTCCGCTACAGGTGAGATGGATATACACTACAGTGGCTAGAGAGATCGACTTCCTTTTTTTTCCCCGAATAAAATTTCTGGGCACGGCCGTCAACGGGCTTTCTCCGAAGACTGGGATGGCCGCCATGTTGCTCGTCCCCGGGCAGAGGGACGTGGACGAAGCTTCCTGCGAGTGCATCAGGCCAGCCTCGCGGATTCGCCATGTCTTCCAAGCGCAGGGCGACCTCGGCCGTCGAGGGCGCCACCAAGGCACTTATGGCCTCTAGGGCCTCCACTTCAGGGCCAGCGACGCAGCGCGGCGATAGTAGCGACGACGACTCTCAGGAGCTGAGCAACCAGCCGAACAAACTCAATAAAGCCATCGCCGGGGACACTCAGACATTCGACATCAGCGCTTTCCCATACCTACTCCCGCCCAGCATCGTGGACACAGCCTCGGGCTTCCTCCAGCCCAAGCAGGAGCGAGACTTCACCACCCTCCCGCTAAAGCCCAACTACCACAATTGGCTGCTGCGGATCGATGGTTGGTGGGGGTTTGGGGGGGGGGGGCTCATCCTCGAGAGCTTCCACCCGCTGGCGCCTCGGGTGCAAGACTTCCTGATTACGATTGCCGAATCAGTGTCATGACCAACCTTGTTGCACGAGTACCGACTCATGACTCACAGTCTGTATGCGACCATCCCGATGGGCCTAAACACGAAAGACATCGTAATGCTCTCGATCGATTCCTCAAGAACCAGATGCCTCCTAATGTCGTCGAGTACATTATGCGCTGTGGCAAGAGCTATGGCAAGGTGAAGATGGTGTTGAGGGATAAAAAGTACTTCGTCGAGACGGCGGATCTAGAGGTACTGCAGATTCTGCTGAAGGATGCCAGTTCAGGGCACCCAAGAAATTCCCACCACAAGCGCTCCGACCATGGCCGGACTCACCATCGCCGGAACGAAGGAGGCTGCCGGTATGCGCGAGGCCGCAGGGCTAGACAAGAGCAGACTGAAATGGGACCAGACGGGACAAGATCCCACGGCAGAGAAGGTATACGGTGCATTAGGCGAGGGTGGTGACGATGGCGGTGGTGACGACGACGAACAAGACGCCGTTCATGCATTCTAGATCCAAGATGACAAAGTCGGTACGGTCGCGCAACGATGCCTGGCATTACACTACCCTGCGCTTGAAGAGTACGATTTTCGAAACGACCACATCAACGCCAATCTCGAGATCGACCTGCGACCGGGAACTCAGATCCGGCCCTACCAGGAAAAGAGCCTCAGCAAGATGTTCGGCAACGGTCGCGTCAAGAGTGGCATCATTGTTCTGCCCTGCGGAGCCGGCAAACCTCGCGTTGGTGTCACGGCGGCTTACACCATAAAAAAGGGAGTGGTTGTTCTAGCCACTAGCAACATGTCGGTGATACAGTGGAGGAACAAGTTTATCAAATGGTCCAATATCAACCTAGACAACATTGCCATCCTCTCTTCAGACAAATAGAGTCGAGATGGTCTTCTCGTCCAAGCGGCAGGCCTTCCTTGTCGACCAGGGCTACGCCTTCAAGGTGATCACGCAGCTGAAGCACATGGAGAACATGCCTCACCTAGCCTTTGCCACCCCCGAAGCCAGGCGCGAGCTCCTGCTTAAGGTCCTGGCCGACGCCGAGAGCAAGGCGTGGAAGAGCGAGGAGAAGGAGAGCGCCGGCCTCCTGGCAGACGGAACATGTTTTACGGTCCGGATGGCAAGCCGTTGCGCAAGGCGCCGAGGAGGGCGAGCACGCTGAAGGATCTCAGCGGTGGGCAGGGCATGTCCTACGTCGAGCAGAACAGGAGTGCGATCAAGTCGATCAAGGGGAAGAAGGCCCCGCAGAGCGCCTTCTTCCGGTCGATTGCGAGGGAGAAAGAAAGGCGGCAGAAGTTGGCTGCTCTCCCATGGACCCAGCGAGTCTCCCATTCCCCCGGCAGCAGCCTACGAGTCGCCCATAAACTCGCTGACACTTGTTAACGCCCGCCTACATGCTATAAGACATTGGCCGCCGGTCAAACCCCGGAGCCCGGGCCGGCCACCGGGCCATGCTCATCACTTTCCCTTCTTCCGCTTCGTCTGACCCCAACACTGGCAATCCTCCAACATTCCCCACCCCCCGGTGCTCAGCCCTCTCTCGTCATGGGAATGACAGCTCAGACAAGAATTTGCTCTGTGAAGAACCCGCTTAGCACCATTAGAGTCCGCGGAGACACGGCGGCTGCTAACGATAAGTCTTAGAAAAATTGACCTTAACTCCCTTTCGAGAGACTCCATCGTGGCGCGGCCTCCATGCCATCGGCCAAGGAGCTCCTCTGCCTGAGCTCCTCTGCCTGAGCTCCTCTGCCTGTTCCCGACGGCACTTTCAAGACCATCGCTGACGAAGACGAAGCTGGCTACGAGGTGGTCGAGCAACCCTACCAGCCCGCTCCGGCGGTCTCGTCCCATCTAACGCTAGCCTAACACGGCAAGGCGCCTTGCTCCCGCTCTTCTTAGTCCCACCCGCCGCTGACTGACAGTTCTGCAACCAGCAGCGGCAAGTGACGCTCGATAGAGCTGCATACAAGTGTAGTGTGCAAAGAAGTTGATGTTGATACCATCCGCGGTGGAAGTCTCGTAGCATGGCCCCTTCCCAGTCGCCAAATGATATGCCCATCCGTTCTTCCTGCACAAGGGCTTCTCTGAATTGCGGCCAGTGGTTGGCGCATTGCATCTACGCATAATGAACCTTGGCTCCTGTTTCAATCATCCTAGTCACGAACTGACTTGATTGCTTGCCTGCCCAAGACGAGGTCACCACCGCGACCCAAAGTCGCCTCGTCCGTCACTTTCCCATAATAGCTAAATCATCTGTCTGATTGGCAGTTTGGCTCTCGCAAGCCCACTCACCACATTGACAGCAAAAGCTGGGGCATGTGCGAGGCGGTCGTGATTGGGTGTGTTACCGCCCACCACAGTGACTGGTCCATGCATCGAGTGGACCATGGCGTCCACTGGCGGCCAGGCCCGCACAATCCTCCTCCCGCAATCTGAGGGTAGCACAACGGACACGAGTTTGTGATGTGGACGCGCGCACTTGCTTCATGTACAGGAGGCGGGTGGCTGTTTGAGGTCAAACCTTGGACCTGTACGGAGTAATTAACTGTCCGTAACAGAGAACAAAGGCACGGGGTTATCCTAGCTTGCAGCAAGTATCCACAATACCCACAATATTCCGTACAGAGTGCGCATTATGTGGCTGATGAGGTCGGGTGTCCTGAAAGTGGGAACCATGACGTTTGCCGTGACTGGTGTCAATGGGCCTACCAGCCTCGGGATGTCTTTCACATGCCGTCGGTGACCAAGTCAACTCCACACTCAATACTGGACACCTCACTTAGACAAGTGTATCCGTAAGGCGCTTCAAGTCCAAAGTCTATCCTCACTTGGTTAAGCTCAACTGCTTCTTTCCAATTCCCTACGAATTCGTAACTTACAGCCGTTCGACCAAGTCCCTAGCGTCCATTGTGTGCGACTCGCATCCTGTTTCCGACCCGCCCACTTCCAGATGGAATAGGCTATCCAAGGCGCGGGTTCTGGTCGGACGCTCTCGAACGAGTCGAACATGGCGGCGCAATCGAAGCTCGAACTCCGGCGCTCGGCGGCCGAGGAGGCGATTGATGTCTTCCTGCGGAAGTATGCCGAGCTAATCCGCACACGACTCCGGAACACGACTCGGACGACCCGCCTCCTAGCAACATTGGCGCTCGCGACGTCTGTAATACTCGGCGCCGTTGGGGGTCAGAGATGGTGGAAGCGCCGGCACGTCGAGAAAGAGCAGGGCCGGAAGCTTGTGCGGACCAATTCCTGGCTGCACAACAAGGACGGGTCGCGAACCATATACGTTCCCTATAAGGATGGCACATCCAAGGTCGTCATCCACGGCACCAAACCGCTCACCTTCGAGGCGCACCGGCGGCTATTCTTGAACCCTCCCCGCGTCTCCGGCCTCAGCGACGGCCACGTCCCGTCCACGCAGACTAAACCGGGGCTCAACCTCGCGTTTCTGCACCAGTTTCTCAGTCTCATGAGCATCATGATCCCCCGGTGGACGAGCAAGGAAGCCGGCCTGCTCGTGAGCCACGGCGCCTTTCTGCTACTTCGCACTTATCTGTCCCTCGTCGTTGCGCGGCTGGACGGTGAGCTTGTTCGCGATCTCGTTGCCGGCAGAGGCAAGAACTTCCTATGGGGGATTGTCAAGTGGTGCGGCCTCGGCGGGTTCGCCTCTTATACGAATGCCATGATCAAGTACCTCGAGTCCAAGGTCTCGATTGCGTTCCGAACTCGCCTGACACGCTACATACACGACCTATACCTGAACGACAACCTCAACTACTACAAGCTGTCAAACCTTGACGGCGGCGTGGGACAAGGGGCAGATCAGTTCATAACCCAGGACCTCACCTTGTTTTGTGCATCGGCAGCGAATCTCTACTCGTCGCTGGGGAAGCCGTTTGTGGACCTCTGCGTCTTCAGTTATCAGCTGCATCGGTCACTCGGTTCGTTGGCATTGACCGGCCTGATGAGCAACTACTTCCTCACAGCGAGCATTCTCAGGCGGCTCTCGCCCCCATTCGGGAAGCTCAAGGCTGTCGAGGGTCGCAAGGAAGGCGAGTTCAGGAGTCTGCACGCGAGGCTGATCGCCAACGCCGAGGAGATCGCCTTCTACGGGGGCGCGGACATGGAGAAGCAGTTCGTAAACCGCGAGTTCAGGTCTCTCAAGAACTGGATGGAGGGCATCTACATGCTAAAGATTCGGTACAACATCCTGGAGGACTTCATCCTGAAGTACAGCTGGAGCGCCTACGGCTACCTGCTCTCGTCCCTGCCCGTGTTCCTTCCCGCCTGGGGGGGTCTTGGCGGCGTGGCTGAGCTTGCCGAGCACAGCGAGAAGGACGGCCGCGAACGGGGCCGCATGAAGGATTTCATCACCAACAAGAGGCTCATGCTTTCGCTCGCCGATGCGGGCGGTCGGATGATGTACTCGATCAAAGACCTCTCGGAGCTGGCCGGCTACACCAGCCGCGTTTACACGTTGATATCGACGCTCCACCGGGTCCATGCGAATGCTTACTACGTCCGCGGCCGTGAGAATGAGCTGTACTCGCTCTCGGATGTCCAGGGCACGATCCAGAAAGGCTTTGACGGCGTACGGCTGGAGAACGTGCCGGTCATCGCGCCGGCGCTCTGGCCACAGGGAGGGGAGGAGCTTATTGAGTCGTTGTCCCTGATTGTCAGGAGAGGGGAGCACTTGCTCGTAAGTGCCGCATCGCTCGTGATGCTGGACAGACGTGTCTAACATGATGTAGATTTCCGGGCCAAATGGAGTTGGCAAGAGCGCGATATCGAGAATCATCGCCGGACTGTGGCCCGTCTACCGCGGACTTGTCAGTCGTCCCAAGGCCAACGGCGAGGGTGGTATAATGTTCCTCCCGCAGAGGCCGTATCTCAGCATCGGGACTTTGCGAGACCAGGTCATCTACCCTGATGGCGAAGCAGACATGCGGGAGAAGAGGAAGACGGAGAACGATCTCAAAGTAGCTCTCGAGGAGGCGCGGCTGGGGTACCTCCCCGAGCGCGAGGGAGGTTGGGATACTCGGAAGGAGTGGAAGGACGTCCTCAGCGGCGGTGAGAAACAGAGGCTCGCAATAGCCCGCCTGCTCTACCACGAGCCCGAGTACGCGTTCATCGACGAGGGCACCAGCGCCGTTTCGAGCGACGTGGAAGGTCTGCTGTACGAAACTTGCAAGGAGAAGGGAATTAGTAAGTTGCAACAGCAAACCACCCATCATGCCCTCTTACATCCGGCGACTAACACTGATGTAGCACTAATTACAATCTCGACGCGCGCGTCTCTGAAGAAATATCACACGTACAACCTTGTCCTTGGCCTGGGCGAGAACGGCGACGCGTGGGAGTTTGAGCGCATCGGCACGGAAAGAGAGAAGATGCACGTCGAGAGAGAGCTGCAGGAACTGCGCGAGCGGTTGTCTCAGGTCGAGAAGTGGAAGGCCCGGCGGGAAGAAATCGAGAAGGAACTAGCTCAAGTCTGGGTAGAGGGCGGAGAAGACCTCGCCCCGCCACCTTATGTGGGAAAGGAGAAAGAGGAGGATGACAACGTGGTGGTAAAGAGGGAGGACGAGGACGAGGATGGGAAGGATGGGCCAAGACAGGCAGTGGCAGTGTCTGAATAGCTTCAACCAGCACTTTGTCCTCGGATCAGTCCACACCCTTAATGTTGTCATAAAATACAATGTGCCATTTTACTGTCTCTTTGCCGGCGATGCCCTCTGAACGATGCCCAGTCTTTAGAAGTTGGGTAAGGTTCCATATTTGTGAGCCTCCATTCCCCTACCCGGATCAGAAATAAATAAATAAATACCCTGCGAGTTGCCGTCTCATTTTGAACTGATGGCCATGGCTCCGTAGCGCAGCAGTACCTCCTCCGTGAGTATCATTCGCTTCCGGACAACGTACAAAAGCACGTCCAAATAACTCACGGGTGCCTGCCTTCGCCGGTATATGCCTTGGGGCCTGCCCTAGGCGCTTTTCAGTTTCCTGGCTTGTCAAGAGCATAGGAGGTTAACTACTATGGTAGGTAATTTGGTAAGGTAGTTTCTCATTCTTTCTTTTTTTTGTCCTCCTTATTGGGGTGGGGGGTTCTGTGGAAATGTGGAAGTGATGAAGGCAACCACCGCACAGATGTTTACGCACTTCCGTAGACTCTCACGAAAGCGGGAAGGACCAACCAAAGTTGGGCTGGTTTGTTTCCCAAACACTACACTACATAACACTAATTTGTAAGATTACCGTAAGAAACAGCTCAACCATGGCGATCGGCAGCTGGATCGATGCTCCTCTCTTAGCTCCTCTGGGGTTCTCACATTTGGAGACGTGGAGTACAGTAGTAGTGTCCCCAACCCATCCCGCCAAGTGGCGCAAATGGTCCCAGGGGAACGGCATTCCCGGCGGAGATCCCAATCATACCCATACATGTCCCCCAGTGTGGGTGGCACACATTGCACCGACTCACCGAGCCTTGTCCAGCCACGGCTAGATAATCTCGCACCTCCCAAGCCAGACAGACTGTGGACTGCGGACTCCAACAAAGGCCCAAGCACGAGGCCGAGAGAGCGGCCTTCCTCTGCTATCCCACCAAGGAACAATGGATCAATGTAGTCTGACGGAATTGGCGCGCCATCCGTCGACCTCTGCTTGATGCCAAGGCCTGCCTACCTTCGAGCCAAGCAAGCCCGCACCCACCTTCACTTGCGGGCGCGACCTTGGGGGGGAAGAGGAGGACGCTGGCAGCAATGGGGCCCTGGGCTCACACGCGGAACCGGTCCTCGCTCGGTGTCCAGCCATTGCCCAGGATCATTGAGGACGAAGTGTTGCCTCCCGCGGCGCCAGAACAGCAGGGCAGACGACCGCCCACCGCATCGGGTCGACTGTCGCGCCATGCCTCATCACAGGACGCCGGCGCTCCGCCGCCCGGTCGCGGCACAGAAGACATGAACAATGCCCGCCGCCGGCTTAACGCCGAAGGGGAAGGCGGCAAGGACGGCAAGTGGTATGCGGGGCGTCGTGGAGTCTATCGCCTCGCGGTCTTGGCCTTTGTGTCGGTAGCCGTCATTGTCGGTCTCGCCGTGGGCCTGACTCTAGGTCTGCGCAAAAAGTACGTGTTAGGGTTCACATCGGGACAATGCTTCTGGGGTTGAAGAGTCTCGTCGTTGCCAATTTTTCAAACCCCAAGAGATCGTCCCAGCTAACAGGAATACCTCCCCCAGGAACCACTCCGCCAAGGCTTCCCAACCTCCACCCTCGACACTCTTCCCAGCGGGATCCTACAGCTTCACCACGGCGCTGACCAACGTGTCGACGGGCTGCACCACCGACCCCTCCCTGTTCCGCTGCGCTCCGTTCTCCACCTACTCCCCCTCCGCCCCGGACAACTCGTCGATAACCTTCCACTGGACCATCACCCCGCTAACCAGCTACTCCTACGCCATCTCCTCGCGCCCCGACCCCGACCCAGGCTCCGACCCCCCCGTCCCCTCCTTCACCGACCTCCCCCTCACCCTCCTCGACGCAAACCAGTACTCGGAGCGCCTAGTCTTCAACCTCACCACCGCAAAACCTGTCCCGCAACCGGCGGCCCCGGCCGTGACCTGCTGGTTCAACTCCACCGTCATGACCGTCACGCTGTGGACGCGCATGCGCGCGAGCTACCCCGCCAACGCGACCGAGCTGCCGGCCCCGCCCGCGCCCGCGCCGCGCGCCTCCGGCGGCCCCAACGCGCCGCCCTGGCCCTACAAGGCCGAGGTCGCGCAGGCGCAGGCGCACGGCCCGGGCGTGCCGGACTGCAGGGACTCGTCCGGGAGGCGCGTCAACGCGACCGGCGGAGGCGGAGGAGGCGGGGGACTAGGCACTACTGGCGGCGGCGGCGGTGGCGGTCGCGGCGAGTGCGAGTGCCGTTATGCGAATTACGGCCTGGATGATAGCGGGGCCGGCGGCGGCGGGAACGGTACTTCCGGATCCCCGAACGGGACGGTGGGTTTGGGCGGGAGGCTTGCGCGGTGGGTTGTGTGAGGAGCCGCCCTGGAGCTCGAGAGGGAGCCTGGGGAGGCGCTAGGGACTTGGTTTCGAGCTGCACCTCGATCCTTAGGCCATACGTACATAAGTACATCTACACATCCACCCATCGGGGTCGTTGGGCTTCTCTCGGCGGGACCTGAGGTTCTGGCTGCAAAGAAACTCGGACCACATGACCATTACTTGCCCGGAGGCACCTTCGTCACAGACACGTCACCAAATATGGGCGGGTGTGTTGTCCACCAACATTGCAAATCTCCAGAAATCAGCATAGAGGATATATACAGACATACAAAGGAGCGACGAGCATACATATATATATTCGAATTCCATCCTTCTGAAAACCATCCACATTTCTCACACATCCTCAACGAATTTGCCGCATGAAGGCGCAACGCAACATGGGGCGCGAAATCAGGGCAAAAAGAAACCGCAATCGGATTGCCATGTAGTTGGCTAAATACAACACTACAAAAAACACCAGGCCATCCTCGTGGAACTCTTAGTCGTTATAGGGGTCGATCTGTGCACATACGATGTGAGCACGCAAACCACTCGCGAGGGGCAACGCCGAACACTGCCACCACCACCAACTGACCTGGTATGCCGGCCCGACGGGGTCGTACTTTGGCAGCGGCTTCGGGGCCGGCTCGCGGAGCAGCCTCTGCACCCAGGCCCTCAGCTGCTCGTCGGTCATGCCCGGGACGTGGCCCGGGTCGACGAGCTGGGGCCCGCCCTTGCGGTCGACGAGCCGGAGGAGGGTGGCGAGGCCCGGGCGGTCCTCGGGGTGGTGGGCCAGGCACCAGACGACGGTGTGCCGGAGCTCCTCATCGCACCACCAGAACTCGGCGTCGAGGATGTAGGCCCCGTAGGTCAGGAACTTGGTCGGCCCGGCGGTTCCTCCCCCCGGCAGCTGGATCTCGACCTCTTCCGGGACGGGGGGTTCCTCGGGGTGGCACCTGGTGATGCAGGTCCATATGATCTGGTCATCGGCAGAATCGTCAGTGCTTCCATGTTTAGATCCGCCCAAACCGTGCAAAAGCAAACGAGATGGGAGTTCCGGTTTTTTTTTTTTTGGGAAGGGGGACAGTCACCATTCCGGCTTGCCATGTGTTCATCGCGCCACCCATATAATGGCCGGCAACGCGGTCCTCCCTCGTCTTGGCTTCCCTGACGGGGTTGACAAATCTCTCCCATTCGCTGGTGAATTGCTCCTAAAGACAAAGTCATGTCAGTGAGCTTCCCCCACGCCCCTGCGAACGCCGTGGGTGGGGAGTGTTTGTCTCACGGGAGTAAACCAGCCTGTCTTGCCTCGCCATCTCAGGGCCCAGCGATTCGTGGTTGGAAAGTTCTGGCCCGCAACGGCTACCGCGAGGCCCAGGTCCCCAATCTTGAACCCGTCAGCAGACCGCATCGGCCAATCTGAGCAAGACACTCGGTCGGCTCTCACCTTGAGGACGGGCATGTGACTGTGTTCGCCCTGGTCGAAATCGAAGACGATGACTGTTTACCCCCGTGAGCATATGGAGGAGAAGAGCGGGGAGGTCTGTTGGGAGAGGCAGGCATACTGTTATTGGGATCCAAGTCAAAATGGACGGTGGACACGAGGTTAGACACAGGGCTGGGAATCTCTTCCTTCAGAGGGGGACCCCGTGAGTCGTGGGTCTTCGGCAATGGCTGGTGGCGCGGAGGGTAGTCGAGGGCAATGAGCCCCATGACCACTGTGGAGGGTAAGCGAGAAGAGCCGGTCAGAAAGAAATCCCTTTAATCTGTGGATATGATACGACCATGTCTTACAGCACCTAAAGATTCCCCATAGCGCTCTGTCAGGAAACTTTTTGTCCATCCAACCGGCCATCTCCAGCATCTGATCGAGATCTTTGAATCGTCCGAATTCTGTTACCAGAACCTCAGGGCTCGTCCTAGTGAGGTCCATGTCGTCCGGGGCTGGGGCTGTTGGAGCCTCGGGACTTGTCTGTCCAGTGCTCGGCTGGGGAGCAGCAGGGTTCAGTGGAGCTCCAGCAGTACCCGGCTGAGGACCAGGAGCTGGAGGAGTCTGTCCTCCGCCGAAGAAACCTTCCCAGTCGAACAACTGAACGACATGGGGAGCTCTGGAGAATACCTTGAATGTTGACCAGTATATTAGCTCAAGGCAGTTAGACGGTTTACAGAGCTGTTATACCCCTTGCATCATCTTCTCCTGGCGCAAAGCCTTCAACTTATCAGTGCTTGGACTGACCAACTTTGCAACAATGTCCATCGTCTTGCCCCGAGCGTTCCGCACCTGGAACAAGGCCGCCAGGCCCTGGCCGCCAATGCCCAGGGTCCTTTTATATCTCAGCCCGGATGTCCATAAATCCAGGGCCTTCCTGTTGAGGAGGTCCTTGGCGTGATTAAGTCTGTCCCTGGTTCCCGGCGAGTTTCTCTTGAGAGGGTTGAGGTAAACTGGCCCCTTGCGAAAATACAGTCCGTGACGCGCCCTCCTTTTGACTTTTTCGAGCACCTGGGCCGGGTATCCTTCGAAAGGGCCGGCCGGTTGGACAAAAGCAATACTCGAGACGCCTGGCTTGTGAAATTTCCCGACCCTGTAGTCTTTGAACCTCTGATTCATGCGTTTTCTCATCTTTTCAAACCCAGGATTAGCTACCCCTGTCGGGGCTGCAGGAGCAGCAGGAGCAGCAGGAGCAGCAGCTGGGGGTTGGGCCATCCTAAATCAATGGCTCTGTGTAGGACTTTCTGGTAGGGAACGAACAATTTGGTGGTATCGAGAACCGAGGTCTCAGGATGAAGTGGGCATAGGAGCAGTATTTCAGCGGAATAGAAACCCAGATGGGGGTCGAGATAATTAGGAAGGTATTTTATTGTCCTGTTATAGTGCCCAGGGCCAGCCCTCTAAGACGGTTGCGGAACGAAAACAAAGGGAACGTGGAATGCGGACCGCGGTGTCATTATTGGCTTCAGGACCTTTTGAGGTCCAACTGCGATGTTAACCAGGGCAGATTGGGCATACTGATGGCCCCTTTTAGAATGGAGCAAAAAAAAGAGAGAGAAACCACGGAGACGGGGGGGGGGGGGGGGGGGGCCCCCCCCGCCCCCGGGGGGCCGCGGGGGGGCGCGCGCGGGCCCGCCGCGGGGCTGGCCGCGCCCGCCGCGGCCAGCCCGGCGGGCGGGACG